TTTTTTTTCACTTTAAGGTTCGAAAAGACCAAAGTTGCTTCTTTAAGAATGTCCAAAACATTTAGCAAGGTTGCCTGCAATTTGATTTTTTTTTCTAAACCTCTCACTGTCATGTCTGAAAGAAATAAACCAACATAACTTTGAAAAACTCTAAAAGAAAAACAATCCCACAGACCTAGAAAGTATTCATACTCTACTATATGATGTACATGAAATATGAAGATAACGAACAGTATTCAATCTCAAAAGTCTAATGAAACGATACAAATTTGGAGCAGGGCAAACACGGACCTCTAAAACATCAGAGGTGGGATCAGGTGCCATGGAGGAGTGAGCATCCCCTGCCGACCGGTCACACCCGCGGTGTGCTCCTTGTCATGATCGGGAAAAAACGGAAAATCCATAGACAGTTCAGTGTATAAATAATGGCCTAACAATTAGTATGAAAAACGTCAGTCAGCATTTGATTCAATGATAGGTTGTATGTGCTGACAAGGTCATAGTATCGACCATAAAACTTACGAAATGATGACTTCAATAGAGACTGTTGATATCCTTGTTTCATCAACTTGTTTGTCAATAGCTTGCCTCGTTTTAGTTTCTTACTGATGTTCACAACATAACAATTACCGAGTTATGTCCTTGATCTTTGACCTGTCACCATAGAATCAATATGCTTCGATTGGGCTTATCTATAATTATTCTTTTTCTTAAGGAAGGAACAAAATACTCCCATCACAGCAAATACAAATCAATCACTATCATTCAATGGATAAAGAATACTTTATTAAGCAGCGAAGGATGGACAGTTAGGGAGAACAGAAGAAGGGGAGACAACCTTTTTATCATCAATGCTTTTTTTCTATTGCAGGAAGAGTAAAAAACAATCACTGTACAAAAAAAATCACAAACAGAAATAATTTATACAAATATGTAAAAATAATAAATAAATTAACAAATCATAAATATCACAGTTGCAGATCTCTAAACAAAGTAATAAATATGATGCTCCTTAAATTTCTGAATCGCACTTCAGAATAAAAATACATTTTACATTTATTCCTTGGAAATGATTGAAAAAAAAAATGATTGGAGAGAAAAGTATAAACTTTTTAAAATTTAAACAATAAAATAATTATCACAATTTCTGTATCAGCTTACATGATAAGAAAAATTGTTCTTAGAGTATGATTTTGCTAGTTAATCTCAATTCTTGTTTAGTTATAAAAATTTCCGCATAGGCCAAATAAAACTTTTCATGCAGTAAAAAAAGCCTCAGAGATTATAATAAAACTAGTACTATTAACGGAACATATAAATATGACTAGAAGTTATAGAACATATTAACAGTCTTTTACAATAAAACAAATATGGGCATCAATCAGATTTACAGTTTATAGAAAAATCAAAGAATATATTTTGATTTGAACTACAAGGTACAAAACTATCTCCTTTCCAATAATTTACAGATATGCTGGATATAAACTCCTTTTGTCATTTGTGTCTATAACAGGAGTAAAACTACTAACATCATTGTGTAATGGCTACATCTACATTCTACAATTCTGCTTTCAATTAAAACTGGAAAAAAGTCTCTTATTTTCAATACATGACTACATAATGAATAAAAACTACTGGACTTTTTGCACAACTGCTTGTACTTTGAATCAGAAATTCCTTTTTTAATTTTTTATCTTAGCATATTACATGTACTATGATTAAGTTATGTTTTTTTTTTTTATTTCTAAGCTATACCTTTTATTTTATTATAAGTAGTATTAAGTTATATATCAACTAAAAAATCAAAACAATGTCAATATGAAACAAAAATAAAAAAATACTTGCTGCATTGAGGATTTATTTTGTTATAAACATTTAAGGAAATCTGCTCCTCTATAGTTTGAGGTAACCTGTCAGTACTGCTAGTGTACACAGAGAGAAATCTTAACATACCCCCACAGAAGTATATCCCTAATTAAAACTTTAATCCTTTTGTATATTTACATCTCAAAATTGAAATGTAAAACACCACGTGCAATGCTACCATTTTTGAGGTCTGAATTTCCCTCTTAGTCTAACACGTATGGTATGATACTACAGCTGAATTAGCTGACTCTTGTAAAACTACTTTCTTGAAATACAAGTTACTTCTCACATCATAATAAAAAATAGTCATAACTAAATCAAAACACTCAATAAAAATAACCTACATTTACAGAGAAGTACTATACGATTCTATGCTGATTTTAGGCTATCTTTACATTTATCATGACTGTAAACCAACTTTCATTTATGTGCATGAAATATCCAAGTATTTCGTGACCTTGCTTTACTAGCAAACATTTCTTGCTGTGAATTATTTATTGCAAGGTATATTTATGTAGAAAATTTCCTCGGTTGCAAAAAGTAGTTGTTGTGGATAGATTTATAACTTACTGATCGCAAAAAAAAAAAGTTGTCATAAATAATAGGTGGTTTACAGTATACAGAGTAAAACCTGAACTAAATCTAAATCTACTTAGTAGAAATTTATAAACAAAGCATCTCAGTTTAAACAACATAACATGCAAAGTCAGTGTAGAACAGTTTCATGTAAAAAAAACATTCCCCAGAACAAATCTGAAGATAATATGAGCATTGAATATTAAAGTTATGGGATAAATGTCCACTCATTAAAGGGTTTTTATCAAGTATCTAAATTTCTTAAAAATGAAACGCTATTATATTCTTGAAACACATAATTATCGTTTAATTATGAAATAATGTTGAAAAAAGCCGTAATTAGACGATAAAACGCCCGTAATATAGGGTCCTCGGAACAAAAATCTCCACTAATTAGATAGGGGTCACGTGGTACTGAAACGTCATAGGTGTCAATGGTCAATAGAACTGGTAAAGCCTATCGTAAGAAAAAATATATCGAATAGATTTTTACGCTAAATAAATAGAAAACCCAATATGCCCGGTTGAAATTTTGACATCGACTATATTCCTTTGGTTATGGACGGTCAATCTTTTGTGTATGAACGTCTAGCAGAGAGAAATAATCAGAAAATATGCCGACAATTGGAGAGGTCATTGAAGACGAAGCTGTTGACAACTTGGGACTTCGACTAAATAGAACGAATTACTAGAGTTTAACTTCGTAAACATTTATAAATATGGGAATTTTAAATTCTCCTTCATTATTATTTTAATTAATTATATATAAATAAATCCTGTATATCTTCTATCTGTTCTAGCAGTGAATATCATGTACTAGAAATGACACTTCTTCAATGGCGCAGTACGCCATTACGAAGTTCACAACATTCCATTCTAGATTCTGTGCGACTTTTAAAAAATGCATGTTTGTCATTTATTATTTTTTTAACGGTATCTTTCCTTAAAATGTTTTATAGGACAGAAAAAATAATTCCTGATCGATCGGCATAAGCGACTTGCAGAAAAAGGCCCCCCTTTCATCTCTCGAACAGTCCAGGAAATGTGGGGAAAACATTCTTCCGAAAACCTTTCTTGTGCAAATTTGTGTATCCTAACGCCATAAATTATACCTTACTAGCTGTCAATTATCCAATTATCGCTTAATTATTTTCTAACAGGTTTAATAGACACATCAAATGAGCCCTTTTGTATACACAATAAGTACTTCGCTTGACCAGGATTGACATCTATGACGTCAGAGCAATGGCGTGTAACATCGGCGATCAAAATATGCATAATGAGAAATTCAAACTTTGAATCGCTGAAACATCAAAAATATTAATTTTCTAGCAAAGATTTTTAAATATATGATTTTAATAGCTTGCAAACTTTGTCATATCAAAAAATTTTGAGACGTGATAAAAACCCTTTAAACTTCTTAACAATAGCACATATGACTTAAAGATCAGTGTACACAAAAACAGTTTATACCAAAGTGACCTGCATCTACACACAAAATGCCATAGCACCACTATTTCAGAAGTGAATTAACAGTCAAGTGAGGCTTACACGACTAAATGTGAAAAAAGGTTTGGCATGTGTTTCGTTTTCAAGTTCAAACCAATATTTTCTGTCATAAACAATAAATTAAATGATATAAACTACATCTGATAAATGACCTCTACACAGCAAAACATAGCTTCTGTCCAGGGACTGCAAATAAATTAATAATGTGACAAATAACAGGATAGGATACATACACAAGATCTGTATATAATTGTGTGATCAAAACATTCGGTACAAAAAAGTGCCATTTCTAAAATTTCCTGAGAGGGCAAAAGACAAGACAATGGCTTTATTTACTTTTGATTTCTTTTAAGGAAAATGTATAACATTATACAGAAACACAATTCAACGTCCTTCACATAAAAATCTCTTACCCCTGTTTCATAGTACAGATAATGCTTTGAAATAGAGTATAATGTCAGGTATTTAAATCTGATAGTAAAATTTCCTCACTGCCTTCTCTATGGGACCTGGATTTAGACTATCTTTATATAACATATATAATGAGTACTGTAGTGATAGTCTTGTATAGAATAACTAAGCCAACCATAACCTCAGCTCTTGTTAATATTCCTGTTTTACGAGTACATGTGTACTCAACAAATTTGTTATTCATTGTTAATTATAGAAAAATGTAATGGTTTTCAGATATGAAGTACAAATATTAGTTCTACTGAGTATCTATTAACAGTCCTTTTTATTATTTATCAACTACAGGCTAGTTAAAGATACAAAATATGGGAAATTTGGAGAAAATAAAAATATTGAATAAACCCTTTGGATAAACCAAACAGTCTTAAAAACTCTCCGATTCAGACAATACTGTTAACCAACTATTATTCACGTCATCTTTTATTCCTGATTCGTCAGTTTGAAATCATTCCGCGACGATTAATTTTTGCAACTGAGGAAAAATTCTCTCTAAATACAAAGCAAACTAAATGGTCTGCAGCGATTAATATTCGCAAGTTTCAGTAGGTCACTAAACTCGCGAATATTTCTTGCACACGAACAAAAGTTGGTTTACAGTAATTCATAAAATGTCTAACAAAATTTAGCACTTAATCAATAAAAATTCAGCACTACTTCAAGTACTATGATATAATATACCAGTATATCTTCTTCATGCATATGGCCTCTTTTCACAACACTAAATATCTTATTAAAACATTTCAATGTTGTGTTGCCAAACAGGGAATGTCTGCTCCTAGTCACATGTCATGGAATATTTCCTCTATAAAATCCTCCACTTCTTTCTCTAGTCTGAGAACAAGGCTCATCTTCCTGTAGAGAATCCTCCACATCTTCTCTTCTCTAGTCGACCGCCTCTACGGAGTTCAAACAGGACAATTTCCACGCTCGAGATCCACCCTGGACTCGGAGAGACAGCCACTCACCTACGTTGTTCACAAACTCGATGTCTGACTCGTCAACCGGAGGTGGAAGATCAGTGTCTACAGAACGAGAGATGTTTCTCTCGACCTTCACACTCTCTAGGTCAGCATGTCCATTACAACCTAAAAATAGATCACAGAAGAGTTAACACAGAGTACACAAGCATCTAAAGGCTACTGTTTACTTTCATTTACAACTTAGGAGATATGAGAACATATTAACATAAAGTGTGAAGGTGATGCAGAGAGCATAGAGAATAAATAAGTTCACACACAACTGCACAATATTTGAGACTCTTGCAGAAATGCTCTTAATTTTAAAACATTTAAAGCAGGGACAGGGTAGATGTTTACTGTGAGCAAATCTAGAAACAATTGATATAAGTAGCTCTATCTAGCTAGAGTCTTCAAACTTCTCACTCGTGTAAACTACAAACTCTTACCACTATCTGCTTGGTCTGTGTAGAATGTAGTTGGATCAAAATCAGTTTCAATGTTACAATTAAGAAATGAATTTAATAGCTACCCAATTTATACGGTATAAAGTGGGTTGGAACAGTTTACGCATTTTTATAAACTGCTTCGCCATTTATAAAGCGTAAACTGCCCCAACCCACTTTATACCGTATAAATTGGGTAGCTATTAAATTCATTCCTTATAATTTAATTTTCATTCATTTAGTTTAAGAAAAAAGATGATTGCCCTTAAAAAATGACTTCAAATTGTATAAAATTTAAATGTAGCATCAGGCGGATCGATACGTTTTTGACCGAAGTCATTGTGATGTAGGCAACCCAATTTATACAACATAAAGTAAATTTTTTATCCAATCAAATGGCACATTACAATCAGAATTAAATTATTTATGTATACAGTAAAACATGCTTCTTATAGGAAACACACTTATAATGGATTGACATTAATAGCGAAGTGATTTTCATTCCCTGTGACTTTATAAAATACTGTTAACTTAATGGATCTTATAATGAAGCAAAATCATCCATCCCAGGCACTGTTATAAGCATGTTTTACTGTATTAAGGGTTTACAATTGACAAAGCATTAATCAACGGTCAATTTGTACTTCCGAATCTTTATTTCATCAATATTTGGATATGTTTGAAATCAATATAAACATATGTTCAAATATCCACATACATGTTTGAATGCATACAATCATTTTACAGAAACTTGTTTTTGCTGTCTAAATTTTGATGCTTGCATCAATGTTTCTTCACTATACATGTACATGTAGTTCAAAAGAGGGCTTCATGATTACAATGGTGTGATGAAATCAACTGTATGTGCAATCTGGTTCTCTTTAAAGTTTTCAAAATACTAGGGAATTTTACCAGTATACTGCTTTGATAAAATTGCTTAATATGAAAGCATGAGAACAGGGCAGCATGATTGAGGTATTAATGTTCATTAAGGAAAACAGGAAGAAATGATACTTGTGCCTCTGTAACTCTAATACAATGTACATGTACCCCTGTTATAAACTATGTTTCAAAAATCGTTATATTTAAAATTTCTGCTTAAATATTAAATGTTACAAACAGACAAAATCTACTCTCAACAGTATGCTATGACTTACTGAGGTCTTCCATAGAGCAGGGCTCACGGAATTTAGATCCTCCCCTCCGGAATGGCTGCTTCTTCAGGATCATAACGGCTCCACTCAGGTATTTAAAGACACTAAGGTCAAGGACACTTTGTCTGACCTCCGGGTTAGTGATGTACTCTCCTAGCCATGACCTCATGTAACCGATGTCTACACCCAGCTGATAAGCTCCAACATAGCTGGAAAAATGTCAAAATCAGGATAACAACTTAGAATGTATTTTACTCTTTGATGGCAATAGTTAACATGATTGACAATTTGATTAAGATCAGATCTTTCTGATGTTCCAAAATAGTCTTGGATAATGACTATCAACATTTTCAGAGCATTACAAAGATACGAAGTTTAAACAGATTGACATGAGTGATAATTTGATAGTTTAGACATCATATTTATTTTCAGGAGACAAATTTCTATAAAATGCAATGAATTGTGGTTCCTATTCTTTAATTAGTTTCAGGATCAATGAGGCTAATATACAGAAAAGAGACAATTTGGGACTGACAAATGAAGAGAGTGAAATGACTGTTTCTCAAAAATTCATTTAATAAATATCTTGCTCAGATATCTTGTCGTATGACTGAAGGTATATCCCTGTAAGAAGTAAATGATGTCAGACCTGAATTTGATTTTATTTTTGAGGATGTTGTTTTTCCATGCCTCACAGAACGCCGTGACGGCTTGTGACACGACACTTAGTTGTGCCGTCTGTTTAAGTTTACTGACACCATCAATGACTGGTTCCAGGATCGTCTCCAGAGCATGCTCAATGTACAGGTTATGCTCCTTTGGCAGGTCTAAAAAATAGATTTAAATAAATTCCCATTTTAAACTCACATATAAAAATAGATAACATAAATTCAAAATCCAAGTGCCCTTTCAGTAGCTCCATATAGAGGGTGATCTCAGGAAACTTGAATTTAATCTGTACTTACAGATGTGCAAGTATTGATAAAATTTAGGGAATAGACACAATTTCCACATAGAATGACCAGTATAGTGTAGTGACAAAAGGATTATACAGTAAAACTTGTTGAATCCGGATGTTGTGCATTCCGGCATGTTGTTCAGTCCGGCGTAATATTTTAGTCCCTTGAATTTTCTTTATAATTTATGTTTAATAAATGTTGTGCAGTCCGGATCTTGCCTATTCTGTAAACCGGCCGCTATTTAAAGAACTTACTGCTCATAATTAGTACAAATTATCTCCTCTAATCCGGCCACTTATTTATACCTGTGCCCGCTGGTCATTAGAGAAGTCTAGTGTGGGGTAATTATTGTCCCGTTAATGTATCGACAGTTTAGATTTTAACAAACGTGATAAAAAAAATTATTAATGGCTCAAGTAAGGCGAGGAAACTCGCAAAAGAATGAGTATATTTATGGTTGCGTGTAGCATGTCTGTAGAAAAACTTGGAGACTTTTCTACTTTCGTTTTGCGTGCACGATGTGCAATTCGAATTACTTTCCTTTGTGTTGCTAGTTTACAACGACCTAAGCAACAGAAGATTTTGGTTCAATATTCATTACCATGATTACATGTATAACATATGAAATTAACAAATACAGTGTCTAAATATTCAAACATATTAATTTTAAAAGAAAGAAATTAATTAGGAATCTGTCCCTAACAAAATAATATTTACAGCTACGGTAAGGTTTTTGAGTGTATTTAAAACATTTAACAATTTTCAAATTTGATAAATGACCAAGAGATATTATATTTCGATACTGAATAAAAAACTTAAACAGAAATGAAAATTCTGAAGAACAAACAGAGTTCAAAACAAACGGAAATAGACGATTTTTTCAAGTGAAACGTAAAAAATGACACATTTGATCAAGTATTTATTTACCACTCTTTGTTTATATCTATGTAATTTTTAACTTGCTATAACGGTTCAATTTTCTCCAATCCGGATGTTGCCTAATCCGGCCAAAAATTTTGGAACCACTGGTCGCCGGATTAGACAAGTTTAACTGTAATTACAGCGATTAGGAGTTAAGAGGTATCAAGTTTATTAAGACCGGCGTGCCACCTATTTTCTACTGTACTAGTAATTTGCTTTTCCCTAAAGCCTCTGGAGTATTTTTATTGTATATATAAATTATGGTCCAAGAAAACAACAACTCCCTGATTTATACCATACTTTTAGAGAAACATTACTTCAGCTATAACCCCAAAAGTCATAAACTAAAGTCCAAATTCATGAGAGTGTAAAGTTAACATCAGATTCTTGGGAGAATTTGAGCAGAATATAGGTGAATTGAGTGGAATAAATTTTATAACATCAACAAACTGAGAAAGTTAACTGCTTTAACAGAGGAAAACTCAACAATGGATTGAAAACAAATCAGCTTACTGATCGACTCTCCGCAACTAAAACAGTCACAACCTAAAGATAAACATAGGCCTTCATTTTAATTGTTACTGGAAGAGGAGAGTTAATTAGGGGGGAAACCATTTTACCTGTTGCTATAAAACAACTTTTGTTGCATGCAAGAAATATCTATAATAACATAATTACTTTACATTTGTATTCATTAAATAAAAATTAAGTATCATAATGTAGTCTACTTTTGTAGATTTATCAAAATTAGACCAAATCTGTAAGAGGAACTTTGAAAAAAAATTCATGTATTCTTCTAGTTTTTGTAACCATGGCAACACTGTTCAACAAATTTAACACTGTATTATAAAAAATAATGAAATCTTATTGTAGTCCACTAGTTTTATTCAATTCAGACCATATATAGAAGGTATGGCATTTGGAAAACAAATTAGAGATGGATGGACATGAGACACTTTTCTATCACACAAGCTGTTCACACTGGTAAATGACCAGTCAAAGCTAACAATGAAGAGAGGTGTACTAGTCTTCTAGTATGTCAGTATGGAGTGACTTAGAATTAAACATACCTGCTTTTTTACGCCAGGCTTTTCCCTGTGGCATCTCACTGCTGAAGTAATCAGCTGACAGCTTACCACAGTTTTCAGAGAAAACCTTCATAGCAGCTCCAGAAAGGGACTAAGAAAATCAAGACATGAGTATTATTTATATCATACATTGGTTACAAACATGTAACAATAATTTATATACACTGTACATCACACATTAGTTTCATTTTTAAAAACAAGGAAAAAATCATCTCAAGTTATTCAAAAGACAAGTCAATTAGATAATGTTTTTTGGTCTCTATGCTGAAAATATGTTTATACTGCCCAGTTAGAACTTATGAACTTACAAAAGTGAATAGTATTACAAAAAAGCAATCAGGAATAAGTGCTCATTGGCGACTGGAATTATATAACATATTTAGTAAAAGTATCAGCATATACATGTATATGAGAGATAATTACTCAGACAATGCAAAAAGCATTCTCAGATTACATCCAAATGGTAAGCACATTTACATAGAGACCAATCAATCACATCCTTCCTTATCTATAACTTACAGCTTATTAAACTTTATCTAAATAATTTTACATTTTAACCTTTGTTTTGAAATGAATGCCTCCAGTAAGATTATAAACCAATCAGCATTGACTGACCTGTAGCTGTAAGTTGACCTCTGACATCTGTTTGGTGACCTTTGACAATTAAGATTATAAACCAATCAGCACTGACTGACCTGTAGCTGTAAGTTGACCTCTGACATCTGTTTGGTGACCTTTGACAATTAAGATTATAAACCAATCAGCATTGACTGACCTGTAGCTGTAAGTTGACCTCTGACATCTGTTTGGTGACCTCTGACAGGTACTCTCCCATCTGTTGGTCACTGATGCGGGATTTACTGAGGTTCTTGGAGCTGAAGAGATGAGCATTGTGCAGGGCCTTCTTTGTTTCATCTGCTAAGATCTATAACAAACAGTTACCGGTACTCTAATAAATACAGTCAGCAAAATCTAGAGATTTGTTCTCATGACCATGATAAGTTAAAGAGGTCATTTCATACTATAGATGTTTCTGGCTTAATAAAAGGAATACATAAACAACCACAGTTGATACTCAATAGAGAATGCAAAATCTAAAATATCTTTGACCTTGATGAATTTAGGTGGTAGTTTCTCTCTATAAATAATTTACAGCTTATTACTATTAAAAAAAGGAAAAAATAAGGACTTTCTGGCATGTTGACATTACTGTAGAAGTACAAATTTTCGTGAGGATAAAATGTAGTTGAAATGTCATCTAAAAAGGTTTCGTGGGCATTAAAATTTGTTGTTTTGAAAGTTACGCTATTCAATATATAGACATAAAAAATTTCGTGTGGGATTTAATTTTGCTGATAATTATTAACAAAGAAATAAATGAAATTTAATCCCCAACTTAATCTCTGCTTTTACAGTATGTACCAAAATAGCCATCTTAAACAAGTCACCATTAGACTCAGTGTTTGAAACTCACCGTAAATTTAGATAGACTGCTAGTGAAAGTTGTCAGCCCTACCAAAAATCTACTGGCCCGAGAAAATAATTGTCTTTTATAAATTTGTTTTTTGCAATAATGTGAACGAGGGTCAGATCATCAAAACTTCGATCTCGAATTATTAGGCTGATGAATTCTACATTTTTGCTTGTAACACTTTGCTACCAATACCATTAGTTGATTTGGGAGAGATTAATCAAATTAATGAATTTCAATTGATAGGAAATTGAACAAGTCCAGCCGGGTGTTGATACGTGCAAATCTGTTAGCCCGCGGCAAAATTTGTGCGTCATGGGCGGTCGGGCGCACATTTATTTCAAACACTGTTAGACTACATATTTTTTAAGCTGAAGACACCTTGAGATATGGGTGATCTATTAGCCGATACCTTGAGATCTGTCTGGGTGACCAAAAGGAAGTTGCCGACAGCCCATGAGGACAGGAAGCTGTGAGATTTGTGGACACACCAACTATGTGCTGCCTGACAGTTTGTAAGCAGACGACAAATAATTCCTGTCACATGGGGGAGGTCCAAATCCTGCTTAGGGAGCAACAAACTGCCATCTATTGAAAGTCAGAAGGCTGGTTGTAAATTTACAGAAAACTATATATATTCCAAACCTCTGCCAAAGAAAATAATATTTTGTCCAAATTGTGTTTTTCAAAATTTGGAAACCATACCAGGACTATACAAATGATGAACAGTATCTTCACTTCTTAACTAATCAATGATTAACAATTTTAACTAGTCTTTTCTAAAATATTTACATCTAAACGTTTTCATTCCCAAGCTTTGCCGTACCTTTCCCAGACTCCTGGATATCTTTGAGGTTTTCCTGAAGAAGACTAAATAGAGGCTGATATGTGTCTCTGAGTAACATCCCAGTCTTAGTGCTGTGATCCCCGCTGGCGAGTAAACACGGGTAACATTTGTCTGACATCTGACACCCCAGGGCCTCGCACATCACTGAAAACAAAAAAATTAACTTTTGACCTTTGCTTTGGAAAGAGTGGCCCTAAACATCATGAACATGCTAAAGAAGATAGATATTTTCCTTATTTATTCTTTACCTAATTAAATTTATAAATTTTGTGAAATACTCAATATATTACACCATATACAGAGTTGAGCAGACAGACAGATGGTCACTCTTTTAGGATACTGATGTATTCTGTGCATATTTAATATTTCTTAAGAACAGAACAAGTTACATATTTGATTAAGGCTGAGGCATCAAACTGAACCTGTGCCTTTCATTTCTAAAACAATATCCAAGCACAAAATACCAAAGTAAATTCAGTACGCTGTTAAAAAAGCTATATATATTAAAGATAACTTACATATATCCCAGGACTGCAGTGCGGTTTGAGCGTGGAGTTTCCTAGCCACGCCCAGAACTGGGGGTACAGCATTGGATGGAAACATATCTAGGAAATAAACATCAGTAAAAGTTACCCGGGGCATTATCATGATTATGTGTGTGCATCAACACGTAGAATGTCTATCATCATGTAACATTCAGTATAATCAAAAATGTAAATTAGAACCTCAACAAATGTATGCAATATCCAAAAAATACTAACTATAAGAAATAACTATAGTTCTGCTCTTTTGCAGCGCATACTGATATAGTTTGGTGATGTATAACTTAACACTAAACAGAAATGTCATTTACTTATCTGCCAACAAAAACTTTGCCGAAAGTCATTAATTTGCCCTCAAAAGAGCACTACCACAGTTAGACTAGAGCTAATTACTATAATAAATAATTAATGCCCATGCAAAGTGGCAATTCAGAATAAATTTTGTCACTTTGGCAAAGAGCTGGATTTTGCAAATGCAACAATTGTGTATGATTAAACTATTTAGCATTGATTAAATTGGAGCTCATCGTTAACGTTTGTTTGAATGTCCGTGTCCATTTCATTTTGTGATAAGACACTTCCCTCTCCAGATACACTTGTCCAATCATTTTTTTTCCATTTTGAAATATTGTGGAAAAAAATCCCCACAGTCGAACATTTTTTTAACTTGCAAACATGAAATTCAAAACATTGCAATCTGAAGGACTCTCTCCCATATTTATTAATAAATGAGGGCAATAGAGACTCAAAAGGTTACATACAGTGCTACTGTATTTTATCACCAAAATATATTCTTACTTTCGTGATAAAAGAAATCATTATAAATATGTTATATTATTCATAAAACTTCATACATGTGATATGTACAGGCTGTACGCAAAATGTACAGTTTTTTGAGCCCATTCATCGTGTACCGGCGGGACACCAAAATTCACGGAATATGAAAATTTGTACAGTATTTTGAATTTCTCGCTAAATGCCGCCATTTTCCTCTCATTCTCGCTCGTGAGACACTGAAAAACGTCACCTGTGTTTGACACTTGACCTTCTGATAATTGTGTAGTGTACACAAACCATCGCGTGCGAAGGTGTGAACTGCCAATTGGGATAATTATCTTGCTATAAATCCGTATCAAATATCCCTTTAGGTAGCTTTATTTTTTAAGGGGCACTTAATTACTGTTAATGTTTCGTATACCTAACTTGATTGAAAAAAATAAAGCCAACTTCAAAAGTTGATATACATGACTTTAGTCTTAATATATGTGAATCTGACCCAGATCTTCGTAGGTATAAAATATACTATGTTTATTACAATGATTACGATGGAATTTCACCAGAATTTAAGCGATATTTTATACCATTTTTTTGTACCGTTTTTTGATAAGCAGTGTACAGTTTTTTCACCCAAATTCCAGTTTTTTTATGGCTCCTGTACAGTTTTGTGGTCTTTGACTTATCACATGTATGAAACTTTGACTTGAAAATAATGTTCTAAAAATTTCTTGATATATCTGTTTAGAGTTGGACAACAATGAATTCGGACGAGTAAATTTGTTGGCAACTTGTCTGATGGACAAGTGGAAATATTTGTTAATGTTAAGCTCTGGATTATATCAAATTACAGACATTTAGTAAAATATAAATATAACACAAACAACATCTTCCAAAGCTATCATGGCTACACTGTTATGCAAATTAAAACTTGGAACCATATTTCAGACCTAATGCACATTTCAAGTACCTTTGAGACAAACATGCTCCATCATATTTCTGATAACGGTTACCACGGTAGCACCACTGAGAACCACACTCCCGAGGTCTCCTATGATCTGGTTTCCACGACAACCCCAAACAGGTTCATAGAAACACTGTTCTAAAGCTGATCCAAAGAATTTCCATAAAACGTCCATGTATCGACTGGTTAGTTGTGAACGTATAGAGCTGTCTGCACTATCACCCCAGGAGACAGTCTTACGCTTAGAATCTGAGCGAGACAGGACAGGTGTGTCCTGTCCTTTGGGGGGCTTAGCGGTGGGACTCTTGGGAGATTTACTTGATTTATGTTTATTTTTGGAGTGACTTTCACTTTTCCTGAGTAGGTTGGTTGAATTGCACACAATGAGTAAAAAGTTTTCAGCAAACTCATTTTCTAGACGAGCAAACTCATTTAGTGGAGGTTCATAAGGAGTGAGATCGGGGGCTCGGACCGAGCCGACCTTGAGGATAGCCCCACTGATAGAGGTCATGCTTCCACTGGCGGTGTGGTAGTCTGACGTGTCCAGGTGGTGGGATATGTGACCAGGGTACTGCACTTCATCATTCCAAACATAATTTGGTAGTTTTCCTGAATACAGGATCCGAGCAAAGTCTTCATTTGCAGTGAAAAAGCGGTGGGTTTCTATGGCAGCATATTTAGCACGTTCAACAGCTATTATGTTGAGAATTTTGGAAAAGGGAATAGATTTCACAGAAAAGGAGACATGTCCTGGATGGTTTGTAACAAGGGGATCCGACTTACATGTCAGGTTCATCATCTCTGACTGAATGTGATCAAGAATAAAATAAGAAGAGTTCATGTACCGACTCTTGGACAAACCAGCAGCTACATTGTTAAAGTCCTCCAGACCTCTCGCAATGTTCCACACAATCTCCTGTGTTAGTGTTGCCATGCTTCCATGAGCAAACACCTGTAAACCAATAACAATTAACTTTTCCATCCAGTAGATTGCATCACTGTAAAGCTGAAAGAGTACCTTTCGTACATACTCTAGGTCAAGGTAAAGTCTTCCAAGTATAGGCTGTAGCCATCGATTATTGTGTAAGCATTGTTTGATGTTATTCCAATGGCCCACGTGAGTTCGGAGATCCTCACATAGAGCATTTAAACAGTAAATCTTACTGGATGGCGCATCCATCAAACAATTCCTCATGATGGCGTAATAAGTACGGTACTCAGCCTGCACCAAGTGTTCTAAGTCCTGTACAAATGCAGAGACACTTTTGATTCTGAACAAGCAGTCTCGGAGGAACTCTAATCGGGATCTTTCTTCCTTGATGGCACGTAGATTCAGGTACTGCTTTCCCAAACCCTGTAGGTGCCGACAATGCATGAAGCTAATGCTGGAATACTCAGGAGTTCGTTTTGTGATGTGGTTTCCAGGATTTACAATTTTGAAAGGTTTTCGAAATAGTTTGAGGGTTTCCTCTGCCTCCGGTACATCGAATATGCAGTCTGTGGAGACTTGGGTATTGTAGGAAGGAGGAGTGTAGTAACGATAAAACTCTGCCGTGTCATCATGATCCTGATCCATCCCAGGTACATGAACTCGACTCAACTCGTTAGAAGGAAGGGTCTCATCCAAAGAGTACGCCTGCATCCTGCAAAGTAAAATCATACGATAATGAGGTTTAATTTAATTAAAATGATATTAAGACAATAGCCTAATGGGACACTTACTCACTTCTTTCACCAGACTCAAACTACTTAGACAACATGGACAAAGAGATAAATTTAAACAATATTTCAGGCATCATAAATCATAAAACTGACCATGAAGGAAAAAATATAAACTTACATGTCACAAGAAGGATGCTTTCAGCTTGTATTATTAACTTGAGAAATTAATACCTTGTTTTTGTTCAACTGAAAAGATTGTTACAGAATTTGTTTTTACATCATGTATATAATCTGAGAAAAGTCACAAATCAGATTTTAGATGAAAACTTTATAGACCAAAGAGAGTTAACTAGCAAGCCTTTGTCTGATCCAAGTTAATGATGTCCAGATTGTGCATAGAATTATTGTTTTAGCTTTTCCTGGTTAAATATTTCATACACTCATCAGCACACTCAATGTTTGGTTACATCAGTTATTAATTTATTTGAAGACTATTTAATAATGTTCTATTTCAGGTTCTGTAAAAGAAGAAATATTCGTTGAGGATTAAATTTCATTAACTTCATTGTCAACAAATTTTATCAACAAAATTAAATCCCAAAAATTTTTATATTATTGCTATATTTTGAATATAGCTACTTTTGAAACAATGAATCAAATTCCCACTAAATCATTTTAGATCAAAAATAAATGAAATTTTATCTCAAAGAAAAGTTCTGTTTCTACAGTACATCCATTATTTGAGGGTAACCATTTCCTAACCAGCCAAAAGCAAATTAAATTTAATTATTTTCATGATTTAAAACAAGTAATTTTTTTATCCTATGAATTTGACCTGTATGCCCTTAATCTTTAGGAAATCCAAAAACATTTATTTCACAACAAATTCTTCTTAACAAATTCATTTCTTTGAGAGATCAGCAGATTTTGAAAATCAGATAAAAATTTCAATGTTAATCATGAAGTTCACTTCTTATTATTTTTAAAACAGCATTTTAAATGTAGCCAAAAGTCACTGACAGCATTAATATAAAAGAAAATACTTCTGTTTATCCAAAGTTTACATTGCCTTGTGATCCATAAAAGAAGCTTTATCGATGCAATCATCAGCAAAATGACTCACATGTTAAGCATCAGAATCCAGACAAGATGAATGCCTTCAATGTAATTATAAATTTGTTACAAGACTCTTAACACGCTGAAAACTGAAGACAGTTATAAATCTTTAAGCAGATGACCATGACTGTCCAGATCCTAGCATTTAAGTTCTAAGGAAATATTGACACATGTGTTTACTTAGACCATATACACTGGCATTCAGACTGAAAGACTATCCCTAAAGGCTTGTTTACATTACCCCGAGATATATCTAACATTCAAAACTGGGGCATTTTAAACATAATCAACGATTTCATACTCACAAAAAACATTGAAAAATAACAGAAAAAGCACGTGTTATTTGATATCGCACTATCAGTTTCTTCTTTTCGCCGCTAATAGGAAAATCTGGTACAGTGCCAGTTGATGAAAACATTATTTTCATCAACGATAAACTAATTAAGACAGCATATCCTTATAGTAAATTTTCGGTTAATTGTACAATAATTGACAAGAGAAATAGGGTACCTTATTATGAATTTGGTATTCTTCCAGGTAAAAGAGAATTATCACAACATGCAAATTTGGTAATTGTATACATGCTCGCCATGTTTCCACAAACACTCTCTGTCACGTGACTAAGGATATTCTAATTTAAAAACCGTAATGTAATTGGAAAAACGGATTTTGAAAATCATCGAGCTAGGGAAAAAATCTCTATGTAAAATTTATACTAGAAATTTTCTTTAATTGTCAGATGGACCTGTGATAATGAAATACGTTAATAAATGCTCTCGTTTCAAAATCCATGTTTCCACAACAATCGCCAATGCAGAGTTGTCGTTCCTCTCGGACACCTCTGCAATATTTTTGACATAAAAGGGGGAAAAGAAGATATTCCGAGGATTATTTCAAATTAAACTAATAGTATATTAGAATACCAAAATAGGAAAAAGGTGTGTCGACCCCAGATTTAAAAAAAGAAAAATAAAACATGGCAAAGAGGGGGGGGGGGGTTCGTGCCCTCAAGTGTCTGTGGTAATCCCCACGAAAATTAGTGATTTCGCATTAAGTTTTAATAAAATGATGGCTCATAGAAACATTATTGAAAAAAGTGTGAGCATTGTCATAATTTACATTATTTTTGATATTGTTAATACCTCCTCAAAATCTTTATTTTTTTATTTGTACCAGGGACTTATATACTAATTATAAAGGTTCCTGTTTGTACATGTACGAGAACATACCTTCCAACAATTTTAAGAGAGTATACAATCCGGTAGCGGTTCCAGCGAGGTTGAGTTCAGCTGCAGATCTGTAGCTCTCCGAAAAAAAATATATTGACAGACCGGTCTGTCAATATATTTTTTTTTCGGTGAGCTACAGATCTGCAGCTAGGTTGAGTTCAGGGGGTCCTCGACCCTCCTGCGAGTTTCGGAGTTGAAAATTATATATATGGCAAAATACTAAACGTTATACGTACATGTAATAAGGAAAGAATGAAAAAAAGGCCAAAGATAAGGAACAATGATCGATCTCATAAAATCTTCAAACAATAAATCTGTGGAAAGGGCATAAACACGGACCCCTGGACATTCCAGAGGTGGGATCAGGTGCCTAGGAGGAGTAAGCATCCCCTGCTGACTGGGCACACCCGCTGTGAGCCCTATGTACTGATCAAGTAAACGCCGGGAACAATCCGTAGTCAAATTAGTATAAAAACAAAGGTCTATAACAATTGGCAGGAAACAAGTCAGCCAAAATACGACCCGGTGATACGTTATATTTGATTCTAAGGTCATTATAATGACCATAGAATTTACGGAATGCTGACTTTAAACGAGTTGTTGCAATCCCTGCAACATCAACTTATGTGTGAGTAGCCTGCCTCGAATTAAAAACTGATCGTACTTAGAGCATGCTCTTGAGTAGGGAATAAGTTGGGAGACATAAACACCATATTTAGGTGATAGCGGAATACTACTACATAAATAAGGAATGTTGAAGATGGAAAAAGAACTGAGAATCCCCCCCCCCCCCAAGGAAACATGTTTCCCACTTTTGGTTACATTTTTTGTATTTTAAAGAATTTTTGGCCCGGACCCCCCCCCCCCCCCCCCCGGCAAGAATTTCAGAGTTATTGAATTTCTATAGGAAAGTAACCCAAAATATGCCCTTGAAATGACTTTTTACCCCCCCCCCCGCCCCCCCCCCCCAGTCCCCACTTATACACACATAAGCACAAGAAATAGGGTTTTTGCCTGCGGTGATCTACTAGTGGCTCGCTCTTTCTGTTTTGTTAAAAATAATTTCCATTACGATTTTTTTTTAAGTTGGTACCCCCCCTTTCCAGAAAAGTCCTAGATCCGCCCTTATACAATCACAATTTACTGAGCCACATCGTACCTTGCGGACAAGCATGCAGGTCTTTGACTCTGTAGACAAGTAAACAGACAGGTTTTTGACTCTGTAGACAGAGAAACAGACGGGCATGTGGACAGGTAAACAGACAGGTCTGTAGATAGGTAAACAGACGGCTAGATCTAAGAATTATATCAGGTAAACAGACAGGTCTGTGGGCGTGTAAACAGACAGGTCTCTGAAGAGGTAGACAGACAGGTATGTGACTCTGTGGACAGGTAAACACATTGGTCTGTGGACAGTTAAACGGACAGATAAACAGACAGGTCTCCAGACAGGTAGACACACAGGTATGTAGGACTATATATACAGAACAGTTTGTGGTCAGCTAGATAAACAGACAAATGTGTGTAAGATTAAACAGACAGGAATGCGTATGCAGATAAACAGACAGATAATGGTGGACAGGAAAATAGACAGTCTGTGGACGGGTTAATTAATAGACAATAGGTATGCATACAGGTAAACAAACAGATTTGTCACAGTGGTCAGGACAATATGACAGATAAACAGAAAGGTATTTGTACAGGTAAACAGACAGACTCACATCTTGGACGTATATTGCAGTGATACAAAATGTCTTTTCTGACGTTCAAGAATGGGAATTCCTGACTCGGACCCCCAATCAGTTAAGCCCCCCACCCCACCCCGATGGACCTCGTGCCGTAATAAATCACCGTTTCCGAGCCCTACATTGTTAAACACACATTTATTAATTACTCATGGGATTTCAGAATCGGATTTAAAAAACATTATGAAAATAATTAAACTTGTTTTTCTAAGTGTTCATCAAATTATCTTCTCATTCTGAAAAAAATTATCCATATTTTCATTCGCAAATTTTGAATACATGTCAGTCGTGGTTCTTCCTGGTCCAAGGGGCGATGAACTGAACCAATGAAAATATTCCTATTCCATTTCCTATGTCAAGTTTGACCCTTGATCGACCTTGTGACTTCAAATTCAAAGGACCCTCTCTACACTGCACCATAATTTCAGGTATAATACTTTTGTGTTGTTAGACTAACCCACCATTTGACATTAAAGTAGAATAAATTGTAATCTTCAATCACTGTACTATGACATAATTTAAAATTATAACCCAAGTATTCTAAACATTATATTAGACCAAGATAGAATAGTTGAAAACTTTATTTGCATGTAATTTCTCCATTTGAGTAAAAGCGATTTTTCTTTATTAATATTATTACTTCATCGTCTTTGATGATTTTTTTCTGGATAAAAAAGCCACGCTCCCTATATTAAAAATAAATTAGTTAATTTCAAAATATCCTCCATTACGCTATATAATTTTCTCAAAGTCTAAAAAACATTTTTCAGTAGTGTATAAAGGGGGCTAGCTAGATGATTTCAATCCCAGCGAAGTTAATTGGTTTTAGTTAACCAAATTTTAATATCCTTTAATTCTCTTCATTTCGTATTTCCTAATCATATGGGCAATGTTAAGTATAAAAAAGTGAGATGTTTCACCAGAGACATACCAAGGCCGTAACTAGGCTCATTTTTTTAAGAGAGGTAATGGATCTGGGGGCCACCCGAGTCCCAAGCGGGTCCAGGGTACGTAGTGTCCTGATGGGGGTTCTCGGGGGAGGGGGGTCGAGTTCCCGAAACCTGGATTTTAGCAAATTAAAGACTTAACCTTTGAAAGTTTTCACGTTTTGAATTATTTTTACATGCGTTCTAAACGATAATGAACAGCTGATGAAGCACCTGGTGAGATGATCAATTTACAGAAATTGAAACAAAAGTTGAGAGTATTTATATTAGGCCAAATTTAGTACAAGGAAACACATAATTTTAATTAATTAATTAAAGTTCAAAGTATTTTTTTTTCTCTTTTTAGAAAACTCTAAAATTTTTGAGGCATTTGCCTCATTTGCCTCAATGGTAGTCATACGGCTTTGTCCTGATTTAATTTTCGCGGCAAATGTCTTCGTCATCACTCGGAAGTCATCGATAACGTTACAGATTTCCGAAAGTTTCCGGAAGAAAGGGTGCGACTAACAAGTCAAGTAACCAACCTGTGTCGATCATCGTTTTAAGTGGATTGCATACTATCACCGAGGAAGAAAAAAGAAAACAAAATGCGAGAGTGAATCCGGAATAATCAGTCACCATGTCTCTGCAAGTGGTGGTCATCAAGGCCACGAATGTCCCGAATGCAGAGAAATTTGGAGAAAGTGATCCGTACGTAGCCATCGAATTCCAAGGTAAGTTTTTAAGAGATGCTCAGTATGTAATACCTGATGTGAACCGAGGCGTGTATTCGCTTTTCTGGACATTCTGATGAATATGTTTATGTTTCTCTCCAGGTATAAAGAAGAAAACAGAGGTGATCAAATCCAATCTAAATCCAGTTTGGAATGAGGTGGGTCTATTTCTATATTGCAAAACTTCTCAATTCAAGTTTAAGTTCCACCTACTGAACAATAACAACAACATTGAAAGGGCTTTGTACTAGATCTCTATATTATGTTAATGTAGAATGCATATTTGTGTGCATATTACTTATCTTTTAAATGTACACAGAAGTCACTTTTAACCTGAGAGCCGAATATATATATATATATATATATATATATATATATATATATATATATATATATATATATATATATATATATATATATATATAAACGGCAAAAGATAAATAATATATATATATATACTTCAGTATTTGTATTTTCAGTAAGTCTATTTTATTAATTAATTTTCTACATTGCATGCAGTTAGAATCCCCTTTGCACCAATGTTAACTATGTTAACATGACTAAATTTTGTTGGACATATTACACAAACTGAATGAGTAGGTGTGACATGTATAAGAGTCATTGAGATATTTTGCCTGTGGGTGTGATGTTAAGACACTGGCTATAACAAACTATAAACAGGGGTCATACCTATACAACATAACACCTGATTCACTTATTGCCAAATGCATAAATGATGTAAATTCACCTTGCATATTATATATTCTTCAGTCAGTGTATAATTACATATATAAAGGCCAAAACTGAAATATTCAAGTTTCAGTATTTTTAATACATTTATGTTGAAATCATGAAATACTAGTAAGATGTGAATCATCCAAAGTAATTCATAGCAATATTTGCCTAAAGACATTTAATTCATTAGTTAAGGATCTCCCACGCAAAGATGTGAACGGCCCACTGCTTTTTGTAGTTTTCTGTTTTTTAAATGACTCAGCAGTTTGATAAAAGCCTGATTTTGTGCAAAGGATCATTTTCTTATTTCAAATTCTTAACTGATTGTAAAAGGTACTTTAAATTGATGAAGTTTTGTCTCACATATATTTGTAATCTCCATGCAGTAAAAAATTTATGGAATGCACTGGCTCTCTTATCAGAAATTAATACTGAACTGGTCATCAGTCAATAGTGACCAGTCATCGGTCATAACGTCCAGTCAGCTGTCAACATTGGTCAAGGATACAAAACTGCACTGGTCAGCAGATTTAACCAGAACCATTCTCAGCTTACTAAAAAAATTAACCCAGGTTGTCAATTACATAAACATTTTTAAACATCCAGGTTTTGTATGTATTTGCACATACAAAGAAAAGCATAATCTTTATCATTATTATGGAAGTTTAAATCCCATATTTTGAATGACCCTAAAGCAGTTTATAAAAACAGTTTACAGAAGGATATTATTTTAAAGGAAGACAACAGAGCTACTACATGTTTTACCCACAGAAAGAAACAAATAATGAAAAAAAAGAGAGAAATAGAAAATCTTGGCCAGGATTTCTGCTGTGAATGCAAATTTAATTTTGTGGATGGTTAGGGGAAAAATGTTGAAGAGTGGGTTGGAATGTAGATTTAAACTTCTTTGTGGGTGAGGTTTATGTGTAATTAATCGGTCGGGTCATACCTGTGTTGTGATAATACAGACTTTGATGGCAATCCCACACTTAGTGATACTCTCACAGCCCCTATATATAAGAAAACAATTACCCAGTGTTTGAATCACGTAGGTAGTACAAGTTTGTATCACGTTAGTACCAGTACAAGTACTAGAGAGGCAGCTGAGTCAGCAGTGACTTTTCTGGTACATTTATAGTATATATAGCTAGTACCTGTAACCTGTTTGTATGTGTATGATTGCATGAGAGTTGTCCAATGAATAATAAAAAATATCTGTTATTATTTCCTTAGTGCAACTAGTAAACAACAGATTTATAGTTTTATCATGCATGTACAATTGAAGAATATACTAGGATGTTTTGCTTTGTGGTATAATCATAGTAATACATGTATTATCAAATTTACCACAGTCAATTAGAGCAATGTGATAATTGTATCCTGAACTTTAAATTTGTGTGTACAGCCACCAGTACTTGTAAAGGGCATAAAAACTGGGAGAAGTTGGGAAAGAATAACTTTCAGTTTGCTCCATGTGATAAAAATACATCATCTTATTTTCTTCAGTTGAAAATAATTTTTCTTGTTTTTGTAACTGGTAGTAAACTCAGTAAAAAGACAACAGTTAATATACAACATGTACAAGGGTTACAAATGACCAGAGATAAATTATTACATTTAAACTTTTCAATTTAATGTCTGCCTGTTAGTGCCAACTTAATGGTAAATATTTTTTCTTCTTTTTTCTAGATGCACATATTAGATTATATGTCATTGAATCAATGAGAATTTTTGAATAATGCTATATAACTAAAACTTGTTAACAGTAAGTTGAAATAGAATTATTGATCATACATGTATTGAAAATCTGTCTTAACACATAAAGTGCATTTCTCATCCTCAAGATAAACATTCAAATGACTAACTCATTAAAAAAAAAAATATATATTAAAGATGTGAAAGTCGCTAAATTTCACACGCAGATGATCACAAGAGCTCTTCTTCGAGCTGTGTATTAATAATGATTTTGAAATGCTATAAATCAATGATGAGCAATGTAAAAAGACAAAGTGATGATAATAAAAACAAACCGGAAATTTTAAACACTTAGAAATCCTTAAAAAAAAAGGATGTTGTCTAGTTTTTGCCTTATAAGCAGAGAATTTAACAAGATAATCAAATTTTTAAGGACAGTATTTTTCAGATGAATCAAAAATTTTTGCAAAAAAAAAGAGAAACAAATGAAAAGAGACAAACATTTCAATCCAATTTAATACAGATTCACAGAAAAATTCAATTATTATAGCACTTTTTTTTTAAGGTTCTTTTGAAAAAAATCAAATTGTGAAACTTCAGAAATGATTTAATATTTAGGCATATATATTTCTTTGTTTCATTTAAACAAATACATTAAAATAGACATTTCAGCTAAGTATTGGTCCTTAAATTTGTATTTAATTACAAGTTTGTATAAAGTACAATCAAACCTTAGGATCTCAAACTTGTATCTTTTAAAAAGACTGGCCCAAAACCATAATAATAATAGTAATATTTAATTTATATTGTATTACTTAGTAGTACAACTTAACAAAACAAGAAACGACAGAACTTCGACGCACAACTCGGTCAAGTTAACTAGCCCCACTGTGAATGAACTCGGTCAAGTAAACTAGCCCCACTGTGAATGAATTTTGTTATGCTTAAAAAAATACTGACCAAAAGGGCAGATGCCCTCTTCAATATATACACTGATGAATTGCTGCTTGTTATGGCTAGGCTAGATATCTAGGTCTGTTAAGGCACTGTATGCATTGATGCTTGTTATGGCTAAACTAGATATCTAGGTCTGTTAAGGCACTGTATGAATTGATGCTTGTTATGGCTAAACTAGATATCTAGGTCTGTTAAGGCACTGTATGAATTGATGCTTGTTATGGCTAGGCTAGATATCTAGGTCTGTTAAGGCACTGTATGAATTGATGCTTGTTATGGCTAAACTAGATATCTAGGTCTGTTAAGGCACTGTATGAATTGATGCTTGTTATGGCTAGGCTGGATATCTAGGTCTGTTAAAGCACTGTATGAATTGATGCTTCACAGTTATGGCTAGACTAGATATCTAGGTCTGTTAAAACACTGTATGAATTGATGCTTGTTATGGCTAGGTTAGATATCTAGGTCTTTTAAGGCACTGTATGAATTGATGCTTGTTATGGCTAGTCGAGATATCTAGGTCTTTTAAAGCACTGTATGAATTGATGCTTGGCTAGGCTCAATATCTAGGTCTGTTAAAGCACTGTATGAATTGATGCTTGTTATGGCTAAACTAGATATCTAGGTCTGTTAATGCACTGTATGAATTGATGCTTGTTATGGCTAGGCTAGATATCTAGGTCTGTTAAGGCACTGTATGAATTGATGCTTGTTATGGCTAAACTAGATATCTAGGTCTGTTAAGGCACTGTATGAATTGATGCTTGTTATGGCTAGGCTGGATATCTAGGTCTGTTAAGGCACTGTATGAATTGATGCTTCACAGTTATGGCTAGACTAGATATCTAGGTCTGTTAAAACACTGTATGAATTGATGCTTGTTATGGCTAGGTTAGATATCTAGGTCTTTTAAGGCACTGTATGAATTGATGCTTGTTATGGCTAGTCGAGATATCTAGGTCTGTTAAAGCACTGTATGAATTGATGCTTGTTATGGCTAGGCTAGATATCTAGGTCTTTTAAAGCAGTGTATGAATTGATGCTTGTTATGGCTAGGCAAGATATCTAGATCTGTTAAAGCACTGTTATAATGAATTGATGCTTGTTACAGCTGGGCTAGATATCTAGGTCTGTTAATTAGGCACTAAACGAATTGATGCTTGTTATGGCTAGATATCTATATATCCAGGTCTATTAAGGCACTGTATGAATTGATGCTTGTTATGGCTAGGCTAGATATCTAGGTCTGTTAAAGCACTGTATGAATTGATGCTTGTTATGGCTAGGCTAGATATCTAGGTCTGTTAATGCACTGTATGAATTGATGCTTGTTATGGCTAGGCTAGATATCTAGGTCTTTTAAAGCACTGTATGAATTGATGCTTGTTATGGCTAGACTAGATATCTAGGTCTGTTAAAACACTGTATGAATTGATGCTTGTTATGGCTAGGTTAGATATCTAGGTCTTTTAAGGCACTGTATGAATTGATGCTTGTTATGGCTAGTCGAGATATCTAGGTCTGTTAAAGCACTGTATTAATTGATGCTTGTTATGGCAAGGCTAGATATCTAGGTCTTTTAAAGCAGTGTATGAATTGATGCTTGTTATGGCTAGGCTAGATATCTAGGTCTGTTAAAGCACTGTATGAATTGATGCTTGTTACAGCTGGGCTAGATATCTAGGTCTGTTAATTAGGCACTAAACGAATTGATGCTTGTTATGGCTAGATATCTATATATCTAGGCCTATTAAGGCACTGTATGAATTGATGCTTGTTATGGCTAGTCGAGATATCTAGGTCTGTTAAGGCACTGTATGAATTGATGCTTGTTATGGCTAGGCTAGATATCTTGGTCTGTTAAAGCACTGTATGAATTGATGCTTGTTATTCTAGGTCTGTTAAGGCACTGTATGAATTGATGCTTGTTATGGCTAGGCTGGATATCTAGGTCTGTTAAGGCACTGTATGAATTGATGCTTGTTATGGCTAGACTAGATATCTAGGTCTGTTAAAACACTGTATAAATTGATGCTTGTTATGGCTAGGTTAGATATCTAGGTCTTTTAAGGCACTGTATGAATTGATGCTTGTTATGGCTAGGATAGATATCTAGATCTGTTAAAGCACTGTATGAATTGATGCTTGTTACAGCTGGGCTAGATATCTAGGTCTGTTAATTAGGCACTAAACGAATTGATGCTTGTTATGGCTAGATATCTATATATCTAGGTCTATTAAGGCACTGTATGAATTGATGCTTGTTATGGCTAGGCTAGATATCTAGGTATGTTAAAGCACTGTATGAATTGATGCTTGTTATGGCTAGGCTAGATATCTAGGTCTGTTAAAACACTGTATGAATTGATGCTTGTTATGGCTAGGCTAGATATCTAGGTCTGTTAAAGCACTATATGAATTGATCCTTTTTTATGACTAGGCTGGATATCTAGGTCTGTTAAAGCACTGTATGAATTGATCCTTGTTATGGCTAGGCTAGATATCTAGGTCTGTTAAAGCACTGTATGAATTTATGCTTGTTAATTGGCTAGGCTAGCATATTGTACAAGATCATAGTTTATGTTGCATGAGCTTAATGTAGCTGCTACGATCTTGAATGCAGCCCAGTTATTAAGTGCCCATACGTAAGAATTGTAGACCAATATTCTTTTTTATAATATAAATCTACATTGTTGAATTTATTTTAAATGAATGAATTGTTGACTCAGAAATTCAAGTATATTGAAATATTGTCATGGAAACATCTGCTCTTTAATTAATTATTCTGACATTCTATTGTCACTGGTTGATTAATTTTAATTGTGAATTATGCCTCACATTCCAATTATTATAAAATTAAACTTTAATTGAAAATGTTTATGGGAGGTAAAAGTTCTCGGTTATCAGCCGCTGACTTGTAATTAAGACATCGTTAGCTTGTTTATCAGCATGTTAATCTATTACAGTACTGTATACAGTTAGATCCACCTGTTTAGTGTAACATGCATAAAAAGGACATGAATCATTTTGAATATCATTACATAGATAAAAGTATTTCTATCTACCGGTAATTTTTTCAGCATTTTAACTGAAAACAATAATTAATCATAAACTGCCTTAATAATTGATCAACTGTGACATACTTTTGATACCTGATGAATGTATCATCTTAATTTGTATGAGTTAGCTATTTGTTATAAATTAATATGGTAAAACTGATGAGCGTAAATGTTTCCTGAAGTATGCCTGCTTAAATCATATCACAAGTGAAAATCCTCAGGAACTTTCAGAATTGACATAGTACAACTACAGTTGAACTTTGTTATCTTGAACACTATTATCTCGAATAGCATGGATATATATTTCGAAGAGTTTTAGAAGTCCAAACCACTTATTCTTTAAGTATAATTTACCCATGATATCTCGGTTATCTTTAAGTTTTTCATCTTGCATTCCATCGAGTTTGAGATAACGAGGTTTGACTGTTTTTTTTTCCAAATGCACAATAACTGACAGACAGTCTATACGTTATTTCCCGTTTTAGGTTTTAATCATGCCTTCTTACTAACTTTAATACATTTATTTCTCCTCATCAATTTATTTTTGAGTATGTGAACTCATGGTATTTTTGAGTATGTGAACTCATATTTTTGAGTATGTGAACTCATGATATTTTTGAGTGTGAACTCATGATATTTTTGAGTATGTGAACATGGTGAACTCATGATATTTTAGAGTATGTGAACTCATGATATTTTTGAGTATGTGAACTCATGATTTATCTCAAATGCTTATTCTGGATCAAATTTCATTGTAAACTCAGATATTTTATAAGATTTATATTAAAACACACCTGAAATATGTTGCACATGTTTTATATATTGGGAGAGTAAGCTAGACAACAAAAAGAAAATAGAAAAATATATATATATATATAAATGGCAATAATTGAAACCTCTAATGCATTAATAAAATGTTCCCTTATTACTTAAATAATATATAATTTTATACTATAAATCATTATGCCCCTATAGCATTAACTCCTACAGAATTAAATCTTACCATAGATTTCCGGGCCCCAGAGAAGGATTCTGTTTTTAAAGTAAAAAATTCTAGGTTACAGTGTTATAGATGTTTTGCTTACAGGAATTCCATTGGAAAACCCAGGTTTCTATAGCATTAGCCTAAACAAACCCCTGCGCTGACAGAATTGCTATTTGGCCATCACAGCTCAGTAGACTGTATCAACCACAAACAGATTCTGCTGAATGGATTATTAAATAAGACAGACCTTTTTAATATCAATAACTATATATAAAAACAGGATACATTCCAGGGAGAGTGCAATGTCCTATTAATAGTTTTCATTTCTTAAAATCCATTTAAAAACTTTATTTTTAAAATCTACATATATAAAATAATTTTATTGCAAAAAAAGTATGTCTTTTGTGAAGTTTTTCTTAATCTTGATAATCGTTGATGAATATTTTTTTTAATTTTTCTAGCTACGTATATGTAAAATGATTATATACTTGTTATTTTACAAAACATTGGCACATAAGCAATCTTTATAAAATTATAATATGCTGTATATTTTTATAACATTGGTCTTGCACAAAATCTTGCACTACAGAAAAGATTACCCTGTTCGTCACGTTCATATTTATACTTCAGTTCCAAATTTGATTCCTGTATCAGATTATAATCAGATGCATTCTGCATTAATTACAAAGTTATCAGTGAGCGTCTACCAGTCATTACTTCACCATGTAAATGCAAATTGGGCTTACACCTGTATAAGAAGGGTTGATCAACAGTGTTGAAAACTGTGTTAATAAATTGCAGATCAGGACATTTCTTCCTAATTTCCAAAGATTTGGTTCATAATGAGGGAAGCCATTTTAAACTATATTTTCTGTATAAAATCTTACTGTTCATGTTTGAAAAGGAACAAAATGAAAGCTATATTTTTTTATATTGCCATGATGCAATTTGTGAAAGTCAGAAATCAGATTGATTTAGTTAACATACATATATTCAAACTCGCATGTGAACACATTGCTGACATGATGAAGTTTGGAATTAAATTCCTGGGGTATCAGTGAGCAGGGTTAACACATAACATTCTACATGCTTGTGACAATATGTATTCATTATCAGAATATTTGAAAGGAAATTAATCTATTATGTATTAAAAACTGAAACTCCTTGGCCCTTGCTCTATAAATTGTTGTTTTCATTCATCCTGTTCATTTAAAGCATATGAAGAAAATTGTTTTCTTTTTCAGACTTTTGAGATTGATCTAAGTGGAAGACCATTAACAGCTTCAGATGAACTGCAAGTTAGTGTCATGGACTGGGAGAGGGTGGGCCGAAACAGGTAAATAACTCTTAACGATATCCACCAACCACTTACCTTCAGATCAGGTAAATTATTCAGATCCAACTACTACTTGCCTGTAAAACAGGTAATGACTCATATCCATTCACTACTCACCTGTAAAACAGGTAAATGAATCATATCCCTTCACTACTCACCTGTAAAACACGTAAATGACTCATATCCCTTCATTACTCACCTGTAAAACAGGTAACGACTCATATCCATTTTCTACTCACCTGTAAAACAGGTAATGACTCGTGTCCATTACTACTCACCTGTAAAACAGGTAAATGACTCATATCCATTCACTAGTCACCTGTAAAACAGGTAATGACTCATATCCATTCACTACTCACCTGTAAAACAGGTAATGACTCATATCCATTCACTACTCACCTGTAAAACAGGTAATGACTCATATCCATTCACTACTCACCTATAAAACAGGTAATGACTCATATCCATTCACTACTCACCTGTAAAGAGGTAATGACCCATTTCCATTCACTACTCACCTGTAAAACAGGTAATGACTCATATCCATTCACCACTCACCTGTAAACAGGCTCCTGGGTCATAAAACTTAGACAAGCTCACTTTTGATCTCAGTCTCATTTTCCACTATAAATTTCTTTTGTAAAAGTGAGACTGAGCTCAAAATTGTGCTCATCTAAGTTTTATGGTCCCAGAGCCAGGTTATGACTCATATTCACCCACTACTTACCTGTAATATAGGTATGACTCCTAACTACTCACTACAGACAAATAGACGGATGGACAAACAGACACGGAGCAAAGTGATCCCTAAGTGTTGCACTGCTTTGAGGGGACACAGACACATTGTTTGTGGGGGACCAATGTTCCTGGATTTATATTGATTCCTGAATCTACCGTATAAACAAGTAACCCACAAAATTATGTCCCCATGAACAAATAAAATTTGTCTTGCCCACGAACACTGACCCCCATGAATTAAAATGATTCGACAATATTTTGTAATTTCTGTCTCTGAATCCTTTCAGTGTTATTTTGCAGAACTTGATCTTTCATTCTCAGAAAGTGTACAATTTTAATGATTGATACATAGACCTGGCAGGGATCATTATGTTAACATGGTTAAGGAGACATCTTATGTACAGTGTTATTATGCTCATCATATTATAGTGTTCTTAACCTTATAACACATTAAGAGAGTGTCATAATCTACGAGTGTTTTCTCTCCCGTTAGGGAAGTGTTTTAGTAAAGTACAAACACTCATGTTCATTATTACAATCAGTGATGAAAATAAGTGGCAATCTACGTGATCTACTTATCATTTTCTTCATATTTTGTAGTCCACTTATTTAAATGGTTTTTAAGACTCTTAACATGAAATGATTAAAAAGCAGTTTTTGATGCAGTATCAGCATACTTACTGTAGATGCAGAAATGTCATTATTCCCTATAGATGTATGCATTGGATCAGGTGTAATATGTATACCTGTACAGTGACATGCTGCACAGCTGGAGTTAATGTAAGAAGCTAAATAAACAGTATACATTTAGGTTAATAAAGCATAAATATCTGATCCACAATATTTCAGATGCATGCAGGTGTAAACATATATATGGAATATTTGTGAAACTAACAAAAACTATTATGGAGAATATTGACTTTGGGTTAGACTTTGTCAGTAGTTATTCTGTTTATAAGTAGTTGTCATAAAACAAGTGAATGACTACCGAAACAATGCTAAGCAACACCAAACATTAGCTACATGACTCCCCCCCCCCCCCCCCAATAAATCGTATAGTAAAATATACCTATAAAGGATTATGTCACTAAAGATTTATGCCCATGTAGAATTTCATTGTGCCAGAATTGCAAATTTTTCTAAGTCATTAACCTAAAGTGAATTTGATTGATTTTGTACCATGGAATTTTTTGTACTACAAAGATTAATCTACCATTGAAAGGAGGCAGTATTTGAATTATTTATGGTTCACGCTGCATTGCGGTAGAGACTTTTCCAAAGCAAAAGATGAATCAGATCCAACCTCTGCAATATACATGATATATACTTGATCACTTTGTAACCATAGTAATTAGGAAGCATTTGAGTAATTACATGAATTATCAACTTTAACGTTTTTCTGGATACATTCCAGTGAATATGCATTTTGTGAAATATGTCCATGGGAAAAGTCTCAGTTTATAACCCCTTCAATTTTTTTTAAAAAGAGGAAGTATCTGTTTATAGAAATTTTCCCCCTCCAAACAAACACTGCATTAATTTAATAACAGCTAGATCAGCAAAGATTCAAGAGTTCATAAAAGATGTATACACAAGGGATTTAGATTTCTTTATTGGGTTGTTTTGCCCAAGGAGACACACTTGCCATCAAAAGTGTCTGTCTGTCTGTTAAGCTCTATCTGTTTGTCTCCTGAAAATAAAAGATGCAGGTCATACTAGTAACTTCACTGAGTTTAAACAGCAGTAATAGTGGCTTGGAATTAATAAATATATTATCTGTAGTTCATTATTAATTTTAGGGAAATTATTGACAATAGACACCCGTGCAATGTTAGAACATGTACTGTTGAGTCACAATACACCTTTATTTGATCAAGTTCAGGTATAAATAAGAATGGCAGGTATACACGAAATGGCGGGTGTGCCATACAGACATGAAATTCATCTTTGGCAGTTTATCAATTATAGAGTTTTAATGTTTATCAAGTGTAGTGTCCTTATAGGCCATTGGTTGTATATGTAGGTAGATAAAGTAAGAATCCCGGCCAGGTATTTTAACTCCGAGATCAGACATTCCTGCTGGTATATGTCGTAATGACAGTAAACATTTCACCTATAGAGGTTAAGTGTTGACAAGGTGTGGGATGTGGTCATGTTTTATGAAATAAAAATTTACGGAGAAAATATCTCACTGATTGATCGACACCAACAAGAATGACATGTAATTAATTACTTATGATGAATTAATTAGTTATGACAATAAAACACTGACTCATATTTTTCTGTTTTCTTAATAATAATGAGAGGGGGCCCAGGGGATGCACAGTCTCAATCATTCAGTAAAGTATTTTGTGCACAAGTACTCTTATTCTGAGTTGCTATGTGGATGGAGGCAGACCAAATGGCTGTCATAAACTGCTTGATATAACCTAAATCAAAGAAGAGTTTACAAGGCATTTTAAATGTGTGCAGCAGACTGCAGCTTGTCCATTTAAGTTGGATTAGTTGCATAGATGTGTTTAAACTTTTCAAAAATTTGAAATGCAAATATCTATTGTACACTATAGGCAGACCTCATGATTTGTTTGTGTATCAAAAATGCCAGTCTTGTATCAAAAGTGTTCTTTAAATATTAAATGTGAAGCATGCATACCTGATTTCTCCCTCTGGCAGTATATGTATACCTTTGTCTATAAACCAGACATGATCTTTAACTTGTTTTGTCTTTCAGACTTTTGGCCCAGACCAAGGTCCCCCTGCGGAACTTACTGCGAGGTGGAGCCCAGTCTGAATCCCTTAACCTCAGTCTCAAGGACAGTAATGGACGACCCACCCAGGTAACCAAACTGTTCAGTGTTATTGGTACAAACTGTAGCATCATTGTTGTAGCCATCAACAATACATTTCCTGTACAAGTCACATTAATTGAGGATAAATCTGCTATGAAAATTAACCAACAAATCTATGTGGAGATTGACTATACATTAAGTATAGGTATTTCATATAATTATACCCCTAGCTTTTCATATTATATTCAAGCAGGGGGTATTTAGTGAGGGGGGTGTCCATCTGTACGTCATTCCATCCTTCCGTCCTTAATACTTGGGGGTACCTATCTCTTATCTGTGACTCCTCCTATACAACTGAATAAAATTTAGTGAGACAATCTTTAATACACAGTGCCATTGAGCACTTCCTATTTTTTGTTTTGATTGGACAGATATTTGGGGTTTCCCATAGCAAAACATGGACACTGCCATTCCTTCTAATATAATGTTGGGGGTACCCATCTCTTACCTGCAACTCCTTACTCTATACCACTGAACAAAATTTAATGAGACTTTCACAGAGTCTTTATTACATGGTGCCATTGTGCACTCCTATTTTTCATTTAGATCCGACAGATATTTGGTGTTTTCCATGGCAAAAAATGAACTCTGCAATTATACTCGTATGGAAGCGGGGGCATCATTTAGTGAGCTTAGTGCTCACAGTACCTAATAGTTTTTAACATGTAATAAATGACGTAGTTCTATGCAAATTTATGTCACACAGACATAAATAGACATAAATGATAGGCATATGGGATAGATTTTATTCCTGTGGCACATCTACAATTATGATCTGAGTCATGAATAAATCTTTAATATTCATGTAATAAAAGAGCAGAATTAAAGCAGATAAAACAAGTCTTCCCTCCTATGACTAAGTATAGAGCTCTGTTATATGTAAATTGTTTTGCTTTCACAGGCACAGCTTGAGATGAAGTTGATGTACAAGCCACCAGCATCAGCAGCCCCACCTGCGTCCGCTGGAGCCACAGGGGGCACTGACCCCACCCAGGAAAGTCAAGGTGGGTAGCTCAAGCCTTGACCATTTAAAATGGAATGAAGTTCACATAACAGGGGCAAGTGTCAAGTTACACTGAACACTGGAGGGCATGGAAACTCGATCAATATGAGTATACAGTAAAACTCACTTATAAAGAACTCAGATATAAACAAATCCCCACAAACACATAGTTTTTCCTCAAACCACAAAAATGTGAGCCCATGAATATATGTGATTTAACAGTATATATTACATGAGTATTATTTCTAAGAAAAGGAACATAAGGTCAACCTGATGTCAAGTTTCAGAGGTCAAAGTTATTTTAGCCAAAGAGATGATATACATTGACCCTATCAATAATATGAGGAGGGATTCACTGGAAAAAAAATTGATTCATGAATTTTTTGAGATAAATATGATTTATTTATGTGCCTAGCTGTAGAAAGAAAAATGAGTAAACTATGACCATCTTCCCCTTTTTCTCCAAAATGCACACACCCTTAAGACTATGGAAAGGATCTGATAATAACTGTTACATTTTGTAAAAAAAAATAAGTAACAGAGTGTTGCCCTCCTTTGTTACTTTGTTGTGTATCAAGAAAAAAATGATATTCCATCAATATTCAGCCTGCTGTCCCAGGAAGGCATTGATCCCGTCATATGTAACAGGTGTTTATATACACATTCTCAGTGTTTGGGATTGGTTATGGAGACATAATTCATTTGTAAGTGATAAAAGACTTAAATCAATATAATGGAAAACCTTCGAACCACCTTAACTCGGGTGGGAAACCTGGGAAACTTCTCCATTAGCTTGCCAAACTTATCACGAGACATGGAGAAAACTGGAGAGGAGACAGGTCCTGTCGAAACTCTACAGGTTCCCCAGTATCAGGCGGCTGCTAGCTGTCAGTCTAGTGTGCAAGGTAAGAAGATTCAAACAACCACCACCAGGTCCTGGTTTCCTGTTTGTACCTCCCTCAGCATCAGCCGGCTGCTAGTTCTCAGTTCAATGTGTGCAAGGTAAGAAAGTCCAAAGTCACCCCATCCTGTTTGTCACTCCTTTCCCTTCCCTCCCCCACCCATCCCTCCCCCAGTATCATCTGAGTGTTAGTTGTCAGTTCAGTGTGCAAGGTAAAAAAATTCCTAAAGTCAACCCATCTTGTCTGTAACCCCCCCCCCCCCCCCACCCGAGTATTTGTAGGCTTTTCATTATCAGTCCAGTGTGCAAGGTAAGAAAGTCAATCAGCACCTTGTCCTGTTTGTTGAAGTCTCTCACTATCAAGTCTTGATAGTCCATTTTAGAAGGTAAGAAAAACCCCAATCATCACCTTATCCTGTGAGTCTCTGTAATTGTCTATCATTAACTCAGAAAAACTCTACTACCACTATGTCCCCCTTCCTGTATCAGCAGTCTGTATGTTGACTTTATTGTGCAAGGTGATAATATTTATAATGCTTAGAAATTATGAAGTAATGACAACACCCGTTCTGGGGTAAGTTTGCATCCTCAGGTGTACCTGAGGGACAGATTTGAAAAACTAACTTCCCTTCTGTAGGAAATCCTGCAACCCCTTTCTAAATGAGTGAAGAAGTTTACCTTCTCCCGTTTGAAAAAAAAATCCCTTAAACTCTTACAAAGTGGCACAAAGTTATTAACTAAATGTATAAGTAAGGAAGGTACAAATACTAATCAATCCAAACCAAGTAGGGGAACTCTCACATCTCACAGAAATAAAATGGCCTGGGGGGGAACTCTCACATCTCAAAGAAATAAAATGGCCTGGGGGGAACTCTCACATCTCACAGAAATAAAATGGCCTGGGGGGAACTCTCACATCTCATAGATATAAAATGGCCTGGGGGGAACTCTCACATCTCACAGAAATAAAATGGCCTGGGGAGAACTCTCACATCTCATAGATATAAAATGGCCTGGGGGAACTCTCACATCTCACAGAAATAAAATGGCCTGGGGGGAACTCTCACATCTCATAGATATAAAATGGCCTGGGGGGAACTCTCACATCTCACAGAAATAAAATGGCCTGGGGGGAACTCTCACATCTCATAGAAATAAAATGGCCTGTGGGGAACTCTCACATCTCACAGAAATAAAATGGCCTGGGGGGAACTCTCACATCTCATAGAAATAAAATGGCCTGGGGGAATTCTCACATCTAATAGAAATATTTTGTATGTGTGTCTGTAGTTGCCATATTGAAAACAATGTTGTCAGAGTTATGATAAGTATGAAGGAGGCATTAGCAATGTAGTAGGTCTTTAAGATAGATCACATTTGTGACTTTGGGATCTGGATCATTGGATTATTTAATTACAGATAACTTTTGTATCCTGGTAAATTAAACTGTTGGATTTTGCTGACATAAAGTAGAGATTGAGTCCATTAGTTGTGGTTGTTATAGTTCTGTGTAAGATATATAGCCAATCCTCCTGTTGTGTAATATGCAGGAAGCAGGCCGTACACATAAATAACAGTTTATCTCTTATGTGTACAGGACATTCAGGAAGTTAATGCTTGTTCAGTCAGTTTAAAATTTACCTTGACTGTTTTGTATGTGAATCTGTATACTGCCGACTTCTAACAGAATAATTTCTGTTTTCAAAAATATTCTTATAAAAGATACTGCACAACTAAATTATGTTGAATCTTACAAATTTATTCAATTTAAATTTTGAATGAGATTTTATTCAGTGAATGAGATTGGCCAGTAGGCACAGCCTATTTTAGCCCTGACCCTGAGTTTATTCAGTTTGAACCTTGATAACTACTTTTGTCTTTTCAAGCACCTTTGTATCACACCTGTTTTTTTACACTGGAACCATGTCATCACCTCATATTACATACCTACCCACATATGCACCTCGTAATACACACCTGCCTACCTAAGAACCACATATCATACACCTTCCCATATAAGGACTACATAACACACACCTGGCTAAGTAATACTCCCATATAATGACTTTATGGGGTGTGTTAAACACACCATCTGTTACAGCACTTCATTACATACACTTGCCCATTTAAGTACCTGGGTACACTTGCCCATTTAAGTACGTGGTTACACTTGCCCATTTAAGTACCTGGTTACACTTGCCCATTTAAGTACCTGGTTACACACAACCTGTTCATATAAACACCTCATAACATATATCTGTCCATGTAAGCACCTCAACTCTTTACAAGTCAGGTTTGGGGTCTCTTCTTTTGGGAAACCTATATATACCCCCTGTTGGAGGATACTGGTGTATATATATAGTAACCATATGAATGTTGTTTTACAGGTCAGGTTTTGGGGGACTCCCTGTTGAAGGATACTGGTCTATATATAGTAACCATATGAATGTTGTTTACAGGTCAGGTTTTGGGGGGCTCCCTGTTGGAGGATACTGGTCTATATATAGTAACTATATGAATGTTTTTTACAGGTCAGGTTTTGGGGGACTCCCTGTTGGAGGGAGATGAGGAGGAGGAAGAAGAAGAAGTGGACACTGGCCCCCCTCAGATTGACCCGGCCACTGGACAGGTCATCCCCAAACCCAAACGGAAAAAGAAACGGGGAAACAAAATGGGCCGGAGAAAACTCCTTGAAAATCTCTCAACCAAACCAACCGACTTCCAGGTAAGCACATTGACCTGTAAAACATCTTCATTTCTATCCATCTTTAATCAATCAAGAAATTTCATGTTCACCCTCTTCTACAAGCAACATAAATGTTTTAGTCAACAGTTTGAAACGCTTCTTGAAACTAAAATTAAAAAAAAATAAAACAAGGGATGGACAAAATTGTCTTTTAAAGTTACGTCCAAGAAAAAGAGATGTACACTTCAAAAATTTTACTTTCATCTTATGAATTAAGGCTTGATTAAAAAATTTGTTTTGACTGTCCCAGCTGTGAATATGAAAATTGAATTTTTTTTTTAAAAAGGTACACATCCAATCAAGTTCATTGACTCCTTTAAGTTTTTGGCAGTGCATAGTTTTTGTCCTATGTACTGCTGTGTACAGAACGTGTATACATGGGAGACACATGTTCTGCACCCCATTGATTATAAGGATTCAGTAATGACAGATTGTTACGTGGTCTGTTTGTCTTCTGAGGATGGCAGCCCTGGCTATTGCTACCAGAATAATACACAGATATTAGATTCTGGGTACAGCTGGCGAATTGAATCGAGAAATCATTAACACATATAAAAGTCACCATTCAGCCGTGGGGGGAACGGCATTTGTGACCGTAATTACATCTACTCACAAACACAAATAATTTGTGTTTGCTGATGCAGTTTTTGGTTTGGTTAATTTAACAAGATTAAGATAATTACGTGCAAGCTAATGTCAGATAAAATTGATAAATTATATATAAAATTCCTGTCAAATTATTCTGTTCCTACAAACTTTGTCAAGTTACAGTTGTAACAGAACTAAATTTATTTGATCTATGTATATAATTGAGGACCACAATCTTGTCCCCCTCTGTCTGTCACTCTGTTTGTCTGTCTGTCTGTCTACCTGTCTTTCTGTCTGTCCATCCTTCCGTTTGTCTAGCTGATTTGCAGTCTGTCTAGCTGTCTGTTTGTCTGTCTAGCTGTCTGTCTGTCTGTCTGTTTGTTTGTCTGTCTGTCTGGCTGGCCCCTTCTGTTCCTCAGTCTCCTCATTTGTCACAATGTCCATCTCATCTGAGTAGTTACCTTATTCAAAAGTGAAACAATCATAATAATTATTTTTTTTTTTAGAAGTATATGTTCACTTATCAACATTCTTTTATTTTTATTACTATTACAAATATTCTTCCTTTCCCCTACCCCTAACTGCAAAAAAGTTTACAAGGTGTAAAGAAATCACCATATCTATCTGTCTGTCCCACTTCAAGTCAGGGCCAAAGGTCAGAGCTTTCTCATACGAGACAGGGAATCACCATATCTATTTGTTTGTCCCACTTCAGGTCAAGGCTAAAGGTCAAAGCTCTCTAATGGTGAAAGATAAGAAGAAGGTTGCTTATGACTAGAGAGTGTCTTGACCATGAAAACATGATACTGTTACTTGATGGTGTCAAAATTTTGAATGATCATGTAATTATATGAACAACAATTTTTGTTACATTTTTTTGAATCTTGTAAAAGAATGCTGTACTTTTCTCAACAGATCAGGGTTAAAGTAATAGAAGCCAGACAGTTACAAGGGGGAAATATCCAACCTGTTGCCAAGATAACCGTGGCCAACCAAACAAAGCAAACTCGAGTGAAGAAGTCAACTAATAGCCCATGCTGGAATGAGGCCTTCTTTTTCAACTTTAAAATATCTCCGGCAGAACTCATGGATGAGCTGGTCGAATTCAAGGTAACCATAATTAAATCTAGCATAAAATTTTTCACGCATAAAAAATTTACAGGGCAAGAATTAACTGTAAGTCTTCACTGGTTAGTATGATCATCAGTCTTTTGTGCTAAATACTTATTAAGATCATTGTCTAGTAAAAATTACTTAAACAGTTTGAAATACTCTTCCATTGTTATGTTTGATTATGAAGCTTAGTCAAACTTTGAAATATAGGCCACCCATTTTATTCTCAAGCCAGGTATTCATACCGAAGATAATTTTTAGACATTTATTTTCTATTCCACTTTTTGCAGGTTTTCAACTCCAAGAAGCTGAGGTCTGATGCATTGATTGGATCCTTCAAGGTAAGACAAGAGAAATATGAAATCTGATTTCTTATGACAGTTACAGCACTTCCTTCTTAAAAAATAACTTTAACAATATACTTTTATAAGTTGGACACTGAATGCCTGAAGCGAAAATAAAAATATGTTGAGAAAAACAGCAAGAAAATATTTTGAGTTGTGGCAATTTTTACCAGTTTGAGATTTTAATATAGGCCTAGGTTATTGATGTAACAAAACTTTATTTTTCCTTTTGATGGTATGATATGTATGAACCATAACGCCCAGCTTTCAGTACTTTCAGTACTTTGATTCCTTTTGACAGTGTGATGTCGGCATGGTGTATCTAGAACAACGACATGCCTTCCTCCAAAAATGGCTGTTACTAAGTGACCCTGAGGATCAAATGGCGGGTGCCAAGGGCTACCTGAAAGTGTGCGTCTGTGTCATTGGACCTGGAGATGAGGCCCCAGTAAGCTTTCTATTTATTTATAACAGTAACTGTATTCATGTCTTATTTTGAACTTTGTGTAGTAAGAGAATTTAGTTAATAATGTAGGAAAACTTACATTCAAATTGAAAGAAGTATTGGCAAGATTGTCTTACGATTCCTTGATTGATTTATCTTCTGCATGATGTGATTTTTTTTCTACTTCTATATATAGATGATAGAGTTATTAGAATACTGCCAACATTATTAGTTACATAGTTATCTCTCTTTCCCATCCATTGCTGTGATATAATATCCAGTATTTATATCTTGTGTCTCAGTGATTTTTACGTTTTGTTTATTTTTCAGAGCTTTAAATCAGTGGCCGGAGAAGAAACAGATGACATTGAAAGGTAACACTGGCTCTCATTCATGTTTCCTGCTGTAACTGATTTGTTTTGATTTTGAATCAATTCATGGTTCATTAGTTTCTAAAATCTTATTCAGTTGCTCTGTACAAGTGAACCTAGATTCACACATAAAGTTTCAATTTGTAAAATAAAAAAAGGGTTTGAGTTGTGAGTAAAATTAATATTAAATTTGAAATTCTACTTCTTCAATTTATATTTCTACATTTTTAAGGAATTTAAGATGAGCCCTGATTAATATTCAGTGTGTTTATTGATATTAAATCTGTGTTTCAGTAACTTGCTACGTCCAGCTGGCGTCCAGTTGCGGCCCGCGACCTTCATCCTTAAACTGTACCGTGCAGAAGACATCCCAAGGAGTAAGCTACACTGTTATCTGTTGATATATAGTACTTATATGGTCTGAACAATTATATTCTGAATAGTAAGGGAAAATCAGGATTGTTCCATTGAGCCCTAGTTGTCAAGTGTTAGAATTAAACTCTGTGTGGTGAGATAGGGAACTGACTCTCCATTATCATGATTATGTAACTTTATACCTGTCCAGTACAGAGTAATGTTATTTTTTTGTACACCATTATCAGAGGTCCCTATAAGTAGAAGTAAATTAACTAATTGGATAAATGTAAGATGTATCACTAGGATGATCCTGATCTGTAATAAAATTTCAATAAAATTTCACCTGGGTGACACACATTTGTAACAATATATATGGAAGATCTTGTCTTTGACAGTGGACTCTGCCTTTATGCAAGGAGTGAAGAAAGTGTTTGGTATTGGAGAAGAACAAAAAGAACTTGTGGACCCTTACTTTGTCTTCAGCTTTGCAGGAAAAGAGGTAGGATTGTTTTAAAGGAGCAAAATGAAAAAAAAAATCAGACCTGGGTTAAGCTTTTTAATAAAATGATATTTGTAGTCTAACATTGTTTACTGCAGTAATAGTATTTTGTCTACAGGTGCAATCTAAAATCATGTACTAAAGTGACTTATAACATACAACATTTCTGTACTGCAGGTGCAATCAAAATCTGTCCTTCAGTGATTTACTACAGGTGCAATCTAAAATCATATACTGCAGTAACTTATTGGATTTCTTTACTACAGGTGCAATCTAAAATCATGTACAACAATGATCATCCAGACTGGAATCAGGTGTTAAAGATTGGGATTCAGTTTCCTTCAATGTGTGAGCGTCTTAAATTCATGATCAAGGACTGGTAAGTTTGTATTCTTAATAAGAACTTTTTGAATCCTTGAAATTTTTATGGAAATTTAAAACTCCCCTGCTATGAAGATGACTATGCTGGATTCAACATGTCTGTCTGTAGATGAAAGATTATTATAAAACTTCTAGTCACTTTGTGCTTCATATGAAGGGGTATCCAAACCAAACTTGTAAATATGGAGCATCCATGTGATTCATGTTCCAGATGCAGCATCTGACCTACTTTTTTTGGTACAATGATTCTGGTAAAATTTTACAAGGATAAGCTTGTTCCATAGTCCAGATGCTGCACTGACCTACAATTTGTGGTCCAGTGATTCTGGTAAAAAACAAGGGTAAGCTTATCATTTAAGACACTCTCTTATCCAAATTGGACATCTGGGAATAATTAGTGTCATGCATGCCTTGGATTTTGCATTGACCTACATTTTACACTAGACGGACTCCTCTTAAGGTCAGCATTAAGGTCTGTCCCAGATTTTATCAAAAGCAGTATACAGATCAAACCTACCTACATTGTGCATTTATTGATGCTTGATCTGATTCATTCATCAAACTGTGTATCTTTCCTATGTTTGTGTAGTTGAGTGGGATTGTACTGCTATTTTTTAAAGAGACATCCAAAACCAAACATGCACAAATGATATACATGTATGTATAAAGTTACTTTAGTTGAGAACACTGTTCAGGCAACTCTATAGCTTATGAAATGTGATATTTGAATAAAACCTCCACAGAGTGCATTTTAAATGTTTTTGTTTGTTTGGATGCTGCATCTGACACCTTTACACTTTGATGAGTTAAGAGGGCAGGAATAAGCATATTACAAAACTGAACGCGACTGACTACAGGCACACTTAATGATTTGGTGAATGTATTAAATGCTCTTGTCTGAATTTATGACTGTGTATTTTTGATATGGCTCATTGGGAGGTATTAGTCTGGGACAACTCCAGTTGATTTTAAAATTCATTGGCTTTGTTAATGCTTTTCATGTGATGTTGATGCTATGTTATTGTTTGAAATTGATATGTTTTACTTTTATTATGGTGGAATTGTTCACAAATACTGATTTGATGATTGCAGAAGTGGAACATTGGAATGTGAAGCTTGAATGATGTCATTGTTATCATTGCTTTAAAACTAGAAAGTCTCTTGCTTGTCCTTAGAAAGCATGGTTTTTAGTGTTTTTGATTTTTAGCCCCTCCCCCCTTCCTTTCCCCTACACCCTTAATTCTTCTTTACAAAGTGGTTCAAAAGAAGGTTTTTTTTTCAAGAATGCAACAATTAAACATCTATATTCAACCTTCACTTCACTATTATTCAACCATACCTGGGCTGTAATTATGGGTTTTATATTCAACCATCACTGGACTGTAATTTTGGGATTTATCAACCTTCACTGGGCTGTAATTATGGGATTAGATATAAATTTCACTGCAAGTATGCTATCCCCTTTCATGAACATTTTTAAAATGATGTTGGCATCAACTTTTAATGCTGTTGATATAAACTTTGCATGAAATAGGGAAATAACAAACAGTATTCAAGCTCAAAGTCCATTAAAACAATACAAATTGGGAGCAGAGCAAACAAATACCTCCAAAAACAGAGGTGGGATCAGGTGCCATGGAGGAGTGAGCATCCCCTGCTGACCAGTCACACCCGCCGTGTGCTCTTTGTCATGATTAGTAAATAACAGAAAAATCTGTCGACAATTCATTGTGTAAATAATGGCCTAACAATAAGTATGAAAAAATGTCAGTCAGCATATGACTTAATGATAGATTGTATTTGCTGACAAGGTCATTGTATCCACCATAGAACTTATGAAATGATGACTTTAAAGGAGACTGTTGATATTCTTGTTTCATCAACTTGTTTGTCAGTAACTTACCTCGATTTAGAAATTGTTCATATGTAGAGCATGCTCTGGCTTATCGAATCAACTTCGAAATATACATCCCATATGCAGGTGATAAGGGTATATTGCTGCATAAGTAAAGGAAGTTGATGATTGAAAATCAATTGATGACTGCATGTCTCACTAAAATAATGTTAAGTGTTTGGCTAAGGGACAGTTTCTATTTGACTAAGCTAGGGTTGAAACATAAGATTCTCAAGCTAAATACGGTAAGCAAATAAGGCATCTGACAGAGCTTTCAGCCCAGAAAGAGGAACCATTTCCTCTGAAATAATTTTCTAGCCTTATAGATACCGTCTTATGAGAGCATTGTTATACATATCCTTTGTCATGTTATTTAGCTGTGTTAATGATTTGTGCATGTTGTCATGATGGCATGGCTTTTCATTTTGTCTCGCGAACAGGGACCGGATTAATGAAGACGACACCATTTCCTCCGCTGCTGTGTCAATTCCTCTGATTTCCTCCTCGGCGGAGGGCCAGGATGGTTGGTTCCCAGTCCACGTATAGAACCAGCTTAATGCTCGGCTAACAGTCCAACACAAACATGTTTGTTATAGGGACACAACTTTTATCATTTCGAAAATTCCTTAAAATCTTTGAAATTCATGTGCAATAATTATTTTGTATTAAAATGATCTTTTTTTGTTGGCAAATCTCAAAATAATCCTTGATTAAAGTTATGAAGAATTTTGTTGCAAAGAGAGTCAAAAGTTGAGAAATGTCCCTGTGAAAATGAACATGTATGTGTTAGCTTTTTATTGTGGCGGCTAGTCAACTATGATTATCACTGACATATACACAACCTTGTAGCTTAACGACAGGTTGTGGACAATAATTAGTACTTACCTACACCAAACCTGTCAGGTTCATTATTATTTCTCTTCTTTTTGGGGAGAGTGGTGTGGATGAGGGTATTAGATACATCTTATTATAGATGAACATTATTGAGTTTGTTAAAGTCAAAAGAGATAGGTCATGTAGAATATAGGTCAAAATTTTGCTGGCATTCAGACACATTGTACCATGTTAATACTTTTCAAGAAAATTGGAATTCGATCTAACTTGTAAAATCATTCAGAACTATTATCATTATACAAGTAATTTAATTTTTTTTGTTTTTGGTTCTAGAGGGTTGCAGTTTGCAATTTCTCTTGGTGCTTAGGGAATTACTTGACAGGTTTGGTCAGTCAAAACAACAAAACAATCCATTGTAATGTACAGTATATCTTGCATGCTGATGCAAGCTTCTCAATCAGCAATAACTGTGTATCCGTGTAGTCACATATTACCCAGGGTGAATGGAGGAAGGTATCAATATAACTCTAACATGATTAATACTAATTATAATGTTCATTCCAGGAAGGTGATGTTGATCAGTGTACAATATTTGCCCTAATAGGTGCTTAAAAGGGCAGATACGTTAATTGTTTTGACGTGCATGGTTAGGCTTTGCTAATGTTTACATCTAATGTTGATTGTTTTTCGTTGTTGCTGCCACCAGGGACAGGATGAGCATGGACGATGTCGTGGGGACACATTACATCCCGCTATCGCTGATGTGTTCTAGCGGAGAGCTTGGTGATTATCTCCCTTGGCTTCAAACTCTCTCTTATTTTGATTTATTTGCTTTTCACCTTGTAGCTACCCAAATTGTGGGATTCCATTACAGACATTTGGTCACATGACACTGCTATGACTCATTAGCATACTCAAATGTACCAGTAAATACTAATGTTGATGAGTATAGTGGCACTTTGAGTTTCTATGCTAATAAGTTCAGTGTCATACTTTGTAGTTGAGTGTCTTTGTGATGTTGAGTGTAGCAGCACTCTCTTTTTATACTCATAGCTGTAATATTTCTAGCACTGTGTTTTAAATTGTTTTGTCTGTGACTTAGGGATAGAATTAGCGAGGACGACACCATCGGGACTGAATTTCTATTGACCTCCCTTATCTCGTCTTCAGGCGGAAGCGGTATTTATTTTTGTCCGGGCATCTTTTCCTTTTTAGATTTATAACCTTTCAGTCAGAAAGCCGAGCTAGTTGGTGTGTGTTGAGAGCTTTACATAGAGCTTCTAACAAATGCTTTTAGTGATGCTTATTGGGAGGGGGGTGTTATTAAAAATTATTCTACTTAAAAGGGGAAACTCAATGGTTGAATTCAAACCAAATAAACTCAAGTTGGGAAAGGTTTATCTGACTGAAATTTTTTTTCTGTGTGAAAAAATTAACTATAAGTGAATGAAATTGACACCATTAACAATTATTTTTCCACTCTCTGTACCTATTAATATTACAGTTTATGCACCTGTAGCCAAAATATATTTAACAGACAATTTTTACTAACATCAAATAATATACATGTAGTGGGTTCCACTTACTCCAATAGAAGAGAACTATCAGAATATCAGTTAATCAGTGTAGGCTACAATTCTCAACCGAAAAACTGAAAAAAAAGAAAGAATTATTCAGTTTCAATTTCACATTAACACACAGTTTGAAATGTAAATGTTAGTTTTAATAATCTGTGGAATCAATGAAGTGTTTAAAATTTATTGTTTGTTTTGCATTTGCTGTAAAATTGTCCTTAATGTGGATTTCAAACTTTGGGAAATGTTTTGGATTTTTATTTTTTTTTTTTTTTAATTTGAAAAAGAGAAATATTCAGCGAAAGCAATTTTTCAGTCTGGAACCCATTACATTGACCATTGATATATCAAGTCTCTGTAATAACTTCTGTAGATAACTTAAACATTGTCTTTGTGAGAAGTGGATGTACAGTGCAAATAATGTATTTACAACCACTGAATATTTTATGATTTCTAATGAAAACCATTCCTAACATTAGATATCTCTCAGTGTGTGTGTTAAGGGGTGGCATGGGTTAAGTTGGGGGGGGGGGGGGGGGGGGTTGACATGCTTTTGTAACTGTCTGTTTATCTGTCATAAAATTCTCTCTCAGCCATTATTCTCCAACCATTGACTGGAATAGGTTCAGATTTTAGTATTTTGTTCCCACATGACCTTAAACTGAGGAAGGTTTTATCTCAAAGGTGAAGCTCACAATGAGATGAAATCATATTTATATCAAGTATAGGCCACAAGTTTCAAGTTTTTTTAACAGTGGCCCTAGGGGCAATGATGGACAATCACAGTGTGTCCAAATTAAAAAGTAATACAAACAATATATAGATATTTCCCTCCTATGAAAGTACATGTCCATAAATTTTCAATATTCAATGAATCATCATGCAGAGTATATTCTTTTACTTTTCCCTTAATAGTTTATAACTATTGCTTCAGTCTATAGATTTAGGAATAATAAAAGTGTGGAAGAGGGATCTAAACCTAACAAATTACATAGGAGTAGATAAGACCCAATTCATATGAAAAAGAAAAATACAATTTGTGTTTTTGAAAAAAAATGACACTCAGATGACCATTTAGGCCCTTCATCCCCTTATTTTAGTTTTTTCTTTTACATCCCCATTGACCAGATGTTAGATTTCAACTCTTTATCACTTTCTTTTCTCTATAAATGTTATGTGCAATGTCATGTAATCTTTAAAAATATTAACTGAAAATATGCACTTTTATTTTTTTTTTAAATAATTTTTTCTCATATATGCAGTATATTATTATTATTATTAATTTTTTTTATATATATATATTTTTGATTTGATAAATGGAAAGTAGTACTATAATATTGAATTTGTAGAATTTGACTAACTTTTGTACTGTTATTATTTATTTATTTTTTGCCTCCAAGGGCCTGGTAATAATGAAATACAAATTTTCAAACTTTACATGAAGTTTTAAAATACAATTTTATATAATAAGGTCTTTTATTCTTTTTTCCCCTTGGCTTTGAAGGTCCTGAGGATGGTAATTTATTATATACCAGAACTTTTCTGACTTAATATCTTAAGTTTGTTTTTATTGCACATTTTAGGCATTTCTCCCTTACTTGTGGGACACACTAGTTTTTGTGGATAACTCAGATTTTGGTGAACTGTCCTGAAATTGTAGATTTCTTCACATTTTTTTTACTCTTTAAGCAATAATATCAAAAAGAATAAATTTAAAAAAAATCAATAGTTATGAAAGTTAAAATTATTTTTTTAAAAAAATGCTAAGCTTTTGTTATAGCAATATGAAATGTTACTGATAATTAAATTTATTGATAAGTAAAATTTTGAACTCAGAGATTTGAAGTGAAAAATAAGGATTAAAATTAATGTTATAAAAAAAACAACATATCATTTTGGGAATGTGAAAATTCACCAGCGATGCCTAAATTGTGAATAGTTAATTAATTATTATGTACCTGATTGGGAATATATTATGACATATATCATTCATAAAATAATAATTTCTGGCATTTACATATTTTTTATTACCATATCTGGAGAATCTTGTAGTTTAGTAGACTAATATTAACTTCATTATACTTTCCAGCCCAGTTTGATAGTAACTAACATTCATACAATTGCATCCCGTAATATTGACATAAAAAATGCTTTATTACTTAGGAATGCATATGATCAGTTGGCAGACTATTTGTTTTTTGCGATTTGTCAAAATGTAATGATCTGAATTCATACAATCTTATATTCCATAGTGTCTTGTACCTATTTTTTGACAGATATGTGATATTTATCTTTGTATCCAACCTCAAACAATAACAGCTCCCTATGTATGCCATAATCTCCTACAATAACACCTCCCTCTATACTGACGAGCTTTCTCCTATTCCTAGCTATTGTCTGCATGTGTCACAGGAACAAGTTTGTGCTAATCTCTATAAAATTTATTTGTTGGTGAATGTAAATGTGAAAGGACTTTGTTTTTGTTGGCTGGGAATTAAAACATTTATTTTACAGATATAAATTTATTTCTTATGTATTTTGAATAATTTTGAAAATCCCCTTGACATGTTTTAAATTTAGTACTTTTTGAACTTAATTATAATTTTCCAAAATTTGAAATATACAGTATTGAAGTAATCATTTCTAGTAATAATTTTAAATCACAAAAAAATTAATTCAATAGTGAATTGTTATTGGGAATAGATATTTCACAGCATACATATTCATGTGAGCTTGCATGATTTGTTTATGCTTTTGATGCGATTTTAGGCTTTCTTCCCACCTTTGGCCCCAGCTTTGTGAATTTTTATGGATCCACCCGTGAATATTCTGATTTGCCAGATGAATATGATGATCTTAACTTAGGAAAGGTAAATAAATGACCACTAATTATACATTATCTGTTATGAAGCAAAACTTAACTGAAACTTGTACAAGGAAGGGGTATGGGGGTGGCCATTTTAAGTAACATGGACAGGTTTAGTAAAGTTTGAATTGTAGCTTTGCATGAGTTTTGATTGTTTCAAAGGAACAAAGCATCCTTTGAAATGTTGTATTTGTTAAATGTATTTGGTGAATACTTATGGGTATTGTAGTAAATTTTCATTGGCTGATTAATTTGATTGACAGGGAGAAGGTGTGGCCTACAGAGGAAGGGCATTGGTTGAGATTCAGACTAACCTGGGCGAGTTACCTGAGATACCTGTGGAGGATATCAACAATGATGATCTACTGAGAGTCCAGGTAATCTCAACAGAATACCTGTTTTTGTGGTAGAATACCTTTAAGTAATATCACTCAAAACTTGTCATCTCGAACTTGATGGGACAAAGAAAAGACTGAGATTTCTTAGGATTCGAGATATTGAGGTTAAAAAAACATAGAAAAAGAGTAGTGGGGACTTCCAACTCACTTTGAAACATCCATGGTATTTGAGATATCGATGTCTGAGATATGGAAGTTCAACTGTATCTTTCTAAAAGTTTATGGTTGATTAAAATAGACTAAATCCGTTATTTAAAATGGGATATTCTGTGTACCTAGACAGCTGGATTACCCAAATGAATTGTTGGTTTTTACTTTTAATCCAGGATAATGTATACTTTATGCTCTGTTTCCAGAAATTCATGCGACGTAGGAAGTATAAACTCCATGCTGCCTTCCTGAATGCTACTATGGTTAGTGCCATTGATGCTCCTGTGGAGTTTGAAATCAGCATTGGTAAGTAGTGTTAAGATTCTCAGTAACATTTATACCACTTATTCCATAGAAATTCATCAGAATTGACAGTATTCAGGACTAGACAACATTTTAAATTGGATTTATTTATTAGCCAAAACTTTTCATAGTGATAGGTAAGATTTGAGAATAAACATTGTATTAGATAAGTTTTATATGTCCACGTATACAAGTTCAAGTCGGTATTGAAGTGGTATTGATGTAAAATGCCATGTGAATTAAGACACTGCATCTGTGGCCTTTCTGTCTTAGAATTGACAAGAAAAATAATAGAATTGACATTACTGTGTCACTTGAACAGATTTAGGGATGGCCAAATTTCTTTTGAAGCATTTCATATGACTCATTTTGTATAATATAGGATATAATTATTATTATTATTATAAGTTAAGATTTCCTAAACATTTATGCAGTAAAATATGATTGGAAAATTAAATTTTGACCCATTTTACTCAGGAAACTATGGTAACAAACTGGACGAGAACACAGCTCCATGTGCTTCCACGACACAGCCGACAAACGCTGTGTTCGACGGCTGTCATTACTACTTCCTGCCGTGGGCTGGGACCAAACCCTGTATTGTTGTAGAATCATCATGGGAGGATATCAGCTTCAGGCTGGAGGGGCTCAACTTGATGCTCAAAATTATAGATACTCTGGTAAGAGATAAAGCTCAAAATTATAGACACTCTGGTATGAGATAGGGCTCAAAATTATAGAGACTCTGGTAAGAGATAGGGCTCAAAAATATAGAGACTCTGGTAAGAGATAGGGCACAAAATTATTGACACTCTGGTAAGAGGTAGGGCACAAAATTATAGACACTGTGGTAAGAGATAGGGCTCAAAATTATTGACACTCTGATGAGTGATAGGGCTCAAAATTATAGACACTCTGGTAAGAGATTGGACACAAAATTATAGACACTATGGTAAGAGATAGGGCTCAAAATTGTAGACACTCTGGTAAGAGAAAGAGCACAAAATTATTGACACTCTGGTGAGAGATAGGGCTCAAAATTATAGACACTCTGGTAAGAGATAGGACTCAAAATTATAGACACTCTGGTGAGAGATAGAGCACAAAATAATTGACACTCTGATAAGAGATAGGGCTCAAAATTATTGACACTCTGGTGAGAGATAAGGCCCAAAATTAAAGACACTCTGGTAAGAGATAGGGCTCAAAATTATAGATGCTCTGGTAAGAGATAGGGCTCAAAATTACATTGTATAACCACACTGATAAGAGATAGGGCTTAAATTATAGACACTCTGGTCAGAGATAGGGCTAAAAAATTATAGACACTCAGGTAAGAGATAGGGCTCAAAATCTTAGAAACTCTGATAAGGGATAAGGCTCAAAATTATAGACACTCTGGTAAAAGAAAGAAATCAAAATTATGAACACTTTTGGCAGAGGTAAGGGTCAGAATTATAAATACTCAGCTAAGAGAGCAGGCTCAAAAAATTATAGACACTCATAATAAAAGATAGAATACAAATTTATAGACACTCATGATAAAAGATACAGTACAAATTTATAGACACTGGTGAGAGATAGAGGGCTCAAAATGATAGACATTCTGAAAAGTAAAAAAAATATATATATTATAGTTTGAGGTCAGGTATGGAATTTTTAGATTATTGGGTATTTTGGCAAGTGTTTGAGAGTATTTGCCCTGTAATTGAACTGTTTTTGTAGGAGGCAAACATTGAGCAGGTTAAGATTGGAATCAAGGCCAAACTTCCAACTCCTGAGTTGGCTCAGCTGCTGATCTCACTGCTCGACCAGCTGGAACAGGACTGCAAGTGAGTGGAAGATTAAAAGTTAAAGGAATTATAATATTCACTTATGGCTGACCTAAATATTTACTGGTGTAACCTCTATAATGCCAGTTTCTGATTAAAAAGTAAAATAAGATATCATACACTTAACTTTTTAAACTTTAGATACCTGGATGCACATGTAACTTTGATTTGCATTAAAAGATTTCCCAAGATTTAGATTTGTGTTTTGATATAAGTTTTTATATTTAGGAAAACTCTTCCTGAGCCGAAGCCAGGTAAACACGTCAGTAACGAGCTGGACAGACTTACTCGAGAATACCGACAGTTTGAGCTTGAAAACATTGGTGACAGCGTGAGTAAGCTAAAACAGTCAGCTACAGACGTACACGAAGCCATAGCAGAGGTGGAGAATTTCCTACAAATACTCAAAAATATGGCCAAAGAGGTGAGGACTCTAATTTCTGACAAGATGTATGTAAAAATGATGTATAAAACTCTAAAGACAGTAATATATGTATTCTTAAATATGGACATCAGTGGTAGTTTTGGTAATCACTAGATTTTTAACCCTCGTCTTGTATTCGTTTCCAGCCACAGAACAGTATGCCTGATGTTGTTGTCTGGATGATCAGTGGAGATAAGAGATTAGCCTATTACAGAATCCCAGCTCATGAAGTGTTGTGGTCAGCTAATCCGGAGTATATCGGCAAACAATGTGGTCGTCTGCAGACCATACAACTCAAAGTAAGTAACAAATACATGTACATATAAAAATAAAATAAAGCATGAGAATTAGATGCATCAGTGTATTATTGAGCTCAAGCAATATTACAGAACATGCACATGTTAGTGTAAGGCAAATGTAAAGTGTTATTTAACTCAGTAGCTACCATTCAGTCCAGCATTTTACAATCTATCAGAAATTAAACCATTTAGAAAGTTAAATGCAACTTGTTTTCATGTAGCAGAAAATAGGTATGAAGTCATAATTACAGAGTATTTAGAGAAGTTTTCTCTCTCAGTGTGTTATTTCATTAGTACGTTCTTTCATTTTCTACTTTCAGTATCCAGGTGTAAAGGCAGAGAAGGAGAAGATAAGTGAAGTTCCAGCGATGGTGCGTGTGAAGATCTGGTTGGGTCTGGCTAACGAGGACGATGCCTGGCATAAAATGCAGACAGAAGGAGAACAAGCTGTCTTTGCAGAAACTGTGAGTGTTTACTGACATTTTATACAAGTATAAACATATGTTAGTGATGCACAAGAATTAATGGATCAAGGCTAGGGTGAAGGGTTATAAAAGTGGTTTTTTCATGTTTCATTGAACATCAATTTTCATTGTTTTTGTGCTTGAGGTAGTCCACAAAATTAAGGTGATCGTATTTACAAATTAACATATCAGTGAAATTGTATTTTTTGACAAAACCACAAAATTTGATCCCCACAATAATTGTTGAAACCAGAGAACTTGCTAAAATTAGTACATATTTCTGTACAAAGAAGCTTTTAAATAAACAAGTTTGACAATTTGTGGTTTGTCTATCAGTGCTGTGTGGACTCTTGTATATGTTTCAGGGTGAGAGCTACTGAAATTGAATGTGTAATTTACAGATTTTTTAATTTAATTAACAGTATGAGAATGAGTGTAACCTACCAGTGGTGGGATGGACCAAGAAAGGACCACTCGGAAGACCAAAGTGGTCAGATAGCCAGGGAAAGGTAACTCTTCAAAGACATTTTATATTGATTATAGTTTATAAAACATGTGTCAGATCCAGTTAAAGTTATGATATTGAATAAATATGACATAAAATATATTTTGCTTGGGACTCGCATGAACATGAAGTATTGTAACAGGAGTTAACATTAGTAACAAATTACTGATATTAAGTTTTATTTTATGTGTCAAGTGTAATTATACATGTATATTATGCCGTTGGCCCAAATGGTTTTTCCTTATAATGTATGAAAAGCTTTTTTCAGGTAATTATATATATTATCATTATATTTCAGTGTAAGCTTCCCCGAGAGATGTTCAATCCTCCCCCAGGATGGAAATGGGAGGGGGATTGGTATGTCAGTCCTGAGCTCAGGTAAGTGTCCACAAGCATGTTACATACATTACAAGTAATAAGGTAGAGCTCAGTAGATATTCAGTATAACATTCCATGGTTGTGTTAAAAAGGATCTGTTTTACAGTATGTTGTTTGACAAGGACGCGGGTCATAAGACTTATATGGAGGAATGCTATGAGATGCAGTCTCGACTTCCAGCTACAAGTTGGGGACCAGCTACCAGGCCATGGACCGATGTGGTCAGTGTTATGATATTTATTTCAATCAAGTTGTTCATATCTCACAATCCCGGCATACCAAATTTAATATTTACTGATTTAATCTGTTAACACGGAGAAAAACTTAATTTATTTGCTTCTGTTTGCAAGAATTGATCATTGCTGCTGTTGAATGCGATTTTGTTTGTTTTAACTGACTTTATTGTTATAGAAAGGTGATGAGATGCCCCCCAAGGACTCTGTTGAGCTCCCTCCTGGGTGGGTGTGGGAGGATGTTTGGCAGATAGATCTGTCCCGAGCGGTGGATGAAGACGGCTGGGAATATTGTGTGGAGGCCACCATGGGAGGATACGGTCCAGTGGAGAAACGGTACCACCTCTGTCGAAGGCGGCGCTGGGTGCGGACCCGCAAACTGGTGGAGAATGCCAAACAGAAGAAACATAAGGTAGCTGCTTTGTTACAAAATCATGGCGTAAAATACTGAATTATAAAGTCTGTTACTGTATCTAAAAATAGACTAGTAGTTCAGTCGTAATCAGGACTGTAGAATGTTTCACATTACAAGTTAGTTTTACAATACTGTAATTGGTACTTTGTTGTTGAATTCTGTACAGTAAGTAGATCGATTTCTCACTTTCTTCTAGATACAAGCAGTTTATCAAACGATTTCTCCAAGAAAAGCCAATTGTTTAGTCTGTTATTTCTTTATTTCAGCACAGACTGGTATATTGTTTACAGCATGAGCTTACAAGTTTTTATTAACACTCTTACTCATTTAAAAAACTATACGATTGTTCAGTGCCAGTATTCCTGGACTAAGTAAGTCTTAGTGGATGTGTCTAAATGTCAGTATTTCTGTGAATGAAGTTAGATAAAATTATGCAAGCCCATTTAAATTTTTAGAATGATTTTTTTTTTAAATTTAGAGTTGTAAGAAGCAATTTTTGGAATGATTTTAAATTTTAAATATATTTTTCATTTGGTTCAATTCCAGAGTTACATATTTTGTTGTTAACATTTTTATTTGGTAAAAAGTAGGGTACTCGATACATTTACTTTATGGTAGTTAAAAACCTGACTCTATTCTTACCCTTTAATTGCTGTTGTCGTTTTGGTAAGTTTGAAGCTAGCATGTAGTAATTTTGAGTGTTACTGAATACTTTCTGTCCCTGGATTTGTGTCTTGAAAATAAAATTTTTTAGTCTCCAATAAATTCTCTTGGTATGAAAAAAGTATTTCTCAACAAAAATTGTGTTTAAATATTTTATAGTTATATTGCATGGATTTGATGAATGTAAATTTTAAAAATCCCTGTAAAAAGAAAAAAAGTGTGAAGTGTTTAAAACTTTTAAGGAAAAAAAAAAGATTTATAATAAATGGATCATTTAGATAGATGATATTCTAATCATTAACAGACAAACTGGACAAGAGTATTTTGTCAATATCACAATCCAGCTCAGTATAAAGCACTCCACTGTTTGTAATTAATTCTTTAAGCCTGGTTTATTTTTACACAGGAGAAGAAAATGGAAGAGGCCGCAGAAGGGTGGGAGTACGCTCCTCTGTTTAACCTCAAGTTCCACCACACTGAACGCACCATGGACATGGTTCGTCGGAGGCGCTGGCACAGAAAGATGGTCTGTGAGAAGAAAGGGGCGGACTGTTTCTTTGCCATGAATTTTGAGGTAAAATGCCATAGCTGTCCCACGTAAATCTTCGAAATGTAAAAATTTTTTTTTTTTTTAAAAAGTATCAACAGTCTTTGTATTTAATTGACAGCAATGTTTTTGCACTAAACATGAATAATAATAATAAAAAACAAGACTCAAAAATATACTCATTGTTTATAAGATTAGGCATATATTAGAGCTTTGTGAATTGAAAAATGTTTTGTTCCCCCAAGAGATCTAATTTAAGGAAACCAAAAGTATGAAGAGTCAGAAATATTGTGGACATTTATGTTTATTTGGTTACTAAGCCAACTGTATTCGACATTAAAGGGAACTCTACTAAACTGCATTTTACTTTGTAAAAGCTTGTTTATTTTGCATTCATAATAAAACATTTTGGCTTCATAGAAATAACCCACGTGAAAAAACTTGTTCCTTAGGATATTTGTATTCAACAACACAGACAAATATTAATGTTTTCAGTATAAATACCAGCTTAGTGTGTTATTAATATATAAAATAAAACACATAGACTTTGGGAATTTTACAGAGCAAGAAGAAGGTAGGAGTTATGTATACTGTTCCCCTGTTCTTATTCTGTTGTCTGGTCTGATTCTGTTGTCTGAATGATTGTTTCAGCATGTTATTATGTGAATTGCATTTTAATTTCCACTGTGGATAGATAATGAGAACTCAATGCTTTCAATCCACAGTAAAAAAGACTGAATTTTATTATCCTCCCTGTAGATAAGACTTAGGTGATTTTTATTTTGGTTCTAAGTTTATTTATCTATCAGTATGTCCATCTCTTATCCGTGTTTTTTCTTTCTTTGTTGAATTTCTTCAGAATAATTCATCAGTATTAGCCAAATTTCAATTAAAGTGGAAGAACACTTGCATTCCATTTATAAGAATATAAAATTTGCAACATTTTATCTTGCCCTCAAAGACAACCCAGATTCTCAAGCCCCTGGCAGAACTTTCACATCGTAGTCCTGGGGTGGTTAGTGACACTTAATATAACAGGAAAGGAGAATATTTATGTTTGAGCTGGAAATGGAACCCACATTAGTATTCAGGTGCTCTGACCACTGAGCTATCCAGGTACTCTAACCACCGAGCTATCCAGGTGCTCTAACCACTGAGCTATCCAGGTGCTCTAACCATTGAGCTATCAGGTGCTCTAACCACTGAGTTATCCAGGTGCTCTAACCACTGAGCTATCCAGGTGCTCTGACCTCTGAGCTATCCAGGTGCTCTAACCACTGAACTATCAGGTGCTCTAACCACTGAGCTATCCAGGTGCTCTAACCACTGAGCTATCCAGGTGCTCTGACCACTGAGCTATCCAGGTGCTCTAACCAATGAGCTATTCAGGTCTCTAACCACTGAGGTATCCAGGTGCTCTAACCACTGAGCTGTCAGATGCTCTAACCACTGAGCTATTCAGGTGCTCTAACCACTGAGGTATCCAGGTGCTCTAACCATTGAGCTGTCAGGTGCTCTAACCACTGAGCTATTCAGGTGCTCTAACCACTGAGCTATCCAGGTGCTCTAACCACTGAGCTACCAGGTGCTCTAACCACTGAGCTATTCAGTTACTCTAACCACTGAGTTACTCAGGTGCTCTAACCACTGAGCAATCAATGGTCCACATAGCTACACCACTACACAAAGATAATGGAAATTGGGATGTATGTATACTGTTAGGCTTGCTTCAGATTTGGCATCTGACCTATATTTTCTGGATGTTCGACCAGGTTAAAAATTTTGGATCGAGTAGTTATATATAAACCTGATCTGGGTCAGATTTGCATGGATGGTGCAACATCACATCTGATTTGCATTTCATAGATGAGAGATACAAGTATACTAATTGACATGGAAGATACTGCAAGAAACATGTATTTTAATTTTTGAAATGACATCTTATATGTAACTAATGGATCTTACTGATCACTCATTTGGCATGAGACTTTGATTTTGGTTTACCTTTGTTTTTGTTGTCCTGTTATAGACTGATAAATGAAGATGTTATAAATCACATCTTGTGTGACTTCATTTTCACAACAGACAGTCTTGAGAAATTCATTCAATTGTGCATGAGATAAAATGTAACAAAGTAGTTATTAGCATAATTATTAGGTTTCATTTTAATTTGAAAATAAATTATTTCTCAAAAAAAAAAAAAAAAATAATTGTTGAGTAAATATTAGGTCTTAAAAATATCCACTGCATATAGCATGATATGACATGAAAGATATGTCAATCCAAATTAATATCGTATCTAAAACTTCTGTCAGGAAGACTGAACACTTGTTTCCTTCATTCAAAATATTCTAGCTCCACCGCAGGTAAATTCTGATTGTTACTTTACTAAACATTACTTTTTTCTTTATCTGCCACTGTAGCTAAATCTGTTGACTTTTTTACAGGATGAAGATGATAAAGAAGACTTCAATGCTGCTTATGCGGCTCCTAGAATGTTCCTGACATTTAAAAGTAAGCTGTTTAAACCTGTACCATGTCCTTTTTTTTCCCTTGCTTTTCCCACAATAGTAAAAGATTTTGTATTCATGCAGAACCCTACAAGTACCAGTTGAGGGCCTACATTTACCAAGCACGTGATCTGCTAGCTGGGGATGAGACGGGTCTCTCAGGTGAGAATATTACTTGTTTCTTTGATTGTTCTTCTTAAGTTTACCACAGTTGCTGAATTTGCAGTAAAAATTACTAAACATCAAATAAAAAAGCAAACAACTTTGTTTCTGTTGCAGGCTGTATAACAGCTGTATTTAAAAGATAAGCAATCTTAAAGAAACTCATTTTCCCCTTTATTTTTTTCAGACCCCTATGCTCGCATTTCCTTCCTGACCCAGAGCTCAGTGACTGAGAGGATGGAGAAGTCCCTCTGCCCCACCTGGGACCAAACTCTAATTTTTGAGGAAATTGAAATTTATGGTGACCCCCAGGCTTTAGAGGAGAACCCTCCAGAAGTTGTGATTGAAGTATTTGACTATGACAAGTTTGTAAGTTCACATTCCGAATATTTAATGATTTTTATGTTATATTTCAATTGATAACCATCTTAATCAAAAAGATTTGTCAAATGTAAAATCAACACATTTTTGGAACTGCACACAGGTTTTCTCTTCCTGCGATTTTCTGCCTTTTGCCACAAATCACTAGTACTTTAAAATAAAGGGACACTGTGACATAAAGTAATTTTCATCAATATACTGTCTAAAAACTAATAAAATAAATTTTACAGGATACAGTGAGTGAGGAATATATAACAATGTAAACTTGATCATCAGAGGTTCATTACATCAACATTTAATTGAACATTGTTAATGGGATTTAACTGATTATTTAGGGGTCCAATGAGTTCTTAGGCAGGACCAAGGCCCACCCCATGGTGAAGCTGGACCCCTCTGATGCTCGGATGCCAGTTTTACAGTGGTACCCTATTACTCGGGGGCCAGAGGACGGCGGGGAGCTGCTGGCGGCATTTGAACTCTTCCTGGTATGGTTCTGAGATAGTTCTAAGATATCTCAAGCTCAGACTCAATAAGCTGATGGGAATAAGTAACAATCTCAGATGATCAAAGTTACTCGATCTCGTTACATGGAACAAGTCTGATAACATTCTAAATCAAAGCCACAAGACATTCTGAGTTTATGATTGCTGATAAAGCTAATGATGAATTTTAGTCATTTAGTTTGTTATAACCATACTTATTTATTTAATAAATTTGTTCAGAAGTAATAAGAATTGAAATGAACTTTCTAAATTCAGATAGATTTCTATTTACCTTCAGATTTATGAGATAAGCCTAAATGTTGAAGAAATTAACTGTTATTATGGTAACTGATTCTGTCACTTAATCCCATCACTAATTCTTATTTATTGTTATTAATGGGATTCTAACAATAGAAAGTCTGTACTTCATTTCAAACAAAGTATATTTTCTTCTGTAATGTGAAGTTGGAAAGATTTGTTAAAGCTATTGCTCACATAAATTTTGTGTATTTATTTTGAAGTTTAATTTTGGTTTTAATTCTTTATTAATTTTTGTATAGCAAATATATTTGTAGTGCAATGTATCTTTCTATATTAACCTTTTCTCCTTAAAAAATAACATCCCTAGGATCAGGGATATGAGGTAAAATGAGTTATTTCCCCTTAATGACCAAAATTTGGCAGCGGTCACCATGGTGGTTGTATTTTACCTTAAGTCTATTAAGATGTTAATACTCTTTTTCACTTGAAATTACAATTTGAATTTTTTAAACTTTTTATTTACATGGTCTCATCTTGTTAAAGAATTAGTGCATCCCTTTCAAATTAACTTACAAATACTATTGTAAAAGTGTTAGAATTCAAAAACAAAAACAGAGAGAACAAAAATTTGTCACAGAATCTTTATATTTTGACATGTGTAGTAAAATTGCTTCAAAACCTCAGATTTTCTACACAATTTAGGTAGATTTGGTTGTGGTTTTTCATTCCTCTATTTTTTAGCTCTTCTGAGCCAAAGGCTCAAAGAGCTAATGCTATGGCCATTTGTGCGGTGTGCGTAAACTTTTTAGAATATGGGCCATAACTCAAGAACCCCTTGGCCAATAATTGTCAAATTTGTCACAGGGTATCCTTGGCCCAAGGGCTCCCTTTTATACTAAAACTGGGGTTGTGACCCTTTAACAAGGGGAGATAATTAGGAAAATAGAAACAAAAGTACTGGTTGCTAAAAAATCTTCTTCTCAAGAACCACTGGGCAGATTATCACCAAACTTACACAAAAGGATGAGGATATGTTGTAGATTAAAATTTGCACGGGGATTTACCCTGGGGCAAAGGGTGTGGTCTCAAGGTCACTTCAAAGTTGACCAAAAATTACATTTTATTAAAGTGTTGATATTTTGCTTACTATAAGGACTAGGATCATCAAATCTTGTCAGTTGGTGCATCTAAGGACCTCATATCATGTTGACTCAAAAGTAGGTCACGGTGACCTACTTTTTAAATTTTGCGGCCATTCTTTTTCAAAATGATTTAGAGGCATATTTTGAACAATTTAAGGCCTATGATCATCAAACTTTGTCAATTGATGCATCTTGGGTCCTCAAAGTACGTCAACTAAAAAGTAGGTCACCTTGACCTACTTTTTGAATTTTATGGCTAATCTTTTTAAAAACAATTAAGGTCATTAATTCGAATACTGCGAGGCTTAGAATCATTAAATCTTGTAAGATGATGCATCTTGGGGCCATAAAACATATTTATTTAAAAGTAGGTCACAGTGACATACTTTTTGAACTTTGCAGGCATTCGATTTCAAAGCGTTTTAGAGGCATAATTTGGACATTTTAAGTCCTATGATCATAAAACTTTGTAAGTTGATGCATCTTGGGTCCTCAAAAAAGGTCAACTGAAAAGTAGGTCACCGTGACCTACTTTTCAATTTATATGACTATAATTAAATATTTCAGGTACTAATTGGCTTAGAATCATCTAACTTTGTCAGTAGATGCATCTTGGGTTTTCGGAGTAGGTCAACTAAAAAGTAGGTCACAGTGACCTACTTTTGAAAATTTATGGCGTTAATTAAATATTTCGGGTACTAATTGGCTTAGAATCATCAAACTTTGTCAGTTGATGCATCTTTGGTCCTCGGAGTAGGTTGACTGAAAAGTAGGTCACTGTGACCTACTTTTCAATTTATATGACTATAATTAAATATTTCAGGTACTAATTGGCTTAGAATCATCAAACTTTGTCAGTAGATGCATCTTGGGTCTTCGGAGTAGGTCGACTAAAAAGTAGGTCACAGTGACCTACTTTTGAAAATTTATGGCATTAATTAAATATTTCGGGTACTAATTGGCTTAGAATCATCAAACTTTGTCAGTTGATGCATCTTTGGTCCTCGGAGTAGGTTGACTGAAAAGTAAGTCACTGTGACCTACTTTTGAAAATTTATGGCTTTAATTAAATATTTCGGGTACTAATTGGCTTAGAATCATCAAAGTTTGTCAGTTGATGGGTCATGGGTCTTCAGAGTAGGTCAACTAAAAAGTAGGTCACCGTGACCTACTTTTGGAAAATTTATGGCTTTAATAAAATATTTCGGGTACTAATTGGCTTAGAATCATAAAACTTTGTCAGTTTATGCGTCATGGGTCCTCGGAGTACAACAACTGAAAAGTAGGTCACGGTGACCTACTTTTGAAAATTTATGGCTTTAATCAAATATTTCGGGTACTAATTGGCTTAGAATCATTAAACTTTGTCAGTTGATGCATCTTGGGTCCTCGGAGTACAACAACTGAAAAGTAGGTCACGGTGACCTACTTTTGAAATTTTATGGCTGTATTTAATATTTTCAGGAATTATTTGGCTTAGAATCTTCAAACTTTGTCAGTTGATGCATCTTTGGTCCTCGGAGTAGGTTGACTGAAAAGTAGGTCACTGTGACCTACTTTTGAAAATTTATGGCTTTAATTAAATATTTTGGGTACTTATTGGCTAGAATCATCAAACTTTGTCAGTCGATGTATCTTTGGTCCTCGGAGTACAGCAACTGAAAAGTAGGTCATGGTGACCTACTTTTGAAAAATTTATGGCTTTGATTAAATATTACAGGTATTAATTGGCTTAGAATCATCAAACTTTGTCAGTTGATGCATCTTGTGTCCTTGGAGTAAAACAATTGAAAAGTAGGTCACTTTGACCTACTTATAAAATTTTATGATTATAATTTTAAAAAATATCTTAGGTATTAATGGCTTAGAATCATCAAACTTAGTTGATGGGTCCTCAGAGAATGACAAGTGATAAGTAGGTCATCATGACCAACTCTCAGGTACTAATTGGCTTAGAATCATCTTGGGTTCTCAGAGTGTGAATTGGAATTTCAAGGGTTTATGTAAATATACAGGATACTTCAAATAGAAGTGATAGGTTGTACAGTTTATCAGAAGAGCGATTCAAGGCCCATGGGCCTCTTGTCTTATTTCTATGAAGTATTGCTTTAGATACTTATTGTAACATAAAGTCTTTATATAGCCAGTTTCAAATAACTAACTGCATCAAAGATGTATCATACACAAACACTATTTACGTTCTGTACTCAGATTTCATTTTTCTGCTTGAATAAATTAGATACCATACAAATACACTGTGAGTACCTTCAGGCCTTTGATTTTGATCACTTTATAATATTCAGGTGCCAGACAAGAATGCTTCAATGGAAAGTCTGGTCAGTACACTAACACCCTGTGGTGTTATACTAGTACTAACACTAGAGGCTAGTGAATTAGTATGCTGTGGATTCTACTAACTTCCACCAACCCCTTTTCCAAACTGAATTATATTTACATGTATAAACCTGTCTTTATCAATTTGAGGTGCAAGTCTAGTTTCATATTTGTTTACTGTGAACGTCTCTCAGTTGTGATATACTTGGGTCCCACATCAAAATGGAGGTGCTATTTAGTAATCACTGTTTCCATCTGTCAAACTCAAAATCTGTTGGTAAATAACTCAGGTACCTGGCATTCTACAAATACCTTGTAAGGGAAGGATGACAGAAACATGTCACATGGTCAAAGGTTAAAGGTTAAGGGTTAACTGGGTATGTTATAATTCTTTAAGTACAGTTTTTTACTGTCTAGTAACATTAGAGGAGGAGGATTATAGAAAAACAGATTTTTTTTGGGGTGGGGGTGGGTGGGGGTGTTTTTTTAACTTAAAGATAAGGGCTATTGAAATGACCATAATACATTTAGCCATTTATAGTAAATGTGGCAATTTTTTAAACCTGTGGACAAAATATAAAGGGTTGACGCCTATAAATTTTGGAGTGGATATTGTCTAAGAAATTTTAGATTTGGGGGTATTTGATCAAGATATTTAAGATTATTGGACACAGTCAGATCCTTCATGACTTAGTCAGTTTTCTAGTTTTATTCAGGAATCACTAGCAGGTTAACAGGCAGATAATACATTCTCCAGCTTCTGCAATTAATTGATTAATTGACACTTCCTTTCAATATATAATAATTACAGGCTTATTCATTAATACTAAGTATTTGGCATAATTTAAAATACCATTATTTTTTACCCACAATTAGAAGCCAGTAGGTTTCCAATGTTTAAAATACTTAAATCTGATTTGAGATAGTTGATGTGAACATTAATGCCATTCATTAGAGATGACTCTGTATTACTGAGGTGTTTAGAATTCAGTGGAACCACGATTCTGATTTCAAATTGATACAGACTAAGCTTGGGATATAATCTCTGCCAGAGCTTAATGCAGATAGTTAACAATGTATGTACATTTATATGTTATGTACTCAGGAATGGGCCATAGTTTGGCTTAATTTTTATGCACCTTGTGTGACATTTTTTTGATTCACCCCAAGTTTCAACTTTGTGAATTTTAGTCTTTACTCACAAATGAAATTAATAAAAACTGAGTAATAATAAAATAATTTTACAATTTTGAGAGGGTAGAATAAAATACATACAGTATTATATTTTAAACACAATGTAAGAATTTTAGTTACTAATTTGATATTGCTCTTTCATAGTTACATGGCAAGATGGGGGTATGTTAAGAACAACTTTTCTATCTTCAGTCAAGTAATTCTTTCAAAGCTAATTTCTGCTTTTGTTTTATGATGGCTTTGTTTGTCATATGGTCCAGTATTGCAAGTTAAGAATTATTATACCATTCCATAAGTACACGTGTATTAGTATTTAAGGGGAAGAAGGACCTTGAGGTGAAAAAATACCTGTCATTCAATTTTTTTCATATTTTGTATATTTCTTATTAAGTATGTCCCACATATCTTAAAGCAGTTATATCATTAGGTTTCTAACCTTATTTTAGAGATATTGATTGACAAATACTATGCCCTACAGTATCTAAGTAGAGCTTTAGTTCTCCATGTTTCCGGGCCCATTACTCTGTCCATAATGGGATTTTTTTAAGCAAAGATAAAAAATATGTAAGTGGACATGTATCTTTTAAAATATTTCATAGTATGAATAGGGTTTAAAATTCGAAAAAGCAAGTTTCTTCTATCACATTGCATCTGGATAGCGAAAATTACGTACTTTTTAAGACAACTTTAACAACAAAAAACGTAATTTACCAAAAATTCTATCATTCAATATTTTTAAATTTACGTTGAAATGTAAGTCCTTCAAATTATTGATTAACTGTAAAAATTTCGAATGGTGAAGCTGACCTCAATATTGCACAGGAAATCGTTAAAGAGGACATAAGCATGACAAAAACGTGTCATGTTTACATTTCTCGAGTACGGGAAAAACCAACTATGACGTCACATGTAGCTAAATAAGCGAAAGAAGATATACCTACATAAGATTTCCGTCATCAGCCATGCAAAAATAATTTTTGTATTCCCCGTGTCTCAGAATATTTTATCATATAATGATTAAGACCTGTTTTCACAAAGTAATACCGCCCCTGTATTCACTGAGTATGATCTTGCTGTACTAACAGATCGTGTATGACGTCACCGACTTGTTGGACGCGCAGTTTAGGGAAACAGAGGAGTGGATCAATCTTTTTCATAATTTGTTAATGTTTACAAGAATTTTAAAACTTTTTATTTTTTTAATATAAGATGGTTATCAAAGTTTAAAAAAATGTTAAAAAATTATACAAGAACTGATGCTTTACACGTTTTGCACTTATATAAACGGAGACTATGACGTAGTTAACAGATCGAGTCATGTGACCATGTGTCCTTCATCCCCTTAAATAAATAATGTTGGTCGTGGATGTCCAACTAATGTGTTAATGAAGAATTACTGGTGAACATCTCATAGGGATTTATTTTCATTTAAAAAAACCCAAGATAACCTCATAATAAAGATCCAAAGCATGTTAGATAACTTACAGTTTAAATGTCTTTGCTAGAATATTAAGAAGTGAGACTTAAGAGGCTTAGTTATCCAGTAATATTTTCTATAATCTGTTAATAGAGGCCTGGTTATCTTGTAATATGTTCTTTAATCTGTTATAGGTTGTGCAGTTTTTGTATGCTCGTGTATAAACTGTTTGCATGACATTGGTCTGCTCTTTATTGTAGTTAGTAATCAGTGCATGAACTCTAGTGACCAGACATTCCTAGGAGGGGTGGGGTGGGGGGTCACTCATAGATAAAGACACACAATGATTCTGGTGTAGAAGAGACACATGGAATAAACCAGAAATTATATACTGCCTGTGTATGGTCAGGTTAAAGTTGAATCTAAGGATTATTTTCAAATTGGGGTTAAAAAAAACCCCATCTTTGGCTTTGTACTTAATTTAGTTTTGTTTTGTGAGTGTCATATCTATAAATATAGATTATAAAACAATGAAATATAATTTTAAAAAGAAGAATTATCACACTATTCACACTTTCCAGTACAGTCAATATCAAGATTTATTTACCTCAATCATACTCACTTATATCAAGAAATTTATACATTGTGTATCTGAAGTTTAGGGTTACAAGTATTTATAAATATAACTGACATTTATTATTATATATTGTCAAATGAATAAATGGCCCCAGCCTTTCACTACTACGGCTCATATCTGTTTCACATGAATGCATTACTATTCAAAGCATGACCAAGTGGGACATGTGCAACATGAACTATATTAACTAAGATATGAATAACAATTTATTGCTTTGACTATTCAATGGTAACTGGTGCTCTTCAAGATGATGATTTGATTAACGATACATGATAAATTGAGAGATTAACTAGTTTCCCCAAACCATGTGTAGTACTGTAAACCAACTTCATATATATTTTCATTGTAAGAATAATGCTTTTTTCTAGCATATGCGTTTTTCTTTTTTTTTTTTTTTTTTTTTTTTTTTTTTTTTTTTGTATCAAATAACACTGGAAGTATAGTATACTACTTCTTTATCCATTTTTCAGTACATGTACCATTATAGTATTTGAAGTTTGGCTCGAGATTGTACAAGCAGTATGCTAAAAAAAAATTTGACTACACAACAATCTAATAATTAATGTCCACTGAATTTAAAGCTTTTCCATTATAGACAAAGTTTTAAAATGCAACTTAAAGAAATCAACATTTATAAAACATGGCTTTTCAAAATCAATAGTTTCCTTTCAGAAGTTGGTTTACAGTACATGAACTAGAGCACAAACATAAATAAGCTATAAATCTGGTGATTTTTTTACAGCTGGCTGGCTCAGATCTACCATTCTTACCTCCAAAGAAAGGAGATCTCTTCCTGGTACCCAATGGAATCCGACCAGTAATGCAGAGAACAGCTATAGAGGTAAACTTTGGTTTTCTATCATCTCTTCAAAGAAAATGAAGAAATTATGATTCTTATTTATTGACCAAATGAAAGATAACAGCAAACAGGAATTCACTGGAATGAAAAGCTTAATACTGTGAGAATAGAGTTGATGGTAGTTAATACCAAATTTTTAAGTACTTGAGATATATATTGCTTTGGTGGAATGAATGTAGAATATTGCATATACACTGGATTTATTTGCTTTCAAAGTGTAAATTCTGTGCATTTCTAAGAGTTGTACATACAGTCACACTCTGATCCCATATGATAATAAAAGCTTTTGTTTTTATTTTTATTTTATCTTTATTTGATCTAAATTTCTTCACCACTTTTGTAATAGGTTCTATGCTGGGGTGTAAGGAACATGCAGAAATTTCAGCTTGCTGCAGTTACCTCCCCTAGTGTTGAATTTGAATGTGGAGGACATGTGTTTGAATCCAGCGTTATCAAAAACACAAAAAAGAACCCCAACTTCAATGAGAATGTCTTGTTCTTTGATGTTGTGAGTACATATATATTTCATTTATTGCAAAAGGCCTGTATTTTATGGGATTATTCTAAGTTGGGTAGCATTTAAAAGATTTGTAGATGTTTTTGAGACAACATGATTTTAATTTAAGATGGGTTGGGAGAAAAAGTTAAGAATGAAATGCCCATTCACTGTGTAAAAGGCTTAATTCTTATCATGAATGAGGCTTTATCCTTAATTTTTAATGATATTAAACAATTTAGATAATACTGAAAAAAAGTATGGTACATATTTCCTGTGGAAAAAAACTGAAGTGATGAAACATTTTGTCCTATATTTATTATTATGATAAAGTTTTAATGACCACTTTATTTAGATGTTGCCACGTGAGGAACTGTACATGCCTCCAATGAATATTAGGGTAAGGGATCACAGACAGTTTGGGAGGAAACCTACTGTGGGGATCCATGTCCTGAAATCCCTGGAGGAATATCGCTGTGACCCCATCCGACGGGAACAGCAAGAGGAAGATGAGGGTGTGCAAGGTAAAATTGTAAATTAAGGCTCGGGTCTGTGTAGGGTAGAGAATTGGTTAAACTCTGTACTTGTCTATGTAGAGTAGACAGTAGGTTAAAATCAGGGCTTGTCTTAGTAGGGTAGACAATGGGTTTAACTCCAGGCTTGTGTCTATGTATTCTTAAACAATGGGTTTAACTCAAGGCTTGTCTAGGTAGGGAAGACAATGGGTTAAACTCAAGATGTGTCTATGCAGATTAGACAATGGGTTAAACTCAAGGCATATGTCTATGTAGGGTAGACAGTGGGTTAAACTCACGGCTTGTCCATATGTAGAGTAAACAATGGGTTATACTCGAGGCTTGCCCATGTTTAAGTAGAATATGGGAGTTGGCGATAAATGAGAATGCATAGCGTAGCTTAAATGGTTGAGACAATATCTTTGTGCAGATTTTGCAGAATATAATGAAACAAGAAATTTCAAATAAGAATTCTATTTAAACAAAAAAATTTCAATGTAAAAGAAAAATATTTTAAGGATGATGTTTAAGGATATCTTTTTCAAATACTTTTGTTATTAGCAGATACTTACTAGGTATTCTTTATGCCCAGAATTAGAATATTGGATGCATGTTGTGTTTTGTCTGTTGATTTCTTGATCTTTCTGTCTGAAACTTTAATCTTTGCCTATAACTTCTAAAATAACATGGAGGCTTCATATTTGGTACAAAGGTAAGATTTGACCAGAGGGTGTATTGTGACCATGAGTCAAGGTCAGTTGGACAAAGTAACAGGGACTAAAAATGTGGAATTGTTTTAAAGTCCATAACTCTGTTACAGAGAAAAGTTAAAGGCTGGTACAAGTGAAATTTATGATCAGAATGTGTTTCGTAACATATAGCCAAGGTCATGTGGGTTAGGTCAAACTCTCAGAAATAAGAATGGAAAATTCTTTCTAATGGAGAAACGTAAGCTCAAACTCGACACAGTAGTTAAGATCAGAAGAAATACAATGTCCCTGTCTGAGGGTTAATAGGTCAAGGTCTAATTTATTATACCCCCCGCAAACGAAGTTTAGGGGGGGGTATATTGGAATCAGCTTGTCCGTCTGTCTGTCCGTCTGTCTGTCTGTCCGTCTGTCTGTAGACGACATTTTGTCCGGACCATTTCTTGGAAATTGTTGCAAGGATTTGTCTGAAAATTTGTATACTTATTATTCGCAATATGAAGGTGTGCACCTGGTATTTTCATCATGATTGGATAATATTTTTGCATTTTACAGGTGTTTTTTTCATTTTTATTATGTGGTTTTGTCCGGATCTGTTCCCAGAGACTGTTGCATAGATTTGTATGAAAATTTGTACACGTATTATTTACCATATGAAGATGTGCACCTGGTATTTTCAACATTATTTGATAATTTTTCTGCATTTTACAGGTGTTTTTTTTTCATTTTTATTGACTTAGTCATTTCGGGTTCATGTCTAAGGTTTGAGACATAGAATCTAGAACATCTGTACAAAAATGTGAACTACAGCTTAAAACTACTCATTAGAACTAAAAAAAAAATCACAAAGTATTAAAAACAGTTTTTACATTACACAGCAGATAGTGTAAATCCATTTGTCCTTTGGGAGTAATGAGTGGACATGCATCCAGTTAAAGATTAATTAATGAGTTCAGTGTGGGAAACTGTAAGGGCATCTCTGATCAAGCAGGTCTTATCTATATCTCCTGGGAATTGGGCAGAAAGAAATAAAGATCTCTGTTGTCTAAGCCTCTTAATTGTAATTTATGTCTGTCAAAATACATAGTTACTGGAACCAGCCTTTTATTTTTAAAATGAGTTTGATATAAAGGTATTAAGATCAATTTGATTTTATATATAATTAATTATGATATTTTTTTTTCAACAATCAATTTGCAGAGTGTGATGTCTCACTGTCTCACAAAGATGACAGATAGTTGCAAACTATTTTTTCAATGTAATAAAAACAATGTAATTATTAGTATTGATGTTTTATTAGGCTGCACCTTAGTTTCATTCATTAAAAAAATATAATGAGTAATTAAATTTTCACTCTAAATGTTTAAGCAAATTGTGAACACTTCTCACATCTAGAAAACATTAGTGATTTGGTACCTTCTCTGAAAAACCCAGCGGGGGGTATTTGTCCCTTTTGGACAGTTCTAGTTCCTTTTACAGCTGGACTATGCTATGGGGGCATGCCAGATGTATGCACTAGTTTCACACTTAAGTCACTAATAAGTTTATATGAATTGTTGGTCTTACCTGATTCATAGCATTGACCCTATTGAATTGTGGACACAAGCCATTTATTATATCTTATTAGTTTTCAAAACTTCAAATAAGAAATTAAGACAAGTGTGACTCTGTATTTCTTTTATCCATTTTACCCTATGAAGAAGACTTACTGCATGATTTAGTGACATCTATATTTCCCCTTTTTCCCCTGAACATAGAGTACTAATGATGGAAGACCTCTTTTTCTTAATTCCTCCTTTGGATGTTGGTACTCTTAGTAGTTTGATTCCTAATTCCTCCTTTGGTTGTCAGTACTTTCAGTACTTTGATTCCTAATTTCCTCCCTTGCCAGCCATGCAAGTACTTTTAGTACTTTGATTCCTAATTTCTTCCTTTGCCAGGTAGTATTTTCAGTACTTTGATTTCTTATTCTGTCATTGGCTATCAGAACTCTTAGTACTTTAATTCCTAATTCTTCCTTCACTTGTCTTAAGGAGTCAGCAGCTCTGAAATCACTCAGTCTGAACTCGAGGGTTTGATGACCGTGGCGGTCGATCGATACAAAGATATCCAATCCTCCATATCTCAAGTCGACTCCGCCCACAGCAGCTATCAGACAGGTCGGTATTTTCCATTTGCGAGGTTTTCTCCTGGTGTAGTCAAGCTTGTTAGATCCTAAATGCATTGTGGGAACTTGCATTTACACAGGTACTTTGCATGTTGAGGTCCTACAACCTTAAACTTCATTTTAAATTAAAACAAGTTTGTATTTGAAATGAAAACCTGAATATGCAAGATTTCCCAGAGTAAATAAGAACCTTTATGGACCTCAACAGATACACACACATATACATAACCTTGAATTAATTTTAATTCCTTCAAATACTTTTGTTATTAGCAGATAGGTACTTCTTCATGTAGCAAACTAATAGAGAGTGAATTGCCTTTAAAGCAAAATAGTTCTATTTAGAAGCATCAATCAGAATTTTATTTTTCCTAAATGCTGGTGTCCTTCATCTCAAGCAAAGTTTCCTATTCAAGACTATGTTTCTCTGTTTTATTTTATACAGACTTTCATTCTTAGTAATTAACCCATTACCCACCTTCCCCCCAGATGATGGGTAGGAGTGATTGTTTACACTGTCAAACCTGTTTTGATAGGCCTTTTGGGACCTAAATACATGATTTTATCTATACTTAGTGACCCCCTGTTAGAAACTAGTAGCTTAATATTAAGGGCTTATAATTGTTATTGACTTATTCAAGTTTTTGATTTGAACCCATAGTTATTCAGTTCAGGTTTATTTAATATTAAATCATGTTTTTTTTTTGTAATTTGTCAAAAGTAACAGAAAACTATTAAACAGTGAAATTAAGAAATTTATCAGCCATAATAATTAGGTTATCTTAAAAGGAGATGTAGAATATTTCAATGACTGATAATGTCTATCACATTTAAGGCATAACTTGAGTAGAATAATCGAAACATCCACAGCCTTGATTCCTGGTGCTGCTTTCAGAAATCTGAAATTGTAAACAAATCAGAAGACATAGAAAGGTTAGGGCATTCTTAAGACAATTATGTGAGCTGTTCAAAATGGCCACAGATACAGGTGCTATGTATTTATTCATGTTCTGAAAAGAGCAAACATAAGCCATGCTAAAAAGATGTTAAGAATTGGATGGGAGTCAAGGTCCATTTTTGGAGCCAGTGACCTTTGAAATCAAATGACCTTCAGAGCAGTTATGATTGTACACCAGTACATGAGTACTCTTTAGTCATCAGTCCTGGTACCACCTGAGTTGCTGCCCCTTGTAGGAAGCTGGTAACTGTCTGATATATTCTAGATTATCAATTTCTGTTGAAAAGTAAATCATGGATATAAATGGCTGAATAAGCTCATAAAACATCAGGAAAAACTTGATCTTGCTACTTTTGTGTGATTCTGTAGTTAGTCGCCTCTGTAGATTCTCTCTTAGTTACCTCTGACTTTTTAACTCGGATCATTGACAACTAAGCTTTTTATTTCTGTGTTACCATGGTTACTGGCTCTTAGCTGCTGTAGAACTAAACAAAAAGTACTTAACTAGAAAAAAATATATTTCTACCTGTATATACCTGTGTACCTTTCAAATTTGTCTCACAATAAATATTACATCATACTAAAATGTAACTCTAGTGTAACATTACTTCTCTCAATACATTGATAATTAAATATAATACAAATTTATTCCTAACAAGCACAGAGTAACCAAAATTGTATACATATGATGCATGTATATCTAACAAATACATTCAACCTTGTATTATATATTATAATACCTCCATATTATGTGTAACCATACGTAAGAAATAACTCAATACTTATAATTGATTGCAGGAGAAAATCTTGTTTATGTGAAAATACTTATCTGTTTATATGCTCATGTTTTTTGTGTTGATTTTAAAAATTATTACAAATATGATTGTGCAGTTTTGATTTTCATTCTTTTCAAAAATCTGAATTTTAGTAAAATTCCAAATAAGAGAATTTTTATTCATTCTTGTGTTTTATTAATTTTTTTGTGTGATCCTGTAATATCTTTTTCATGTTCATGGTTTCAGGAGTTGAATTTTGAATTGAATGTAATCCTTTTTCACTGTGAGCAGTATTATGGGTTCAAAGGTCAATTGGTTTAATGTCACATGATAATAGTGAATTTTTATTGGCTGATTTGTAGGTGGACTTGTGAATGGGGGACGCAGTGGGGAACATGTGATTGAGATGCCAACAGAAGAAAAGAAAAAAGAGGTAAGAATCAAATCAAGAAGAAAAATGCTAACATAATAAAAAATAACTGAAATTGATCAACATATATAGCTCTTATGATATAAACTATGATGCAATTTTTTAAAAATATTTGTTTCTGAGTAAATAATCTACTGTTTTTCCATCCAATACAGCTTAAATATAACTGTAATATTTGCAAGAGAATTTATTTAGAGAAAATTAACTTCACCCAGCATGAATTGTGGCCTGTAGGACAGTGATATATTCTATGTTCTCTGTTTAAACAATAGGTTTATCAAGAATTTAAAATCAACGTCCCACTTTAACTATGTTGTATAATAGTGGTGCTTCTCATATGTCTGTTATAACTTAAAACTGAATTACGTATTAGATGGGTTAAGTATTATTTTAATTAAATTGTATTTCATGAAATTTAACAACTGGATATACATATTGTAGTACCTTTGTATCTATTTTCATTTACCTTGTCACTTTATAAAAAATTACATATTATAGATCACAGACACATATATGTATATTTGTAGTATACTACACTGAATATAAACACATTTGTGTTCATTTTTTTGAAGGGTGCATGAAGAATTGTAAATCACATCAAACTCACTAAGTAGTCAGTCAGAAATCAGTATTTCTGTTGGTGTTAGTAATCAGTACAGGAAACTTATAAATGTTACTCCAGGAATCATTTTTAAGTTTCTTGTACTAATTAATCCATAAAAAGTGATTAATTTGTTCTATATAAAGAAGCTATCTGATCTCTGGAACGTAACCATGGTTACCATTGTCCTCTCCTTGTTCAAGGGATGTACGTCTAATGACTTAACTTTGACATAATAAAATGTCTGCATTGTAACTTTTGATAGAACCCTGTGAATTACCGGGGGAGTAAAAAATTAGGGAATACTTTGTATACTGAAAATTATTTAACTCTAATGTAGTCCTAATTAAAGTTGGCATCATTGGTTTGTAGCTATTAGACAGGATTTGTTTATGTTCTGTTGTTATTTTGTCACTATCAGACAGGGAAGGCACTTCTTGTTAAAGCCAAATCCAAACTGGACAGTGCTCTACTGCGTATAAAGGTGAAGTTTTACCCCCTGTATCTGGCTCGGGGACTATTTGATTGGATATCCTGCAATGATGTTACTTGAAGTAGAATATATGATATACCTCATTGCTTTGTATAATGGCTTATATTAGTGTTCATGCAGCTTTCTAAATCATTTTTTTGTTTTGATGTTAGTATGAAATACCTAGGGTCTCCACCCCCTTTAATTATTGTTCCTCTCCTAATCCCTAGCTTGAAGGGACAATGGATAAATATTTGAATGGATATGATACATAATTGTAAGCTGTTAGACTTTGGCTGCCTATGTTTAACTTGCATGAAATTAATTATAAGAAATGAAAAATTAATGAAATAATTTTTTTCTTTTGTTGATATTTTCAACTACTATTTCAGTATTAAGAAAATCTTGAAAGATATTGACTAAAACTTTTTATTTGAGATTAATTAAAAAAGGGAGGTTTTGATTGATCAAGTTAGTAAAGGTGGTTTTTATGACCTTTGACAGCGGAAATCGGGTCTACAGATAGGTCAGTCTATAAAGTCCTTCCCCCAGTTAGAATTACCAGCTTTGTTTAGTGGAAAGCAGGAGGAGGTTTGTCTAATTACCTCAGATTATGGTGGTAAAGAACTGCACATTTTTATAAACACCATTTTTCTTTGAACATCTTAAAACAAGAAAAAAAAAACCCTTTCATTATCCCCTCGCAATTGCCATATAAGCACTGCATTGAGTCTTAGTTTCATAGTTGCTACAGAGATGTGTGGTGAATAGGTGAAGATGAAGAGAAGTATTAATTCTAAGGTCAAAGGTCGAATTAAATCTAAGATCAAAGGTCAAGTTGAAAGTGTCACCTAATTTTAGACACAAAATATGGAATAACAATTGTTGTTAAAAAACAACAAATTTGAGTCTCATAATTGTAACAGTTATATATGGTGGCCAGAGGAAGAAACTGTTACTAAGAAGGTCAAAAGGTCAAGGTCAGAGACAGTGAAGGCCTTTTACTAAGTTGTGGACAAACATTAAAGAGCACCACTTTACTCTTGCTGCTGAGAAGCATGTTGGCAAGAGAAACAAGGTTAATGATTCCAAGCTCAAACGATCAAGGGCTATGAAAAAAGTTTGGCAGTTGCTGTGGTACAAACAAAAGATTGCCATCTTAGCATTCAGATTTAAACTTAGTCAGAGATGCTATTGGCAAGAGAAAAAGGACAAATCTTTAGGTCGCTGACATTGATCAGAATTGTGACTAAACATTTATTATCGGAGAAATTGTGTTTTTGCGAGGGGATACTCTGTATTGCTCTTGTTTTATTTTTTCTGTTTGGTTTTGATGTTTTTCACTATCACATTTCACTTTTCCCAACACTTTCCTTAATCTGGTAAACAGTTCTTTAAAATAAAATTTTAATCAGGATTATTTCAATAATTCCCTGTGTTGGTGATTTTTTTTTTGGGATTGTTTACAGAGCACACAAGAATATGTCTTCTAATGATGCACTCTTTTTTTATTTGTTTTCTTGCAAATATCTCAATCACTCAGTTTGTAACCCATGATAGAATTTTCCTTCATAAAACTTATATTTCAACTCTGTGAAAATTGCTTCCAGAATTGTAAATGTTTACATTATTCGACATCTTTTTTCACATGAAGGAAATTTTACTGGAGAAATGAAAATAGGACAAGATATGAAAATATATCATATTTCTTTTATACACTTCATTCCTTTTCCAATAAATACCATCCTTTCATTGATTGAAGATCAGTGTATTTGATACATTCTGTGAAGCCTGTTTGTATCATGACTAAAGTTAATACAGTATGTAAATTGTACTGTTACTGTACATGTAATATTAACCGACTCTCCTCATTTGGCAAACCCCCAAAGTATGACAGCACACTGTAGTAAATGGATGTTATGAATAGCTTGTTTACTTGATAATATAGCCCCTTCTCAACTATTTTTATTTCTTTTCTCATGTTTATGATTTGTATTGCATGCTCTTAAAGTACACCTCTTAAGACATTTTAATTTAACGTACACTTTACTTAAAAACTTTAACAGAGGTATATTATTTTTTACTTATTAAATTGGTCTACATTTTTACTCTGTATATATAATTATTATTTTATAAAAACAAATAATTCTTCTGAACTAATATGCATCACAGTGACTTGATTTATATTCAAATGCACAAATCTTAAATAATTATAGATTGTATGGTAAAAGTTTTCACATATTATCACATTTATATATGCACTGTATATAACTTCCAAAACTAACAAAGAAGGACTGTACAAACTGGCTATAATATGCTCAGGTGATCAAAACAATTACACATCTGTTTTAATCAACAGTGATTGGAAATTGTCTCAATCATTAATCCCTGTATTGATTTCATTATAAGTGCATTATAAGCCGGTTTTTACTGTACTTGGTAACTTTTAACCTTTAACCTCAGTGCAGTGTGAGATAAAGGCATCAGAAATAAACCTTTCATTCTATTTATAGCCTGACCCGGTTGTGGAGGAGGAAATTGATTGGTGGTCCAAGTACTATGCTTCCACGGGACAACCACACAAGTGCAAGAAGTATGTGGAAAAAGGACATGATAAAATTGAGGTGAGCAAAATTAGAGCAGAAACATTTCAACATGAGGGATTAAAGTTCATAAGAGGGACATTTATTGAGTTAGAACTAAATGTAACTCTCTTAGTAGTCAAAATTGGGGAAATTTTATTGTTTAGCCTTGTTATAGGTCTGTTTTTCCTCATTTGAATTATTTAGCCTATGATCTCATCTGTGTAACTTTTGTCTTGGGTATCTATGAACACATCTGTCATTTAATATTTTTTATTTAGGTTTATCAAACTGCGCTGGAGGACGTAGAGTTCACTAAAGGATTTAATGATTTCTGCTCCACCTTTGAGCTACAGAGAGGGAAGGATGATGATGAAGACGAATCAAATATAGTGGGAGAGTTCAAGGTAAGTAGGTCAAGTTTACAGTCATCATAAGACATAAAGTAGGTCAAGGTTATAGCCATCATAACAAGACATAAAGTAGGTCAAGATTACAGTCATCATAATACACAAAGTATGTAAAGTTTACAGTCATCATAATACATAAAGTATGTAAAGTTTACAGTCATCATAAGACATAAAGTAGGTCAAGGTTACAGCCATAATAACAAGACATGAAATATAACAAGACATAAAGGATATCTGTGTCACAGCTATCATAACAAGACATGAAATATAACAAGACATAAAGTAGGTCTGTGTCACAGCCATCATAACAAGACATGAAATAGGTCAAGGTTACAGCCATCATAAGAAGACATAAAGTAGGTCAAGGTTACAGCCATCATAAGAAGACATTGATCTTTGCTTGCATCTGTTGTTTGAACAAAATCTTAAATATGAATTTTAGTTTATGTTTAGAGGTAGTATCAAAATGTGTCATTTATTATCAGTTGATTCTAATTTCTTTCTACCAGATTTTGATATTAAGAATAAAACAATAATATTTAAATAAATATTTTGTAGAGGAACTGTAGATAGAAATTGAATAGTAGGAAGTATTTCTATCATTTTCTATCAACACTTTACTGTAAATCACATTTTTATTCATGAGAACTCTATCTTTTAAGGTTTCATCCTGGTGTATATATGATTTTTAAAGATTATATGCGTCAATAACCAAAATTTGTGAAAAAACTTTTCTTGCTTATGAATACTAAAGAACTTTCTCACAAAAAATAAGGTGTTGCAAAAATTTGGTGATCTACAGTGTACATTCTACATGTAATTATGATTGATATAATATTTTTTTTTCAGGGAGGATTCAAGGTCTACCCCCTGCCACCTGACCCCAATGAGGAAATGCCTTCCAAGGTCTTTGTGAACTTACCAAGCTCAGCACCAGAGGAGTGTATCATCAGAGTTTATGTTATCTGTGGCATCGATCTACAACCCAATGATTCTAGTGGACTGGTATGTGTATAACAATGTTACTTGTACATTCAGTCTATGTAATCTGTGGTACTGATCTACAACCCAATGATTCTAGTGGACTGGTATGTATACAATGTATAACACTGTAACTTGTACATTCAATATATCATCAGAGTCTATGTTTTCTGTAGTATAGGCCTACAACCACAGGCACTTGTTTCATATATGGGGTCACCCCTTCTTTTTCATACCACAAAGTACCAAACTCAGTATCAGGCAACCCCTCCTCAAACTCATATTTTATTAGTTTATCAGTTGGTCTGATCTGATTGGTTTATTAATTTATCAGTTGGTCTGATCTGATTGGTTTATTAATTTATCAGTTGGTCTGATCTGATTGGTTTATAAATTTCTTTTTTAGGCTGACTATGCTTTAATGAGGCTGAGATCTGATTTGTTTATTAATGTATCTTCTGGGATGACCCATTTATTCAGATCCGATTGGCTTATTAATTCTCTAGGGTGACCCATATATTGAGATCTGATTGGTTTATTATTGTCTATTTTAGGCTGACCTGTATATTAAGATTTGATTTGTTTATTTATTTCTATTTTTAGGCTGACCCATATATTGAGATCTGATTTGTTTATTATATTCTATTTTTAGGCTGACCTGTTTGTTGAGATCTGATTGGTTTATTTATTTCTATTTTTAGGCTGACCCATATATTGAGATCTGATTTGTTTATTATTTTCAATTTTTAGGATGACCTGTTTGTTGAGATCTGATTGGTTTATTTATTTCTATTTTTAAGCTAACTGTATGTTGAGATCTGATTTGTTTATTATTTTCTATTTTTAGGATGACCTGTTTGTTGAGATCTGATTGGTTTATTTATTTCTATTTTTAGGCTGACCCGTATGTTGAGATTATCCTTGGCAATAAGAAGATCAGTGACAGGGATAATTACAAACCTAACACTATTGACCCAGTTTTTGGACAGTAAGTTGTTGGAGGAGAGTTACTCAATTTAATTTTTTTGGGGGGGGGGGGTGAATAAATTTGTGTTCTAAAGATACATACCACAAAAAGATTTTCTTATCTCCTTCACAGAAGAGTTACACTGGCATTTTTTCAATATTTCTTTCAATGGAAATGTAATTAAGAAATTTTATTTGTGTAAAATGTTAAAATTCACTCTTAAAAATGTCCCCAGAAACTTTGCAATAATAAAACTTCATACACTTCTAAAACTTTTCAAAAAATATATTGAGCTGTAAAGTTGCCTTTTTGCACTGTCCACCAAATTTTCTGGCTTGGCCAAATATTAAGCTGTTTACCTAAACAAATATCACTTCTGAAGTGAGAGAGGCACATATTTTAGCAAAGATATTTGACTTTTGGGAGAAAAAAATTGTTTGTGTTATTTATCCTTTAAAAAAGTAGACATTTCATTATTATCATAATTAAAAAAAACATAATTTTTTCAATTTACCAAATTGTTTTATTTTAATAAGATTTTTTAAGAAATTGGAACTCAATGATAATTTTTTGAATTTAATTTTCATCTCTTTTTCAGAATGTTTGAATTGACAGCAATGTTACCTGTACAAAAAGATCTGACAGTACGTATCAAGGATTATGATATCATTAGCAGTGATGATGTCATCGGAGAGACTTTAATAGATTTAGAAAATCGCTACGTGTCCAAATACCGTGCAACATGTGGACTCCAGAAGTCCTACTGCATGTAAGTTACTTCTGTACTAAATCTTTATTCAGGCATGGGATACAAAACAGAGATGTCAAGTTATAATATGTGTATCTGTCTGTCTGTCTAACTGTATGCTGTAAAGAATGTTTAAAATATCAAATTACTTTCATACATTTACATACATTTATATGTACTATAAGTATCAACATTTATGGGTAGGTCCAAGTTTAGAATAGGAACTAGCCAAAGACATCCATTAGAAACGAAGTGTACTCCACATTTCTTTAAATTTGTGACACTATAAATCTATTAACTTTTTGTGTCTGGTAGTGCTGGTGTCAACCAATGGAGAGATGCTGCGAAGCCCAAACAGATTTTAGAAAACTACTGTAAACAGAACCATGTGACAGGTCCTCTGTTTTACGGAAACAACAGTGTCAAGGTCGGCAGGAAGACGTATAATCTCGCCGAGTTTGGTGAGTCATTAAAAAAAAAGACACATTGATTTAAGGAATGAATTTAATAGCTACCCAATTTATACGGTATAAAGTGGGTTGGGGCAGTTTACGCTTTATAAACCACGAAGCGGTTCATAAAAAAGCGTAAACTGTTCCAACCCACTTTATACCGTATATATTGGGTAGCTATTAAATTCATTCCTTATAATTAAATTTTCATTCATTTAGTGTAAGAAAAAAGATGATTGCCCATAAAAAAATCGACTTCAAATTGTACAAAATTTAAATGTAATGTCAGGCGGATCGATATGTTTTTTATGCAAGTCATTGTGACGTAGGCAACCCAAGTTATACAATATAAAGTAAATTTTTTATCCAATCAAATTGTGTGTTACAATCAGAATTAAATTATATATTATTATTGACACAGATTAAGAAATAATAACAAAGATGAGACTATTTGTATACTTTGTTTTTCTAGATTGTACACTAAAGTCACTGTTTTATTTGATGAGAAGGGTCTTGTTTCTTGTGTTTATGTGATAAACACAGTTATTTTTTGTAATTTGTTCCAGAGCCAAACAAACCTGTTGATCCAAATGCAGGACCTGCAGAGGAACGCCTGGCTTTACATGTGTTACATACACTCCCATTGGTCAAGGAGCATGTAGAGACACGCCCCCTATTTAACCCTATCCAACCAGGCATAGAGCAGGTAAGTCATTTTAAAAATAGTTTTTACTCCCTTCTTTTACCCAGTCCCATAGCATACAGGCAAAGAAAAGGTTCGTAGTGGGATACACAAGTCTTATTCAACCTGGTAAATGCCTAGAGGAATCATTTAAAAAAAATGACCTTGAGGCTTAGTTTAAAATAATGTTTGTTTGCCCTCTCCCAACTCAGAATGAAAAAATTGGGTCGGTAGGTGGGTGAAAAATTTATTTTTCTGAGAAAATTTTAATTTCAATGCTAAATTTTTAAAATCTGTATTCCAGAATACATAAAAAAATAATTGCTTTCTGGAGGTTAAAAAAAGTTTTGAGTTGGGCCATTTTTAGCCAGTCAGTTGGGAGAGGGCAAACAGCCAATTTTTTAAAGGTGGCTTGATGTTGTTACATACATGTATGTGTATGATGTAATACGTTATTTACCTTGTGCTGATGTGGTATGATTTATTTTCCAGGGCAAACTTCAGATGTGGGTGGACATTTTCCCCAAATCCCTCGGTGTTCCTGGGCCACCATTTAACATTGAACCAAGACGTGCAAAAGAGTAAGCTCCCTTTATGCAATATTTTCCATTTAAACTTTCCTCAACTGTTTAAAGTGCTTTACATTATTTTGTATATTGATTTTATTGTGATTGATAATACCTTCCTTTGAAAATTAATTACTAAATACATGTTTTTTGTGAGTTGAAGTATTCAACATTAAAATTTTATTTCATTTTATGTGAAAAAGCAAGAGATTTTATATTGTCTTTCCAAAATAAATGCTTTGTTTAATTTCAAAAAATTTGATTTTGAATGTTTTTATTTTTCTGCTATAAGATTAAAAGTTTGACAAATTAGAATTTCTTCAGTAAAGTCCTAAATGAACAGTTACCGCTAGGATTTAACAAAGATTCACTGTTATGTTTTAGTTATGTACTCCGTATCATTATCTGGAACACAGTGGATGTTGTGCTGGAAGAGGAATCAATCACGGGGGAACAAATGTCGGATATTTACGTCAAAGGTTGGATATCAGGCATCGATGAAAAACAGAAAACTGATGTACATTACAGGTAAAGAATTTGTTGTATTATGTACTGAATAAAAAGCAATTTCAATACTTTTCCAAATTTAAGCCACTTGAGTTAGATGGGTTTTCATTGTACATAAACTTTTGAAACTCTTTCAGCTTCTCTCAATTGGCAGAAGCAAACTCAACCAATTTTATATGTTGCAACTATGGATTGAGGGGAAAAAAATTTACAAATTTAATGGTCCCATTCCCCTCCATATGCAAAAAAGGGGAACTTAAGATTTAAAATCATCCTCAGGGATCGAAATTAACTTTTTTGACCACTAGCAAATTTTAGCTAGTGGAATATTTTTCATCTAGCAATATTGAACTTTCACTAGCATTTTTTTCTCCTCATAGTAATTAACATAGAAATTATTTGAATGAGTTCACAGAAAACTTATTTACACCTTGTGAGTATTGAGGTTGTTTTATAAAAGGTGAAATCTGACCGGATACAGGGGTGTGCAATTAAAAAATTCAAGCACTAGCCACAGACTACCCCAAGTAAATTAAGTAATACAAGCTCAAATGTAGGGTAAAAGAGTAACTAACAATGAAAAAAAAAATAGTTTATCGTTGAAAAAATCAAGGTCTTAAGGTCATTCTTTTTTTTAAATTTAAAGTTTAATTCTCACTAGAAAAATTGAATCGTATATAAATCAATTATGATTGAAAATAAAAAAAAATAATTTAAAAATAAATTATCTTTCATTTTTTTTTTCATCTTAAATCATTAAATACTCTTGAAATATATTTTTTGAAAATCACCTTAGACTTTTTTCTCTAGTTGATTAAGTGATCGTAAATAATTGAATGGGGTATCTACATGCATTTACCATAAACAAAGGAATGGAGGAAATTCGGATTAGGAAAAAAACGATCGTTTTTGGAAGTAAATAAGTCTGATAGTACTGCAAAATGGATAAGATTATGGAGATTTTCGAACAATAGGAACATGCTACCTGGAAATTTTTCATTGTTTGATAATTTGATTGCAAAAAAAGTGAATAAAATACCAGTACATAGTGTTTTACATGTATTAGGCTACATGGGTAATCTTAATTTTTACTTGCCCGTGGGGCTACCTCTGTGCATCAAAATTACTAGCCCGACCCCCAAAAATGGTAGCCCCGGGTGTGAGGCAATGCTAACTGCACTTCCCTGGAATAAATTTTAAAAAGTCCGAAAAGGACCGATTTTTTTTACTCGCAAAAGTTGGCGACCACAGGTCGCTTTTAACTCGCAATTTCTGTTTTTAATTCGCATTTAGCGAGTATTTCCCGTTAATTTCGACCCCTGATCCTGACTTAAAATTTGTGATCTGTATATTTTAATCATGAGGATTCAGCTTGTTGAATTGAGAGTGAGTTGTTTATTTCAGGTCACTGGATGGGGAGGGGAACTTCAACTGGCGGTTTGTTTTCCCCTTCAGTTATGTCCCAGCAGAACAGGTGATGGAGGTCAGGAAAAAGGTAGGTCAAGGCCATCACATAAACTAAGGTAGAGATGGTCAGGTCAAGGCCATCACATAAACCAAGGTAGAGATGGTCAGGTCAAGGCCATCACGTAAACCAAGGTTGAGATGGTCAGGTCAAGGCCATCACATAAACCAAGGTAGAGAGATGGTCAGGTCAAGGCCATCACATAAACTAAGGTCAAAAACAGAAGTGGTAGTTACAGAAACAATGATTATCATAGATCATTGGATTGGGAAGAGAATCTCAATTTGAGGTTCCTGTCCTGTTATGTTCCAGCAGGTAGAGAGATGATCAGGTCAAGGGTCAAGAGTAGTAAATCTAAAGGAGGTCATGTGTCACAGCACAGTGAAATAAAACATAAACCAAAAGACACAAATAAATACAAAAATAGTAAACAATTAAGGTTTGAATAAAATTTGAATGTTGGTTAAAATACATGTATCAGTATTGACTGAGGCAAAGCAAATACAATACCTGAGGTCATAGTCAAAATTGAATACAGTGAAAGACAGACAAGCTTGAGTTTATTCGATAATTATGGGGAAAATTAATGTACAGTAAAAGGATTGACTAATGTAACTTTTTTTTCTTCAGGAGCATTTCTGGAGCTTGGATGAGACTGTACAGCATCTTCAGCCCAACGTTATGATCCAAGTGTGGGACAATGACAAATTCTCCATGGACGACTTCCTAGGTTTGTCTTATTCACAGAAAAATAATTAAAACAAATGATAACTTTTACTTTTCCCTGATCTCTGTAATGAGAATGTTAAGCATTTCACAACTATTTTTATGCATAAACAAGAGTACATTCATACCACATTATTCAATTCAATCCCTAATTTAAATGTATGAGAGGTTATCAAAAAGTTCATGGACTAGTGCCATAAAATTAAAACCGCTTTAGGAACATCAATGAATTTTAACACAATCAGTTAGCATCATCTTTTCTATCTGTAGAATAAACCATAAATCATAAGTTTTATTTGTTATTAAATTGTTAATGTTTTTGTAAGCAATGGTGTGTCCAGTTGGCGCAACCTCCAACACGAGATTTTTTTCTACCTGAGTGTAACTGAGAAAAACACTTTTGATACGAACATTTGTCATCCAAAAAGCCTGTTAATTCAGGAATGTGGTATGACACAATTGTTCCGTAAAATTTGCAATTTTTACCTAATTCTGTAAGTTCTATGAAATTTTATCATTCATTTTATATGGAGTGTCCAAACAATTAAATACTTGAAAATTACGTCGAAAAGGGGGAGGGGTTTCTTTTTCCAACATTCTATAAAGTTTTGCCCCTGGAAAAACTGGTATAGACCCAGGAAATGTTTAAACAGACCACAGAGAAATAAAATGTATCCAGAGTACTTGTTTTTAAATGCCAAAAAAGATTCAGAGAGATGAGAGATGTACAGTCAATGTCGATTTGTAGTCAGGAGGTCAAAAGTCATGTCGAAAAGTTTAATCATACTGAGATTTTCTTTCAGGAACTCTGTGTTTAAATCTCAATGCCATGCCTATGCCAGCTAAGAAGGCAGGATCCTGTAAACTGACAATGCTCCCTGACCTCACTACCGGGTCAGAGATCAAACTGGTGTCGTTATTTGAACAGAAGAGACTGAGGGGGTTCTGGCCAGTGTATAACGATGATACAGGACAAAGGGTGCTCACCGTAAGGAATTAGTTGTTCATTGGAATCTTTGATGATCATCATAAAGAGAATATTAAACATTTGTATTTTTGCAGATTTTTTATTTGTAAACCATTTTTGTGCTTGTAGATAAATTAAGGGGGGAGAACAGAGTTATCCTTTTAAGAAATAAGGTATCATTTTAAAAGTTTTATCGGGATGTAAATATGGGTTGGTCATGTGATCAAATCCCATAAAGCCCGAAGGGCTTTATGGTAGATTTGATCACATGCCAACCCGTATTTACATCCCGATAAAACTTTTAAAATGATACCTTATTACTTATATTTACATTTGTGACTGATTTATAACAGATAGTAAGGTACTAAAGTTTTAAACCCATAAATGATTTATTTTTTTCAAAACTCAATGGTATAACTTGAATGTGTTGAACACGTCGATCACTTATGACGTCACTATGAAATTACGTAGATCGTTTATGACTAAACAATCAATTTATGGTCACATGACGAACGTGTTTTACACAGGTGTAAAAACGCCTTGTTCAAATAGTGTTATATAAGGGAAAACATTTGCAAATGTAAATATTTGTCAGTATAATCATTCAAAAGTTTAGGTTTAGTTGACAGTGACTGTTTTGTTACAGGGTAAAGTTTACTTTACATTGACTGTTTTGTTATAGGGTAAAGTTTACTTTACATTGACTGTTTTGTTACAGGGTAAAGTTGAGATGGAGATGGAGCTTGTGTCAGTGGAGGAGGCCGAGGAAAGACCAGCAGGTCAAGGTCAGGAGGAACCCAACATGAACCCAAAACTGGATCCACCAAAGTAAGTTAATTGTCCCAAATGAGGTCCACTTAAGCAAGTGAATAACCACAAACTAGAGCAATCTAAATTGGTTATAACCCAACCCTGAGTTTACCTAAACCACCCAGTCTGTTCACCTCAGTTAGTCCATCCAAGAAAACATATAAATCCAAAATGCATCCACATTAATAATTTACTCAACTGCTCATGTTATCAGGAATGCTTTTTCAGTTATTTTTTATGAGTGATATATGAGTAGTTCATTTTGATAAACTGTACTCTTTCACAGGCGGCCTGAGACTTCCTTCCTTTGGTTTACTTCACCCTGGAAGACGATGCGTTACATTATCTGGCGTAACTACAAATGGTACATCATTGGATTCTTCCTCCTCATCCTCCTGTTGCTCCTCATCTTTCTCTTCCTGTATTCATTCCCGGTAAGTATAAAGGGGAGGATCAAACTTCTCTGTCAATTAGGGTGTGGATTGAGCATTAGTATATAATTATTCCTCTTCCTGTATTCATTCCCAGTAAGTATAAAGGGGTGGATCAAACTTCTCTGTCAACTAGGGTGTGGATTGAGCATCAGTATATAATTATTCCTCTTCCTGTATTCATTCCTGGTAAGCGTAAAGGGGTAGATCAAGCTTCTCTGTCAACTAGAGTGTGGATTGAGCATCAGTATATAATTATTCCTCTTCCTGTATTCATTCCTGGTAAGCGTAAAGGGGTAGATCAAGCTTCTCTGTCAACTAGGGTGTGGATTGAGCATCAGTATATAATAATTCTCCTTCCTGTATTCATTCATGGTAAGTATATAGGAGTGGATCAAGCTTCTCTGTCAGAGTGTGGATTGAGCATCAGTATATAATAATTCTCCTCCCTGTATTCATTCATGGTAAGTATATAGGAGTGGATCAAGCTTCTCTGTCAGAGTGTGGATTGAGCATCAGTATATAATAATTCTCCTCCCTGTATTCATTCATGGTAAGTATAAAGGGGTGGATCTAGCTTCTCTGTCAATCAGAGTGTGGATTGAGCATCACTAATATAAATGATAATTCCTTCCTAGTAAGTATAAAGGGGTGGATTAAGCTTTTTATGAAACAAGAGTACAGTGTCTATACATGTTTATAAGTCAAAAGCTAAAATTTTGCAAAAGTAAGTAAGCATATGCATAATTCAATAGGAAATGTGAAGCATTTTAAATTTCTATTTGACTTTTCAGGGAGAAGTTTCTCAGAAGATTGTTAACGGTTAGAGATTGTCACAAACTTTACGTCTATAAACATAGTGTAGTGATAGCCTCGGCAGAGACCAAAAGAAAACTTAACATTTATAAACATAGTGTAGTGATAGCATCAGCAGAGACCAAAAGAAAAAAAAAGACACCAAAGACTATTTCTCAGTTCAATCTTGTGTACACCAACTCTTATTTTCTTAAAAATAACTTAATTACATATCTAAGATTAAAGCTCTGCTAAGGGAGGTAATTATTCAAGGAGGATATGTTGATGAATACTTCATCAATGATCAAACACTTTTACCACAATGACAATTGTTTATGAGGAAATCAGTAGTTTGGAGTGAACCGTAAATGTTTAGTTGTGGATACGAGGTTTTGATAATAACCCTGTGCAGGGATTTCTAGCTTCTCTGTGATAAAACGATGCTTCTAACTTTTAACTATGTGCTTGATATATGAGGATGATCATGGAAGAACAAATATAAGTGGATGTTATTTGTTGCTAATGATCAAAAGAGTAATCCCAACGACCTTTCTGTACTTATCCTGTGTTAACCTCTCTCTGTCTGTAGACAGTGTTATGCATTTAAAATATTTTCTTTGATCATCTTGCCTTTCATTGTTAAAACATTTGATCACCATTAACATGTTTATTGTATACATGCATGTTATTGTACTATTCTTTTATTTTAGAACAAATTGTAGCATTCCTTCTACTTGTAGTTTTTTTTCTAATTAATATTAAAAATAAAAAAAAAAATTGGAGAAAAAAAACCCATTATATTTATACATGCCTATATACATTGTAAGTGATACTGGTATTTTTTGTAAATCATCGAAATTCTTTTTTTTTTTTTTTTTTGGAGATACTATTGTAACTGTAAGAAATAGTGATTGATGCAAGAAAAATAAAATTATGTTTATTTGTAAAAAGTCACTAATGACAAGTGATATAGCTGCTGTGCCTTTAATATTTTCTCTTGCAGATTGTTAATGTTAAATCTGCTGTTTTAATTTTTAATGATATTTCAGTATACCTATTTTTACTGTGTATGAACTCTGTGTTGGCTGATATTATGTATCTGTTGGACTTGAGCATTAAATGTTACCTTGTGATGCTGGTCACAGTTCTGAAAGTAGAATCATTTATTGTGAACAGGCAGGTGCTTGTACATTGATTTAATTACTTAAATCTAATTAACACCAAAAAAAATAATATTGTTTTGAATGTTATATTGATTTTTCAAATGTTAAACATGGGCCTACAGGTCATGTGATCAGTATCACCATGGCAACTACAATGACCTTGGAGTTTCAGTGCAATCGTATGTAGTGTGTAATCTATTTAAGGGATGTGGACTGTTCAAATTAAATAGACCAATAAACTCATTATAGATACATGTACAATTGTTGTTTTGTTTAATATGAAGATTATACTATGATGTAACAGGGAGGGAGAAATATAATGAACCAGACCAGGATTTGAGCCTGGGCTCCCTAACCTGTAGACAGGCGTTCTACCAACTCTAGGCAGGTACTATACCAAATAAAGCCAGGTGTTCTACCAACTCTAGGCAGGTACTTTACCAAATATAGCCAGGTGCTCTACCAACTCTAGGCAGGTACTTTACCAAATATAGCCAGGTGTTCTACCTACTCTAAACAGGTACTTTACCAAATATAGCCAGGTGTTCTACCAACTCTAGGCAGGTACTTAACCAAATATAGCTAGGTGATCTACAAACTCTAGACAGGTACTTTACCAAATATAGCCAGGTGTTCTACCAACTCAAGGCAGGTACTTAACCAAATATAGCCAGGTGATCTACAAACTCTAGACAGGTACTTTACCAAATACAGCCAGGTGTTCTACCAACTCTAGGCAGGTACTATACCAAATATAGCTAGGTGATCTGCCAACTCTTAGGCAGGTACTATACCAAATATAGCCAGGTGCTCCACCAACTCGACAGGTACTATACCAAATATAGCCAGGTGTTCTACCAACTCTAGGCAGGTACTTTACCAAATATAGCCAGGTGCTCTACCAATTCTTAGATGCCCCACCAACTTGAGATGGGTGCTCTACCAACTCATAGACATGCTCTACCAACTAGAGACAGATGCTCTATCAGCTCTTAGGTGCTCTACCAGCTCTAGACATGTGCTCTTCCTACTCTAGACAAGTGCTCTACTAATTCTTAGACAAGTGCTCTAACATCTCTAGACAGATGTAGTATATTTGTCCTATCTGCAGACAATACCCATTATATGGTATATTTGTCCTATCTGCAGACAATACCCATTATATGGTATATTTGTCCTATCTGCAGACAATACCCATTATATGGTATATTTGTCCTATCTGCAGACAATACCCATTTTTTGGTATATTTGTCCTATCTGCAGACAATACCTTTAATATGGTTTATTTCTGGCACCCATAAAAAACAGACAAATACTGCTCTTTTTCATAAACCAGTCTACAAACATGATTACTGCTCCTCTCTGATACTATGTTTATCTTATTCTTTTGGTTCCATAAAAAAAAGGAACAAAATAAAAGTATCTTGTATATTGCAATTTCTGTTATTATTGAAATAATTAATTGTCTGTGTTTTTAAATCTTTACGAGCAAAAGATAAGACAACGGAAAAATAGTGGAGCTTTTCGTACATTACAAGATTTCAGGACACTTTTTACAAATAATCAATAATTATACCAATACTCAGGGTATGTACCCATACATGTATTAAAGACACTTCTATACATGAAACAATAAATAATTTGTCAATGATTCTTTTTTTACACAGAATTCTGCATCCAACAAGCAAATCCATCCAATAGTTCCTCAACATCAAATGTTCCAAGCAGTAAGACTAGTGAATTTAAGTTAAGATGTCACATGACATAACACATGATACTGGTGAATGATGGTCACATGTAAAAGCTGGTCACATGACTGACATGTGAAATGTTGGTCACATTGTAAAGTCCCTGGTGAAATCGTACTCTATTGTTGGAATCACTGCTTGCACAAATTTTAGAAAAATCATTAGATATCTGATTGAAGTCAAGGCAAAAAAAAGGAAAAGCATCATACAGGACCCTGTTAGGTGCTTACCGTACATCAGTTATGTTGATTTTGATTTTAATAGGCCTTCTTGCAGGAGGCCTTAGGATTAATAGGTGTCTGTTCTGAGTAACAAGTATTAGTAAAATCATGAAGTCTGTAAATTGGAAACAGCTAATGTTTAAGTTTAAAAGAAAATAAATAATTTTGACACTTGACTGAATGACTTTGGATTCTGTCTCTGTTAACATCAGGAAATGAAATGAGAAATACTAAAGGCACACATCCTTATTACTCTGGAAATACTTAATTAGAACTTATACACGTACCAGTGTGTAGTAATGACTGTATCAAGTTTTTTGACTTTGCTCTCTGTGTATCAGATACCAAAAATAAAAATTGACATCCTTATGCCATCCCTATTTATTTTTAAGATCTGTGAAGTCAGTAGCTATAAAAATAGCCATACTATTACAGGGTTTTAAAATATCATAATCATGGACTTTTGAGGAATTGACCCCAAACCTAGAAATTCCTCTCAAATCATTTTCCATCTACACAGTAAATAGGCAGATTAAAAATTATACTGAGACATCACATCACATTCATAAAACATGAATGGTCTTAGAAATTATCTTGACCTTGTACCAAGCCACCTCAAAACTTTCTCTCTTGTAATGAACAAATGCAATAATCTCTAAATTGACTGACCTTAACCCTGTAAGAAAAAGAACATGATATTTCAGTTATCAAAGTAACTTGTTAATTAAAGCTTACAGCTTCACATCTACACATTATTAGTGACTTTACTTATTTATTTATCTACTGTATTAAAAAGCATATTTCTGAAATCATGCTTCTTACATTTCTTTCACAAACAACTCTTCATTATCTCAAGTTCCAAGAAAGAAAATAAATCTCAACCTCCATCAAAATGCCAGATAAACAAAGGATACACATGGACCCCCAAGTCTCCCCCTCCCTCTGCTACCATCTGTATAATCTTCTTCATCACATCAGCATGTCTACAAAGAAAGTACTTGGAGAATCTATAATCATATTACACCATGGCATTTTTTTAAAACAAATTGCAAACCAACCTCTATTTGTGCTTTGTTTCTGTCACAATTTTGTCAATTGGTGTATACATGATGAATTCTATGAATCTCCCCACCACCTTATAAATCCATACTTTTTAAACAAAACAATGTTGAATAACATTTTTCTTTTTAACTGTGTGTTCATCTTACCTGCAGGGATGAACTGAGGCCATTGGGGGTCCTGGTAAATGAGGATGGGTTTCCATGGTAACTGTTTTCTTTGCATGATCTTGGCTGAAGTCTTCATACATTTGTTCCACAGTAAGAGGCTTGCGATTCTAAGAATGTAAGATATTCTTTTGGTCAACAATTTAAAAAATTATCAAAGATAAGCTTCCTGTATATTTATGATATGTAGATTTTTCTTACCTCATCATATCCGAACAGCCAGAGTCGCGGAGTCTGGTAATACTTGTCATACGTGATGTTAAGATCGTAGGTTCTCGTCTGTAATATTCCACTCTCTGTACCACCACTCTCGGAATCCTGTCGCCTCACGACAGTCGTAGGATCCAAGGCAGCCTAAAAGAAGCAAAGAGATTAATAAGATAGAAATGTATGTGTTAACTTTATTCAATATGACCATTTGAGAAATAATTGGTCCCCATATAAACAGGCATCCCTGAAAAAATTACACTTTATTTTTGTTTGTTTGCTTTACATCCCTTAAAGAATATTTTGCTCTTATTTGGAGACCACCAATTGCCAGTGGAAGGCTGCAAATTTAGATCTAAACTTGGCACTTAATATGACCATTGAGATATATATTTCAGGTCAACATCTTTTGTGATAAGGGACCTCAGTTAATATGGTTTTATCCAAAGGGCATGTCTACACATCTTGCAGTGGGATTTGAACCCAAGGGTACGGTTCAGCACCTTGATCTGCAACTCTAGACCCCCCCCCCCCCTTCCTTCAAAAAAAACCCCACTGTCCCATGTGGGCAACCTGATCAATAGTGATCTCAATTCTTTGATTTTTACATTGTGTTACTGTGAGTACTCTTTGATTTCAGTGTGACATCTTTAGAACATAGGAAATAAAATTTCAATGATTAACTCATTGTTAAGGGTTTCAGAGTTGTGGTTTAGTTCCAGACAACTGCAAGCCTCCTCTGCATAAGGAGAAATTTTTCAGAGTGATAAATGTCCATTATTCTGTAGCACAGTTAATATATACATTGTCATCTTCCTCTAACATTCCACTTTGTTCAAATGCCTAATTTTCTACAGCTAGTTATTATTTACAATGCCATTCCACTTTGTTCAAATGTCTGTGATTATATAGTAGTCATTATTTACATTATCATCTTCCTCTAACATTCCACTTTGTTCAAATGTCTGTGATTCTGTAGCTAATTATTATTTACATTGTCATCTTCCTCTAACATTCCACTTTGTTCAAATGCCTCCATGTCCATTGCCTCTTCATCATCATCATCGTCGTCGTCATCGTCATCATCATTTTTCTTCACTTCCTCTGCTGATAATGACCCAGTTTTGTCCTAAAAGTATAAAAATACGTTTAGTTCCATATTATATTCCAAATAAAGAACTATCCATATGACATTTAAATTCTTAACTGCAGTTCAAAGAATTTACATTGTCCAGAGTCTTTATCCAATTTTTGACCTAAAGCTGTTGCCAAACACCATTTTTCAAGTAATAACAGAGACTGGAATTGCTGTCCAAGATTAATGACCTTGCTGTTTTAAGGTCAAACTATGACATAATGCAGATTGACCTTTCTATTTTGGCTCGTTTTGTTACCTAGTGACCCAGATTGGCCTAATTGCTAGGTTTCATCAGGTAACTTAGTAACCTAGACTGATACTGATACTGATGTCTTATTAATACATCATTATATTACAAAGTAATCTACATGTACAGTAAAACTTGGTTATAGCGGAGTCTTGGAGACCTGTCTATTTACTTCACTATATCCATAATTTGTTATATTTGTATAACAAATTCATCGAATTCATCGAATTTTGCAATATACACGTTTTCCTTCAAGTTTAACTACAGCTTATGTTCAGGAAAATATTAAATACAGAATTTACCTTGGAGAACTTAAGTTTCTGAAGAATTGAATATCAAATATTAATACTTATTAAAATATTCAAAATAATATCAGTTCAATATTTTACATTTTGAGATCTTTAAGAATTTGTTTTAAAAGACTTAGATTTCATTATTTTTAATCTCTATGGGTCATAAAATCAACTCGCTTTATCTATAAATTTGTTATATGAGAGTTTGTTATAATCCTAAAATTTTACAAGGAACTGTTCAGATCCATTTTGCCAGAGATAAAAAAAAGCTTCTCTTTATTGGTAATTTCACAATATCAGTCTTTGTACTAAACCTGATTTACTGTTCACGGACTTAATTGTCATGTTACTTAGTAACCAAGACTGGCTATATTGTTTTTTAAGGGTCATTATGTAACTTAGTAACCAAGACTGACCTTGCTGTCTAAGGTCATTTCCTGTACTGCTTCCTGAAGAGTTGTTGCTCCTGGATCTGAAAGACAATCACTGAATCAATTTGGGCAGGGGCTGACAAATACATTATTTAGGCACTTGTCCAATTGCAAGTGCATGGTCAAAATTCATTTGCCAGTACCTGAATATTTGCTTGCCCTGGCAACATAAACTATTACCATATTTATATATATTTAAAAAAAAATGGAAGACAAATACTGAGTAGACCATGTAAGCCCCTGTGCCAAGCTTTAAATCTATGACTTACATATGGATTTTATTTTTTTTCAATTTACTTGCCCACGGGCAAGTGGTTGATAAAATTTCACTTGCCCACCCTTAAAATTCACTAGCCCTGGGCATTGGGCAATGGTATTTGTCCCCTGTTGGGATATATAAAAAATATAATTTTCTTTCACATTCCATCTTAAAAATAATCATTGTCATTGCTTAAAATTAATACAGCCAACACTAATTGTGAAAAAACATTCACATCTGTACTGATGCTTTTGCAGTAAGCACAGGTTTTAATGTTCCCCCATTTGATGCTCAAATTTAAGCTGAATTTCACATCAGAAAAAAAATTACACTTGTATTCAAATCTGCTCTAATACATCTTTTTTTAACCACAAGATGTGCATAAATGTCATGTCTTTATACCCTTTACATTGTGCACATCAGCCAATTTTTCTCTTTATAGCCAATTTTTCTCTTTATCTCTGATGAAACCCACTACCTAAAAAATGGGCACTGTTTCTACCCACCAATTCTCTGTTCACCTCAATATTTATTTGTATTCGCCTATCCTCTCTTTACATGTACATGGGAAATAATTTATATCCATGCACTATCCTCTATTAACCTAAGAAATGATGCATATCCACCGATCTCCTAAATTTCCTGAAAAAATGTGTATTCACTTATACTTTTAAAGGACTTTTATTTTACAAACTAAAATAGTATGTGAATTCATGTATGCACCAATCCTTTATTTACATGGACCTAAAAATTAATGAATATCCATTTATCTGCCATTTACCTGGGAAACGATGCTCATCCACCTATCTGCCATTTACCTGGGAAATGATGCTTATTCACCTATCTGCCATTTACCTGGGAAATGATGCTTATCCACCTATCTGCCATTTACCTGGGTAATGATGCTTATCCCCCTATCTGCCATTTACCTGGGAAATGATGCTTATCCACCTATCTGTCATTTACATGGGAAAATGATGCTCATCCACCTATCTGCCATTTACCTGGGAAATGTTGCTTATCCACCCAGCTGCCATTTACCTGGGGAATGATGCTTATCCACCTATCTGCCATTTACCTGGGAAATGATGTGTATCCACCTATCTGCCATTTACCTGGGAAATGATGTGTATCCACCTATCTGCCATTTACCTGGGAAATGATGCGTATCCACCCATCCCCCATCTTCATCGTCTGCCTCTATGACTTTTTCCTGTTCTTCTTTGTGACTGTCTACTTGTTTTACTCTTTTATAACATGGCACTATAAAGATATATAACAATTATATAACATGGCACTATAGAGATATATAACAATTATATAACATGGCACTATAGAGATATGTAACAATTATATAACATGGCACTACAGAGATATATAACAATTATATAACATGGCACTATAGAGATATATAACAATTATATAACATGGCACTATAAAGATATATAACAATTATATAACATGGCACTATAAAGATAAATAACAATTATATAACATGGCACTATAGAGATATATAACAATTATATAACATGGCACTACAGAGATATATAACAATTATATAACATGGCACTATAGAGATATATAACAATTATATAACATGGCACTATAAAGATATATAACAATTATATAACATGGCACTATAAAGATATATAACAATTATATAACATGGCACTATAGAGATATATAACAATTATTTACATGGCACTACAGAGATATATAACAATTATATAACATGACACTATAGAGATATATAACAATTATATAACATGGCACTATAAAGATATATAACAATTATATAACATGGCACTAAAAAGATATATAACAATTTAATGATCCCGAGATTTTAAATTAAAGCATAACAAACAGCCATGATTTGAAAATAATTGCATCATCAAAGATCAAGGGTGTCAATAGGTATTTAACACTGAAGAAACAAATTGGATGGGAGTTGAATGGATTGATTTTTCTTGCCACAAAGAATGCTTGTTAATTAAAAATAAACAGATTGGTTAATGCAAATTAATTCCTTCATAGCATTCTATGTAACAATGGTAGAAAAAATCTCAATTTTTAAAAACAGTGATTTTAGCATTTTTCAATGTCTTCCTTTAACTAATATTCTGTTAGACTGTAATATTTCCTGTTAATTGTTTTATCACTTACAACTTGTTAATACCATCATTCAATTTTCACTTGAAAACATCCAATAACTAATTTTTAACACTGGGATATGATTTTTGAGAGAATAAATGAATGATAAAAGCTTTGTATACATGTATATGCTCCTCTAAATTCCAAATACTTAGAATTTTTTTTTTTTGTTAATTCACAATTACTGCAAAGATATTTAATTAAAATTCCTGTCACACTCCAGATACAGGCATCTACTAAATATTGTCCACTTCGCCCTTGTGTAAACAATAAGAGTTAAAACTTTGCTGCTTCACTGATCATGCAGATAGTCATTATATTTACACGTGTACTGCTCCAATGAACACAAATCATCATTACAATTCTTATTTTTTTTTGCAAAATAATTGAGACCCCAACTCCCTTGTCTTCATAGGGAAATATTAATTCGACAATTTGCTTTTGTTTAATTCCTTGTTAATTATTACACAGTCAAATTAAACCCAGGAACTGCCTGAATTTTTTTTTTAACAAAGCTCTAGCAAGCACAAGGAAACATTCCAAATAGACAGAATCAGTTGAGCTTATAAAGCAAATTCTCTTTGCAAATGTTTGAATTCAATAATTAAAAAAAAAAACAATCTAAACTGCCCTAATGAGCACAAGGTAGCTCCACACACTGAGCACAGTCATAGAGATTTCTGCCATAATGAGTGCAAGGTAGCTCCACACACTAAGCACAGTTGTACAGAATTTTACCATTTCTAGTGATGAGGAATTGTTTGTCCTTAGGAAGGTACGGTTTAATTTTAGATTCATCACCCGTCGACCATTGCCACGTCGGACAGTGGTGCACCAAGTGGTCCCCTGCTGCCACAAACTGTAAACAAAAAATGTCAACATAACAATATTAAAGAACATAGATGACATATATTGATAATGCTATGTGTATTCTGTCTCTTAAAATTCTAAGAATATATTCCACTTTGTACAGTAGATTCATATATCTTGTAATGTGTCTTACCTCCTCAGGTGTGATAACTCCTGTTTCTTTGAATTTTGATTCCTGAAAAAAATACTGAGAGTGCTTTCTTTCAAAATGAAAAATTAAACTTTATATTGCATATAAGTCTTATAAGCCTTACTGATTTAAAAAAAAGCAAAAATTTATTTCATATGCAAACTTCTGAGCTAATGTGTAGATCACCCAGTGGTGAAATTTAAAATATTTCACACATACCACTACCAGACAGATTTCTGCTTTTCTTAAAAACATACCGATTATGCCTGATTGAATATTTAAATTTGTCTCCTGTTAAAAATTTCATTGTTCAGTTTTAGTTTTAGATTTTTCTCAATGACTTTCATTATGAACATAACATTTTTTTGGTGTGTATTGATTGTAAAATAAATAAATGGATATGATATATTAAATGTAGGATATACGCATTCAATGTAACAGACTCTCGCTTAATATTTATCATAGCAATTTCAGTGGACCACTACGCCTATACATTTTCTACACAAAAGCCTTAATTGTTTTCACTGTTAGAATACATTAATCAAACTATTTATATCCACTACTTCAGAAGAGCCATTGACTGAAAATCATGAGACTGCTGTCAATCACGCAGTAACAACTCACACATCCTCACGTGTAAATAATTTACAAACAAGTCACAAAAACAGTAAAGTTTACCTTTAACACAGGTGTAAACTTCTCAGCAACATTAAGAGCTGTTCCTTTCACTGCATTAATCACATTCTGCATTTTTTGATAATTCTACACGGTATTGACGGAACCTCCTACTCAACCGGAAACAAACTACATTTTCTTCCTTCTTCTAAGAAGAGTTTTAAAGCTGTCAAAAAGGGGGGGGGGGGGGAAGTAGGCTGCACTCCTAACATCTAAATAAAAATTTACACCAAAAATTTAATTTTTTATGTAGTTAAAAATCTAAGTGTGAACTTTGGCAATTACATGTAGAAAATATATAATTACATTACAAAATGAAGAAAAAGATTTTATAATTCCCTCTTTTTACACAGGTAATGTAGTCAATACTAGATTTCCAAAAATACTGTTTTTAATTTCAGGAGAAATATTTAAGAAAATTGAACCAAAAGAGAAGTAAGGAGAATAACTGGGTTTTTAAAAAATATTTTCTGTAATCTACATAGTACAAATATGTGCCCATCATAACCATTAAGAAACAGTTTAACAGAGATGGCGGAATTTACATAAATTTCCATTAAGAAATAACTGAAACAAGCTAATTCAGAGAATTTGTGTCCCCCGCTTAGGGAAAAAAGAAGAGCATGCGCAGTTCGGGGGGGGCTCCCCCCTTGATTTGTAAATGTATACATGTACATATTGAAGCAAATAAAAAATGCCAATATGGATGTAAAGAGTTGATTGCTTATTCTTTGATATGTGTATAGAAGATTCTTTTTGTATAAAATATTTATCACACCGTATTAATGATTTTATGAGTTTGTACAAGCCAGACGTCATATAACTTTTTCATTTCATATGCTGAATACTATAATTTATAAAGTAAATCCAAAAAAAAAAAAAGAAAATTCAAAAAAGAAAAGAAAAGAAAAAAGGGATCGACCGGGATTTCAACCCGGGGACTCTCACATGCTCAGCGAGAGTCATACCCCTAGACCACGGAGGCACTCGATTATACAGCAAATTATATGCAAACATTAGGTCACATATGATGTTTATATTTACGTTCGATATTGTCAAAATTTTACACAATACATGGTGTCTAATTTAGCTTTTACTAAACAATTCTAATGGATGTAATTAGAATCACAGGGGCTTGTCTTCCGGATTGTTAAATATAAAATAAATTTTAAAAAAATTGAATCTTCTTTAAATACATTTAAAAGTTGATAAAATAGAGATTCTGACACTTTCAGTCAAGAAAAACCACGTTTAAAAAAGACGTACCACACCTATATATGTATATATATATATAACCTGTGAAATCTCAACCTTTCTATTAAATGAGTTGAATGCCAACATCAAATTCACTCTAGATACCAGTGAAAATCAATTACCATTCCTAGATGTTCTCGTTATTAAAAAGGACACAAGGATCATTACTGATATATATTACAAAGTGGCGGATACACACCAATACTTACATTTTGGTTCTTGTCATCCACATCATACCAAAACATCCATTCCTTATAACCTCGCCAGACGTATATGCGCCATTGTCAGTGAAAAAGATACAAGGGACATTCGTTTATGTGAACTTAAAACCTAGATATCTTTTAAAACAGAAATATCCAGCCCCACTTATTGATTTTTACTCCAAAGTAAAGTGTGAAAATCTCCATATGAAATTTTATAAATTTATTTTAGGTATTCATAGAAAGTGCTCAAATTTTGCAACTTTGTCAGAACTTGGTTTTCCATTACACCTTGATGCTGTAAAAAATATAATGAACTATGTGAATAGACTAGAAAATCTTGGGACTTCTTTCCCATTATTGAATGCAGCATACCTTCAAAGTAAGCTTAATGCTAATAATACATGTAAATCGCAGTCATGGTATGGTATAGTATGTAAATTTCTTCAAATTGCTGGGTTAAACCATATTATTACCATAAATAAACCCTTATATTTCAAGAAAAAATGCGAAGAATTATTATATAATCATTACACAAATGAATGGTACAATATGAGAAATTTACAAAAAGGAAAACTTGAAACTTACATAAAATTTAAAACTAATTTGGTTTTTGAAAATTACCTAGCACTGTTATCACCTGAACAACGCAAAGTATTTACAAGGTTGCGGACATCAGCACATAATTTACCAATAGAACGAGGTCGTTACTTAGGGATTCCCAGACAACTAAGAACTTGTACAAATTGTTCTTCTCACCAAGTTGGAGATGAAATTCATTTACTCTTTGAATGCCCAAAATATAATTTACTTAGGCAAAATATGTATGAAAGTATACAACAACATTGTAAACAAATTTTACTTCTTGATAACATGAACAAATTAATATGGATATTGAATTGTGAAAATTATGATGTTCTTAAATCCCTTTGTGAATTGATCAAAGGAGAAATATAATGTGTCTTCTACATGTATATAGAATTTAAAAACTGTATACTTTTAACACTCAATAAATGTTAGTTTGGTCATAAGATATGCAAACATGGTGACTTATAAAGTACCAATACACTGTCCCGTGGTATCTTTTGTAATTTAGTGGAATATATCTATTCAGTATATATTTTTGTATATGTATATCTCTGGCTTTTTTGCATTATGGTACACGGTGGTACTTGTTTATACTTTACAATGTGTATTTCAAATTGTACATGTTAGCAATTATATCAACTTATGAACCATGAGTAAATTGACTAAGTATATGTATTAAGAAAATGCTGAATATTACTATTATCACATTTTGTGAATAATTATTATATTTATATGTTCTGTTTAATAATCATGTATGTAATATGCTCAAAAGGGCCCCGATCTGGAATAATAAAATAAATATATAAAAATATATTGATAATGGAATACTTAAAGCCAAGGAACATGAAAGATCAGAGTTACTTTAAACCAAAGGACGTGAGGATACCGAGAATATTATTCCCTTTGTACATACTCATAATCCTCAGAATCAGAACATCAACTCCATTGTTAACCAACTGAACACCATTCTTAAAGAGGACCAAACAACGAAGTCAATTTATCACGCTGCTCAACGCGTTATCGGCTATTCGGTTGTTATCGGGCATTCGGCGGATAACAATTTTTGACAGGTTAGTAAATTGTTGAAAATAAACTCTTTAAAAATTGAAACACAGAATGTTCATTGTGCTTTTTTGTAAACAGGAATGAATACGGATACAAAATAAAGCCTCGATACATCTTATTAAAGCATTTCTTAGTCTTGAGAAGACTTTAAAAGTCATATTTGTTGTATTTTGCAAGTTTTTGTCCGATTGGCATGGCTGCGAACAGCTTTTTTCTTAAATATATTTACCTAACGTTAATGATTGTCCGCAATATGACATCGTCAGAATCTTGCAAAGATGTAATTAAAGGGTAAAAATTGCCCTTTTTTAACTTTCAGGATGTTATCGGAAATATGGTTGAATGGTTAACTTTGTTATCGGAAATTTCGGTTTTTGTTATCGGAAACAAAGGTTGTCATGGGTTAGGAAAAATGTAAAGAAACAACAGAAATCCTCATTAAATCTAAATATTCAAAGTGGCGGGTACACAATTCTAATTCTTGGCAATTATTTGTCTCCTTTTAGAATATGTAACTTTTAAAAAAAGTGTTTCATTTCTCATAATCACTGAAATATGCAGGATCTTGACCTGTTCGAAAATATGGTATAAATTTTATAAATCTCTGGTGTAACCAAAATACAAATGCCAGATTTAATTATAATGATTGCGATTCTTACATTGCATTATTGTCGGACAATAATCAAGCTCAAAGGTCTATTGAAACAATATAAATTTAAAGCAGAGTAAACACGGATCTCTAAAAACATCGATATCGGAGGTTGTTTAACGTGCCAAGAAGGAATAAGTATATCGAAGTTCCTTTTTAGAGTTATCTTTCCTGTTGGCCGGGACTCAAAAACTTTGATAAGTCTCCGTAAACGTTACTCATTATTGGCAACAGATCAGGACAGATTTATATAAATGAGCAAAGCTAGAAATTCACACTATTTATCAATATTTATAAACACACAATGAGATAGGTATTATTGAAACGCACATCAGTCTGCAAACATATTAACTTTTACAACAGACTTTCCTTGACGATATCACAATGAATTGTATAAATAACGTAAAACTTTTCTCGTATATATACCGGTACCTGTTAATTGCGAATTATTATGCAACATAAACCCAAATGTATACTGTTCTTTTATTAAAAAAAAATCGACACTTTTTCTTTCGGTTACGCCGTAATCATGCCATGTGTTCATTGTTTATGATTAGGGTGTCGCTTTCAGTTTACTGCATACTTTCCGCGTGACAAAACCTTTATCTCTAAAGCGTTTCTTAGACTCCCTTACAGGCGGTGCCAGCGCACAAATTAAATGCAACCGGAAGTAAAAGTATTTTTCTCGATATACGTCACAAGTCACGGGGTGTGAAGGACCCTTAATATTTGAGTAGAATTAAGATATACACTCATTGAATTAAGAATTGAAAAGAAATATTATGTATGTATAAACAGATACAGATTTTATGCGTGTACGAGAATTAACTTTAATCTAACAAACATTCAAATGTAGTTTTTTCATTTCGGCAAGCGGTCTTCCAGATCATGACACAAAGTCAATCCAAACACTCCCACAGCTGAGAACTACATTACGATTCTGAAAAATCTCCAAATTGTACCAGTGCCAGGATGTGTGGGTCTAGGAATAATCGGAAACGAACTGGTGTGGCCATCTTCAATCCCTTGGCGGCGGAGTTAACAAACGCTGTTGAGAAATCAAATCCCGAAACTTTTGACCAATGTAATGGACATGCAAGTCCAAATGGCACTCATCAAAAACATACAATACCAGACAGTTGTTTGTATAAAAGAAAAAAAGATACGAATTCATGAATTCAATTGATTGGCTCGGGATGGTTTTCAAATCTATGGACCAAGACTGTGACTGTCAAAGAATATTTTTGAAGATGAACTGGACAAGTATCATGGGTAATTTGTCAATGGTGTTATGTTGTGAGAGAGAGGAAGTAGAACACGTCTGTCTAGTTCACTAACTATTTATCAAGTGCCCATAAGATTGAACATATTCCCATGCATAAACT